TGCTTTATTGTGCTGTGCTGTGCATCGCATCGCATCGCATCGCGTAGTGCATGACCGGGCTGGCTTGGGCCGTCTTGCAACGGTAGTGGTGTTCGTTCCTTCCGAGTAAGGATGGGCGGGTTAGGCTCTGCCTTGACCTCCCGTCTTGCTTCTGCTAGTGAAGCGAGCATGGGATGCCGTTCTAAGACATGGCAAGCCGCGGCAGTAGAAAGTCAGGCAATGGCGTGGTCTGGCTTGGCCGTTGGAGGTGAGGCGAAGGAGCTGAAGGTTCATGGCGTCGACCATGGGATGAGGGAGGGGGCACATATGGACACAGTAGGCGAAATATGAGTCGAGGTCACGCCCGGTCCAACGGCAGGTTGGTAGCAATGAGGGGGGTGAGGTGGAAAAGAGAGAGAGAGAGAGAGAGAGAGAGAGAGAGAGAGAGAGAGAGAGAGAGAGAGAGTGTGTGTGTGTGTGTGTGTGTGTGTGTAGTATGGGCGCGGACGGGGAGATGAGAGAACACGGCGTTGATCAAAGGACCAGGAAGCCATTCATGTACAGAGAGAGGTATGGCGTTGGCGATGAATGAAGGCGGCACAGCACAGCACTCCGCCGCCACCACTGCCATTACTCAGTTAGCCTTCTTATCCTCTTTCGTCCGTTCATTTCCCTCCCGCCCCCAACTCCAATTCGCTTCATCCTAGTTTTGCCCTACGCCGTGATGCTTGCAAGCTTTGCCGGTGGCCCCCTCCAAGGAAATTCCGTCATCAAATAAACTTCCTTAATCCACGGCACTGCTTCCTACCCATCTAAAGAACAAAACACCCCCTAAGTCGTCCCCTCTCGACTCGAGAACGGATACTGGTGCGGAGAACGTCACGCCCGCCCAAGCCCTCGGAAGGGAAGGGTCCAAGGACGCACGGCACCCAACCAGAGCTGAAGCCAGCTCTTTTGGTGTCGCCAATGACTTGAGTTTCGGATTGTTAGACTGCTTAGGCTTTGGTCCAGTTCCGGACACACACTATCGGCATTGGTTTCCGCCCATTGCCCCCAGACCTCGGGCGATACAGCGTTGTTCCCCAACCCTTTTCGAGCAAGAGACAGGCAGAGAGAGAAAGATGGCTGCCGCCAATGGCGTTGGGCCGAATCTCGCTTCGGGCCCTGTTCAGCTTCTGTGCCGGGGAGCTCAAGCCAAGTGAGATGAGCGAGTGCCCTGGGCTTCGAGGTGCGGATACATGTCGCGACGATGAGGTCAATGTATCCGTAGCCCACCTCAGGTGAGTGAGAGCAAATTGAGAAAAGGGCAGCGATTACTCTGGACCCCATGGCAGGAAGCAACGAATGCACATTCCAGATACCAAGTGCCTGGCAGCGCTCCTCTTTCTTCTGCACGGTGTGGCACCAGAAACATACATACATACATAAACTACATACATGCTGATGGGTGCGCTAGGTAGAGGTACTCCGCAGCGCCGAAGCTGCATGTACCGCAAAGCCCAAACCGCGGGTCTCAGTACTTAGACAGCATGGGGGTCTGACGTACCGCCTGCTACGGCATCCCGCTTCATGTCAAGCTCCGCTATTGTTTCTTCATACTTACCTGCTGCTTGGTTCCTCCAGCTCCCTTTTCTCTATCCCCATATGGGTTAATTACCAAGCCATGTCAGTCACGACAGAGTACCGTCCCTCTTGTCCTGTTTCCCACCTGCACACAACCGCCCGGCAGCCACCGGCTCTGTCGACGACGAGCGATCCTCACGACGTGAAACATCTGACTCAGAACATAACTTCTTTCGACCTCTCGCCATCGAGTCAACGGGTACTTGTGCTTGACAACATGCGGCCCAAATTATCTGCACACTCGTTGCGTGCAACAGAGATCGGGCCTCGCATGTCAAGCACCCGAGTCTTTCGTCGGTCCAACGAGACGGCTTCTGGCCCTTGTTCTTGACCTCCGTCACCTTGGCCAGGCACATGTGTACACTATGATGCAACCAACACTTGCTGGTTCGTTCATTAAGCCAGCCTGCACAAGTTCGTTGCTCAAAGTTTCCACCCCTCCTCACTCGGCCACCCATGCGAACCAGGGCAGCTTTTAGTTCCGCTTCAGACGGGCATTCCAAACGTCACCGTTGTTCAGATGGAAATTGAATCGACATGGCCCTACCGTTACGCCGAACGCTCCTGGCCCCAACTGTTGCTTCTCTGGCTTTCCGATTCGATATTAGTCCAGGAACTTGTCAATCGACATCCTCGATGCTTAAAGCACCATGAAGACTTGTGCGCTAATACTACTAGCCACCGCGACAGCCTTGGGGTTTCCAGCCCAGCCAGCCAGCCAGCTCCCAGTGCGCCAGTGTTCACCAAGGCTGATGACCCAGCTGGGCTTTTGGGAAAGATACGGATGCGACTGGGGGCCGCCGTTGTCAACCTTCTCATGAATACTGTATACAGTGTGATAGGCTACCGCCGAGATAAATGGATTTGCACAGCAACGGCGATCTGCCCATCCTCTACAACGCCGCCTTGGATCCTACCCGCAGCGGGCAGGCGGCTTTGGGACGAAAAAAAAGTCTTTGGCTGGGATCCGTGGACCTGGACGTTCCACGTTCCTCGCCCACACCGCACTCCGGATACAGCCATGGATACAACACGCGCTGCTCTGTACCTTGTCGACTCGCCCACCTCACCTTGGTCTCCACGAACCACGCTAGCCGGCAAGTGGCCTAGTGGCTAAGTAGCTTCCATGAGCCTGGTCCAAGGACGCCGTCTTCACCACCCATACATACAACACCTTTCCCTTGTTCTCCGGGGACGAGCGTAGGGACCCCCGAAACCCGGCCGGTTTGGATTTTCGTCCCTCCCACGCTCCACTGATTGAGATGAGGGAAACGCCCAGCAGCGTCCCGCGTCTGTCTCCTCCTCAGCCTGCCAAAGTCGGTCAGAAGGGTGATGTTGGAGGGGAGCTCCCCGATTCCTGCATCATGCACTAGGACCCCTTCCTGGGGCGTAAGAGCAATCCCTCGTCTCTATTTAGGCATATCTGACTGTTGCTGACAACGGTCGTCAGTGCCTCATACACCCACACGCGAACCCATCCGTGTGAGATGGCGAGGCACGCACGTAATGAGCATCGCGGAGTGCCACAAGTGCCACCATCCCTGCCATCCACGGAGATTCCCTAACGCAATAACGGTTGCGGAGCGCATCGTCATCTCGCTGTACCTTTGTTCATGACAGACCGCACCCGCATCGTCTCGGCCGAGCATACTTGGTGTGTTTGCGTCCCGTCATTGCTGGGAAGACCGAGGCACCACGAGCAAGCACCATCACAGTGCCTTCGCTGCCGTTCCGGAATGGCTCATCAGTCGAGAGCTTTTAGCTCTGTGCGTTAGGCACGGCTAACCCTCCTCGAAAAAGGTATTTCTGCATGGCATGTCACAAGAAGCAAAAAAACAAAAGGCAAACTTCCCAAGTCAAAGCCAAGGCACGCAAACAAGACAGCGAGACCGTCGGTACCGTGGTGTCAGCAAGGGTCTTGTACCGTGACTTGTCTTTGGACCCGAACGAGAGCCACCGGTCGACTAAGCCCTGTCATTGTCTGAGCACCTTCTGGCGCCGAGACTGGGGATACCCCCCTGGGTGTTTCTCATCTTCCCATGCACCCCGGCCAGCCAAACTTCCACCACAACCCAACAGCTTCAACCTGTATCCATATCCATGTCACCGTTCATCCTCCTCTTCCTCCTCTTCCTCCTCCTTCTCCTCCACCAGCACACCCCCATGCATCTTAAGCTCGTTCGCTCCCCGGCCAGTTGCCAGGGTTCGATAAGAACGCTATGCCGCCATGGGACAACTACGCTAGGGCAGCTCTGAGAAAAAAATCAAATAGACCTGGCTCCTCCCGACCTTGTCTGATAGTCTCTGTCGTGTGATGAAGAACGGTTACATCTGAGCATACCAAACCTACGAGAGTCCTCATCAATCCTTTCTATTCTGCCTTCTCACCCAGTCCAATCCCTTCTTTGGTCACCATACCCTGCCAACGTTTCGTCGACACTCGAGAGAGGACTGCAACCAAATCTGCTACTTCAACAACAGAGCCCGACGACTTATCTCATCTCGACGCTGCTTGGTCCTCGCTCTACAACGGTCATATCGAGTACGCTGACTGACCAAACTGGTTTCGATACGACAGCCTCTTGGCTAAAGCAACTTGTGGTGGAAATTATCGTAAGGCCAGCACGTCTGCCCTGGCTATTTCCAGTAAGTAGATCCAGTCGTCATCTAGTGCCTGAGGTTCCCCTCCGCCATTCATTGCCTGGAAGGCGGTTCGGATGTCTTGAGTGGTCCGTTTCGGCTGCATCTTATTTCACACACCCTGTCACCGCATCTAATCCTGATCAGCACAGCCAGCCTCCACCAACTTCCCACCTCCCACACGGTCTTCCTGTGGCCATCCAAGAACTTCTCCCTGCAACAACATTCCATCGCCATCTTCTTTTGAGGACGTCGACATCAGGGACGCCATCTCGTCTCCATCGACAAAAAGCAACCAGTCTCTCTCCCTCTCTGGAGCAGTCTCCGAGTCCACCCCAGGTGCTAGTCTGATCAAGTCAAATCCATCCAGCACCGGGCTTCTCGAGACCTTCATCGAGCGGCTTCATTTGTGGCCGTCGGCGAAGCTTTCAACCTGAAAACCTAACCCATTTTCACGTCTAGAGCTCGGGACTGTTGGCTTCGACCCAAATAGTCCCACCCAAGCCGGCAACCTGGCGGTCTCAGCAGCAGTCCGGTTTTCTGGGCAACATCCTCAACGTAGCCGCGAGGCTAGGGAGGGCGACAACGCACAGACGAGCTTCCTGACTGCACCCCGACAATCTGGGCCCGACAACACGCAAGCATCCGAGCAGCCGACCTCAGTTCCAGATCCGGACTACCGTTCGGCTTCGAGTACTGGCCAGGACGGCCAATGCCCGGGCCCTCAAGGCTGGGAGAGTGTAGGGGATCAGGTCTCGATGTCACAGAGGGGACCTGCACCTCACACTACCACGCAAGCACCAACGCAGTCACCGCCTCGAGCTCCTTTCAGCTCCCAGCGGAGTCCTCAAGCCCGAGACAGCCCGGGGTCTCAAGATGCTGTCACGACCCCCGCAGCTAGCGAGAGACATCTTTATGGCCCACGATCATTGGGCATCAAGGGACTGATCAACGAAGCGCAATCGGAGGGCTCCGCTGGCGAATCATCACAACCCCGAGGATCCGATGCTCAAACCTCGCCTTTTGGTATGCCTCCGAGGCAGTACGGCACACCTGGCGATCGTCAGTACACATACCAGAGCCACGGTCCTTTGGGGTCCCAGCCCGTCACACCAGCCGGCCATCCGGCAACGACGCCTCTCGGCTACACACCGTCGGAACACAACTCGCCCAAGACCGGTTTCCCCTTTCCCTCCATGGGTGCTCCAAGGCAGATTCTGAGCCCAAGAGAGACCCGCGCTGCGAGTATGAGCCAGGCGAGCATGAGGGGCCACGAGCCACACCAAACCCATTTTATGCCTCCGCGGGCAAAGCGGCCCTACCCGGGCGACGACGGACCCTCGGAGCCTCTTCGTACAGCTGCCGGCCACCCGTTCTCTGGTCCACCGGCCCATGGTCCTCCATCAGCAGGAATGGGGCCGCTGACAACGCCATCACGGACCATGTCCCAGCCCATGATTGGACACATGCCGTCCGGAAATCCCGAACGACCCCAGCTGCCTCCCATGGCACGAGACCCTCACGGCAGGGGACCCGAGTATCCAGGTCAGCCGATGTTGCCTCCCGGCCAAGGTTTCCCTCCCCCACAATCGCCCGGCGTTCCCGTCTGGTCCACCCCTGGCGCCGGAACGTCTCTATACCAAAGCCTGCGGTCTGACGTGACGAAGGCGGAAGGTGGAATGGTAGTCAGACTTCCGGGAGAGGAGGGCGGCATTCTCATACCAGTGGACGTTCACCAGGCCTCGAAACAGGCCGACGAGAAGCGGCAACGAAACGCCGGGGCCTCGGCACGGTTCAGGCAGAGGAAGAAAGAGAGGGATCAGGAACAGATTGCCAACTTGCAAAAGCTGGAGCAGAGGAGTCGCGACCTGGAGGTCAGACTCCGGGACATGACCCAGGAGAGGGACTTTTACAGGGACGAACGGAACCGGCTGCGAGACGTGGTTCTGCGGACGCCGCTTAGCGATATGGCGAACGGGCCTCCGAGCCCAACGTTCTCGAGGAGCGGAGGGTCCATGGCGGAGACTAGTCCGCTAACGCAAGCTCCCATGCTACCCCATCAGTCTCAGCAGCATGGTTACGCATCGAGCGAGGCGTCCTCGGTGGAACGACCGACCCGACGGCGACGAACCGAATCGGCCCAGACGCCCGAGTTTTCGATGCCGTCGTACGGCACTCCTGTTCCACAGGCGGGTAACCTGCCGCCCTTGCAGGCTCCGGCATACGGTATGATGCAGCAGCGGCCCCCATCGACGACACCGGGGGGAGAGAGGTTGCCCCCTCTTCGAGTAATGGAAGGCTCGTACTCTGGACCGGATGCAGGGCCGGGTGCGAGTGCCGGGGGTCCCTTGTACCCCAGTTACACCCGCGTTCCCCACGAGACGGGGTTTGCGAGCAGGATCGCAGGCCCGCCGGGTCATCACGGCCATCATGGTCACGACGGCGGGCCGCGGTAGAAAGCACGACAGAAAGGTGTTCATTGTTTGGGGGGTTTTCTTGTTTTTGGAATTCGACGCGTTTTATCTACATCGACACTCGCTACCAAGTTTATACCCACTTCGTTTCACCGTTCGAACTCGTTGGCGACTATACAAATACAGATTATAATAGGAAAGAAGACAGGGAAACGGGGAGGGGAGAAGCGGTTTTTCAAAATGGGACTTTGGGGCTCGGCTACTTCAAAGAATCGCATAGTTGGGCGACCGACGCACGTGCTTTTTTCTTGTCCATTTATTTCATCTCATGGGTTGTCACAGGAGTTGGCTGCATGGGCACAGATGGGGAGTCTGAAAAGAAACAGTAAACAGCTACAACAGAGAGGGGGGGGGGGGGGGGGGGGGGGGGGGGGGGGCGGTCGTCTAGCCGACTCCTCTCGGACTCGGTCCGACCAAATCAACTTTTCCACAGCGTTGGATTTATGTCTTGATCTATTTTTTGGTTCTTTATTTTTTCATTTTGATTCTTGGTTCATGACTATGAAGACGGAGATGAGGAAGCGGGAGCGAGTCGGAATAGGACCGTTTGGCCGCCACCGATATGCTTTGAGCTAGGTGTTTTGGGTTGTGTCGAGCTTGTACAAAACGTCTTAGTCTAGTGTGTGTCTTTTTTTCCCGGGGTTTTCCCTCTTTTTTTTCAACAAGCCGTTTGTATTGTAGCCACTCTACCCCTCCCCGAAGAGACTGCCCTTGTGGACAGCAAAAGTAGAGACAAGATGGCAGGCTACGTACTCGTATTTGCTAGCTACAGACATCAACTTGACAGACGTGCGTTGGACGCGAAAAAAGCAATAGCGGGTTCGATGTTCGAGCTGACATGACATGGCGGGCTCCTCGGGGCACAACCTTGGCTTTGGTCTTTGGGGGCCAGCGGCGATGACGAGAACATGGCGCAGAGCCCATGGCGTGGGGGGACCTGAAGTGAGGCGGAGGGGCGTGTTGCTACGAGGTGCGTCAACGGGGGGGGGGGGGGGGGCAGAGGGAGAGAAAGAGAGAGACTGGACGATTGCGAGCCAATGCCGGACGACGAGGATGTGCCTCGTTTGCGAGCTGCCGCCGGGGCAAGTCAGCTTATGCCACAAATGCAAGTCATCCGTCCATCCATCCATCCATCCATCACATCACCGTCGGTGTCGTGCCCATGATCGACGACGACCGTGGCCGGTCCCATCCCCCACCACACGCGGCCGCGGCGATTGCTCAACCCGCCCAGAGAGGGCATCCTCAAAGTGACACTGCCGACTCCTCTCGACAAATTGCCAAAGGGAATCTGGGAAGTTGCCGGCAACGTGTCTCACGCCTTGACTAAGGTCCAGTTTGCGAAGTTTGCAACTTGGCAGAGCGTCCGCCACGTCACACACACACACGCACACACACGCACACCCATAACTCGCACAGCTCCCCCCTCCCCCTTTTTTTGCTGGACGGGAAAGAAGTAGTCGTTTGTAACCGACTCAGCGCCCCCAACGACGGCGTCGGACTTGTCGCGCTAGCCGACAGCTTTATTCGATGTGGCCCCCAAACCGCGTGTTTGGTTCACTACGACAGCGGAAAGGTCAAGCAGGGGTGGGGGATGGGGCGCATGCGAGTTCGCCTGCCTCTGCCAAGTGCGCACCTCTTGCTTATTCGACGAGTCAAACTGCGGCCCAAGCGGCGTGAGGCCGGGTGGTTCTGTTTTTTCCTGTCGGGCGTTCATACTAAAAATCCTGCGTGGTCGTCTTTGGCGGGCATTGGTGCGCAAAATTGGTGGAGAGAGACTCTGTTACCCAATCGGGTAACTGGCTTCACCGAGCCGAGGTACGTACTTTGGCAAAGGTGAGGGAAAGGGCGCTTTGGTGTTTTGTGGTGACCTGACACGGTTCAGGGTCTGACGAAAAGAGCCGGAAGGAGCGCCTGGGAGACGGGAAGGGGGGGGGAGACGAGAGACGGGAAACGGGAAACGGGGAACGGGAAAACGGGGAAACGGCAGGTGGAGTGCGGGTACGGGTTGGTCATGGCACTCCCCCCACTATCCAGGGTGGACAAAACTCCGTGCACCTCACAGTCTAAACTACCGCGTCCCCCCGTCATTTACACTTGCAGCCAGCAGCACTCTGCATTTGCTGATGCATTGCTGCTTCTACTGCTTCTGCTTCTGCTTCTGCTGCTGCAACGGGCGAGTAAGCGCAGTCAAAGTTCAATGTTGGATGTTCGACGTTCGAGCTGCAAGATGGCTGCTCAGATTTGCGGCTTGCAGGTTGCCTTAGCCTCTGCCCGTTCGGTATCGAGGCGCGGCCGATCGGAGTGTGTCGCTGAATCGGGGAGGTCGATTGTTGGCTCGTCTTTCTTTTTCAGCAGGCCGTGTGTCTACCCACCAATTGAGGGAGCGCCCTTCCGAGAGCCACAACCCAAACCGGCACAGGTTGACGGGTGAGATTAGAGGGGGGGGGGAGGAGAAGACGGGATGTGGTCTGTCTCCCTCGGTACTCCTTCCCGATGGTTGGCAGAATGGGAAGGGGGCGCTCGAGTGCAAAGGCTCCGAGCATCTCCCCTGCGTCCCCGACGACGTTGACACCTTCGTCTTTTCTTCTTCTTTCCTTCTCTTGCGCTTCCCGTACACCTACGTCCACCTACACACCACGGAAATGTCGATTCGTGCCACACTGCACCTCTCGGCCCCTAACAAGCTTACTCTGTCCCTCTCCCCCCCCTCCTCCAACACGGAATGTCCTCACTTGGGCAACGACGACGAACTTCTGGTAGCTTTGTCTGCCTGCCCATCGCCGCGGCGGCCCTAGCCTCCCCTGCCCCCCCTCTCCCTCGTTTTGCGCAATTGAATGAACGGACTGCTCCGAGCTGACGGCACTGCCCATTTGCAAAACCTTGAGTTTGTGTTTTCTCCCCTCTGCTACTATTCCTGGATATTTGCCTTTGAATCTATTTCTTGGCCTTCTTCTACAGCGCCCCGTCTGCATTGATCTTTGGCAGGGCTTCTTGAGGTTTAGGGGGTGGGTGGCCCCTTGACTCGGTGCCATCGTGGGAGGTTGACGGACATGGCGGCTGGGCCGACGAGATATACTATGTAAGTTACGAATCCGACGCTGCCACAAACGAAGCGACAACCGCGAGACACGCCCGTTCGGGACACCCCGGGAGTCCTGTTGGACATCACATCACAGCCGCATGGCTTGGCAAGGCGTTTCGCCGTCGCAGCCCCCCGTCGGCCCGCCTGGCAGGTTATTGCGTCAAGCTTGAGCTTACCTCGTAATGGGAGGGTCATGTTGGGCCCAGACGTTTCCGTCAGGCACTTCTGGCGCCTGCTTGCGACTTCCAAGGTTGCGGAGGAGGTTGCTCAAGGGATGCGCTGATTATGTTTATTGCTTCCACCACTCTTCTTCTTCGTCTTCTCCTCCTTCTTCTCCTCCTCCCCTTTGCTCGGACGACGAGAGAGGCTCACACGGGCCCGGCCGTCTTCTCCGATCACTGTTCTTCTAACTCCTTCGAGGGTTCCCCAAGTAGAGGTACATCGTCCTGACTGTGGCACGTCCCTTGCCATGTACCGGTCCAAAGCCGCCCGTCCCTGGGCCGTCCCTTTTCCCTCTGGTTTTTTTTTTTTTTTTTTTTTTTTTGCTTTTGGCAATTCAGGTAGGGTAGCAAGAGGGTGTGTGAGGGTGGCACACCTTTGACACCCAACCCGCACCCACCAACCTACCGACCGCCCCCGATAAGCTACGGGGCTGCCTTAGCTTGCCTTACATTTTCACTCTTCCCGAGATTCGCTGCGTCGTTGGTGCCGGCTCCCACAATCGCGAATCGAAAGGCAAGCCCCGAAACCGCGGCGGGGGAGGGGGGTGTGAGAACACCAAGGGACCTGAGAGAGCGGGAAAAATAAGAGAAAGAAAAAGAAAAGAAAAGAAAAAGAGGGGACACCTTAATTACCAGGTACGATCGGGATCTTGGCCCATTCTACCCCGCACCGTGTCTTGCCCAAATCGGCGCCTTGCGCGCATTCGCCGACGACCTCACCCCGTCGTCCCCTCTCGTTCTCGCCAACCATGTCCACCTTTTCCCGCCCCGTTGCATCCGACCAGGTCCGCCACCTGGCCCTGCGTGCTGTGGCCGGGGTGACCCGACTATCTTGCCGGACGCGGCCGAGAGTCCTCGTTGCGTCTGCCAATCGTGCCTTCGCGACGTCGCCCTGCCGCTGGACCACCGCCGAGCTGACGGCCCCGAACGGCAGGACATGGTCCCAGCCCCTCGGCCTCTTTATCAACAATGCCTTTGTCCAGAGTTCCAGCGGCCAAACACTGACCACCACCAACCCATTGTGAGGCTGTCATCGTCTGTTGTTTTCGCGCGGCTTTCTGTGCTGACTCGGCGTAGCGACGAGGAGGACATTTGCTCCGTCTCTGCCGCCACACCCGAAGATGTCGATAGCGCCGTCGCCGCCGCGCGTGCCGCTTTCCAGCATCCCTCGTGGAAGCGTATCTCCGGCACCGACCGCGGGTACCTGATGATGAAACTTGCGGACCTTGTCGACGCCAACCTGGAAACTCTGGCCACCATTGAGACCCTCGACAACGGCAAACCCTACTCGGTGTGTCGCGATTACGACGTGCCGCATTTTTCAGAGGTCATTCGCTACTATGCCGGGTATGCCGACAAGATTCACGGCCAGACGATGGACCTCGGTCCGGACAAGCTGGCGTACACGATTAAGGAGCCGCTCGGGGTGTGTGGTCAAATCATTCCCTGGAACTACCCCTTGTGTATGAGTGCCTGGAAGTTGGGGCCCGCGCTGAGCTGTGGCAATACAGTTGTGTTGAAGCTGGCTGAGCAGACGCCGCTTTCCATGTTGTATGTTGCCCGGCTGATCAAGGAGGCCGGATTTCCTCCTGGTGTGATTAATGTGCTGAATGGATACGGCCACGACGCTGGCGCTGCCCTTGCTAGACACCCGGGGGTCGACAAGCTTGCCTTCACTGGTAGTACGACCACGGGTAGGGAGATTATGAAGCTCGCCGCCGGCACTCTGAAGAACATCACGCTCGAGACCGGTGGCAAGTCGCCACTGATCGTCTTCCACGACGCCGACCTCGACCAGGCGGCCAAGTGGTCGCATGAGGGTATCATGAGCAACCAGGGACAAGTCTGCACGGCGACCTCGCGCATCCTTGTCCATGAAGATGTCTACGACGCGTTTATCGCAAAGTTCACCGCAAAAGTCCGCGACATTTCTGTCGTCGGTGACCCCTTCGACGAAGCTACCTACCAAGGGCCGCAGATCACTCGTGCACAGTACGACCGTGTCTTGGAGTATGTCCAGTCAGCAAAGGACGAAGGCGCGACGATCGCCATGGGCGGTGCTCCGGCCCCGCAGGCATCGGGAAAGGGCTTCTTCGTGCAGCCGACTGTGTTTACGGACGTGAAGACGTCGATGCGGGTCTACCGCGAGGAGATATTCGGACCGTGTGCCACCGTCGTGAAGTTCCGCACCGAGGAGGAGGCGCTGGAAATGGCCAACGACTCGGTGTACGGGCTGGGCGCCGCGGTGTTCACCACGGACCTGGCGAGGGCGCACCGCGTTGCGAGAGAGATCGAGGCCGGCATGGTGTGGGTAAACAGCAGCAACGACTCCGACTTTAGGGTGCCGTTTGGCGGAGTGAAGCAGAGTGGCATTGGGAGAGAACTGGGGGAGGCCGGGCTGTCGGGATACTGTAATGTGAAAGCGGTGCATGTCAACTTGACTAGTGGGTAGCTCCTCCGTCTGCTGTTCTGCAGTTACAACCACTTGCAACCAAGCGCCGACGTCCTATGTGCCGCGGAGCTCAAGACCTTGGTACCGTGCTCCGAGTTTGATTTGGATCTGCAACTACGACAAGGCACAAGGCCTGTCTAAAGTGACGACGCGCTGTTGTTTTGTGCTCGGTGCTGTTTTCATTCAGCCTTCAACTGGCTCCCCCTCACACCCTCGCCTCTTCTATAATCCGTCCGAGGCGGTCACAAAATCGAAGAAGACACAAGCATTCTTCCCCACTGCCAAGTGAATAGGCGCCAACACCAGCGACGTCCGGTGGGCCTCGAGATTGGTTTACATGCTGCGAGCCGCAGGAGGCGATGTAACAGAACATGCCGAGCGCTGTATGCTGGATACCGCGTGTGTCGCTGTAAATATCCATTGAAACCTGTTTGTTGAATACTTGATTATATCTAAGAGGAGCAGGTCTAAAACACTGGCAAGAGGCTTTGCTGAATACAACCTTGTAAGAGACATCAAGACCAGATCGTCCAGCGTGTCTTTTAATCACCAAAGGGGCGGTATGATGGCCTCGTTCTGTGGTGTGATATCAAGGCGAAATGGAACAATGATCGGGGAGACGCTATGGAGAAAGTGGCTACGACAGTTGGTAAGCATTGAGATGTAACTTGTGTTTTCTGGAACACGACGGATGTAGCAATATTCAACGAGAAGGTGGAAGCCGTCTCTGGAACCCAGGCTATGGCTTTTCCCTCTCCCATGAGACGGCTTCCTATGTTGAATATTCCTCAGCCTCTTTTTTCTCCGATTCCTGTCCATCGAACTAACAGCCTCTCCAGATATACAACCAGCCTGCTTCTTGTTGTGTTTTCATGACAGCACTCAACGCCCGAAGCAGGAATACGAACAAGCAAAATCCGGAGTCGAAGGTTCTGAATATCCAACAAAGTGCGATAAGAATAGGGTAGTGATCGAACACACCTCGTCCGCGGTATCCAGCTAAGTTGATGCCTTCACAGACATTCATCTCCTAAGCCGCATTCATACTCACCTCACCACCTCACCTACAGACGACATCTGCCCCCTACAACACAAAACCACTTACCACAGCCTAACCTGACACACAACCTGACCAAGCAGCCGAGACCTCTGTCTAATCACCCCATACCGCTTCATCCAATATCGGCATCGACCACAGCGTCAGGCTGGGTAACTACACGCAGACATCCCGACTCCTCAGCACACCTTCCTAAGGGAGCTCCGATGGATCCGCGAAAGGTTCTACTCCCACAATATCATCTCTCACTCGCTTCACCTTGAATTTCTTCTTCACGCTCACACCTTCACATGGTTTACAACCTACACATGTAAGACTGACCGATAAACCCGACAGCAGGCACGTGGCAAGTTGGCCTTCCATTTTCTAGCCTCATCGCCAGGTCAAACAACTCACCCTAGATCACTCATCTCATCTTCTCACAGACACCAACACTAAACGACCAACTTCACCTCAGGTTATTAATCACACCAACCCACAAACATGGAGAACACCACGATCGCCCCAGCGTCCCCCAGCACCATGTCTCCCACCCCAACGCTCCCCGACTCCATGTCCGCGGCGCTCCTCGCGTACAAACAAAAGCTCGTCGAGCGCATCCCCAATACCGTCTCGGTCGGCTACCGCAACACCCTTCTCGACACCATCGAGGCGGAGGTCGACGTCCCGAGCCTCGACTGCAAGCTCCGCTGGACTGTCGAAGCCGCTTACCACAACAACACAGAGCCCAAGTCCCACGAGGTCGTTGCCCTCTCCCTGTGCTTCGACTCGGGCGCCCTCGAGGACGACAGCCGCCGCGCCCAGTGCGACTTCTACGCCAAGCACCTAGACCTCGCACACCACATGCGCCATTGGTCCCTCCGGGGCCTCATCGACAAGCACGACGCCAAGGTCCGCGCCGGCGGTATCAACGCCACCTTGGTCATCTCTGGCGACGGCAATGCCGCCGGTGGCAGCGGTTCTACTCACACCGACAAGGCCCTTACCGCCGCTCGACGTCAGAAACGCCCGGCCTCCGCCGTCGAGGATCTCACCCCGGGCCCGACCGGCCGTCACCCTGATCCGATGGTCGACCCGTCCACCGTCTACCACGAGAGCAAATACACTCCACGCCTCAACTCCCTCGTCAAAAGCAGCGGCGCCAAGCCCAAGCGAGCCGTCGCGCCCAAGGGTCCCGTGATTCCTCAGGCCGTCCTGGACCGCCTACCCCCTTCCTTCATGGATCCAGGCATCGGCGGCTTCGCGCAGCTCAAGCAGCTCAGGAACTTGGACGCCGGCGAGAAACGGAACACGCTCCCTCCCTCAAACCGTACGGACAGCCTCAGGAACTCCGTTTCCATTTTCGGCGACCCCAGCGGCACTGCCGCCGCCGGCTGGTCTTCTGCGTCCCCTATCCCGATCCACCAGGGCTCACCCCTCCCCGGCGGTGACTCGGAGAGCCAAGACACCAAGGAAGCAGCAGCCGCGGCCATCGCCGCCGCCGCGGGTTCCAAAACCAACGACACCCCCGGTGACACGGCCGAGAACCCCTGGGTCGTCGCCGAGACGGCCGCCGAGACGCGCCTGTCCTCCCTCGCCGCGCAGATCGCCCAGCACCACCGGCGCGCCCGCGACAAGCTGCAGCACGCCGCCGCCCTGCGCAACGAGCACGCCAGGATGACCGAGCGGCAGCCGCTCGAGGACGGCGCCAGCCCGAAGGACCTTGCCATCTACATCAACGAGTCCCACGGCCTCGCGGGCCGCTCCCTCAGGTACCAGGAGGAGGCCGTGGCCGCCGTCGTCGAGGCGGGCCGCCTCGAGAGCGAGCGCGCCGAGGAGATGTTTGAGAGGATCAGCCGACGCATCGACCGCGTCCAGAGCGTTGCCGTCGGCACGGCCGGCATCCTCAAGAGGGAGAAGGCGGCGTACGCGGCACTTGCCGCGCAGCAGGTTGCCCATATGAATGCCTCGAAGACCCAGAAGGAGAAGAGACTGCAGGAACAGGGCTAGATTAGAGGGAATGGTTGGGTTGATTCATTGTTACATCACGATATTGCTTCGGCGGTTTGCCGCCCCCTGGAAAGGGGTCTGTGAGAACCGGCTCGCTCATCAGCGGCGAAGCTACCTAATCGCTCAGCTTGGCCGACATACCAACGCTCTGCAACGGAGGATGGGGAGAGATGATTTGCTTTTCAGGGGACACCAGGAGGCTAGGAGGGCATGATACCCATTTCAACCAGGCTTGCTTCTATAGCAAATACTTTTTCCAAAACAGGAGGAACCAAAGTGAGAGTGACTACACCAATAAGAACGAGAGGCCAATAAGAAGCATCGTTCTGATGGCGGCTTGCATGAGGATCGGGGCGGTCAGTGATGGTCCACAAGCAGGTTCAGTCAGACCCTCGGTCGAAAGAACTAGGAAACCAGGAACATGCCAGATTGGCCTCATCAAACCCGATCAATGAACGAGGTTCCCGCGATGTGTCGCCAAAGATGACAGTGTGTCATTTCACATTGCTCTTCTTTTAGAGTTTGATGAAAATATGTACCGGCCACTATGCCAATGTCTTGGACCTCCCCCCCCCCCCCCCCTCCCCCCCCCCCCTCCACCCCCAACGAACCGACCAGCTCCAAGACAAGTATAAGACAATAAGATAAGACATTAAGATTACAAGATATTCAGTCGACAACCATACCATACTTTTTATGTTGATGTTTATCACGTCCCACCTCCCCCTACCACTCGCGGCTCGACTATGTGCTGCTTTTGCTTGGCGGCATACTGCCCAAGCTCAGTCACGACCCGCTACTCTGGTTTGCTTGGCATCCCATGGCCGGGTATCCGACTTGAGTTACTGATGAGACGGAGATCAGAGTAGAGGCCATCGCCGCACTTGCTGCTGACCGACGCACCGCAGAGAGCGCCGACAGGGGTAGCAATCGGCGCAGCAGTGGCAGCCGGGCGCGTCGGCTCAGCAGACGGACAGCATCAGCAGTTGACCCGGGAGCCGGAATATTGGCAATTCAAGATTCTAATCAGAATTCAGGGTCAGCAAGGAGAGACGAAAGAGGAAGACAAGGGGGCCCGCCATGTAACGGCGTTGTCCTGGATGGATTACTCACAGCAAGTACCAAAGCTGGACTGGCAACCAGTACCGCAGTGGGCAGTGGTGCTGCCACAGTAGTTGTACTGGGAGCAGCAGTTCCCAAAGGCCGAGCCGGCGCAGGTGGTTCCGCCGTTCGCGGCGCCGCAGGCTCCGTTGAGCGAGACCTTGACGTTGGCGCCGGTGCCGGAGCAGCTGCCAAAGTTGCTCTGGCAGCCCGTGCCGCAGTGGTCGGTAGTGTTACCGCAGTAGTTGTAGGGCGAGCAGCAGTCGCCAAAGGTGGAGCCCAGGCAGTTCAAGCCACCCGTGCCGCCGCACTGTCCGTTGGTCGAGATCTTGGTGTTGGTAGCGGCCGCGGGGTTGGTGGAGCTGGCGCGGGTTGCACCGCCGGAGGAGGCGGGGGTTCCGGAAGAGGCGGGGGCTGCGGAAGAGCTGGGGTTGGACCCGGAGTTGCAGGTACCGTAGGCAGACTGGCATCCGGTGCCGCAGTGCTCAGTTGTGCTACCACACCAACCGTACTGGGAGCAGCAGTTGCCAGCGGAAGAACCGAAACACTGTCTTCCGTTGCTAGCACCGCATGTGCCATCAGTGGAGACGGGCAGAGTAGAGGAGGAAGACGCAGCAGAGCTGGCAGCAGACCCCGTGCTAGAGCCGGCAGCGGAAACTGCAGCCGAGCTGGATGTAGACCTCGTACTAGTACCAACAGTGGAAGAGGACCCCGCACCAGTCAGAGAAGCGGATGAGGACCTCGAGCTAGTACCAGAAGTGGACGACGACCTCGTACTAGTTCGAGAAGAAGAAGTGCCTGAGGAGCCCGTGTTAGACGACGACGAAGAAGAAGAAGAGCGTGTGGAGGAGCTGTTGGAGTCGATAGTGACACTGTTGCGCGAGCTGGTGCTGCTACGCGAATTGGCGCTGGAGCCAGTGCTTGATCGTATGGAAGACGAAAAAGCGCTGGTCTGCGAGATGGGAGAGGAGGAAGTGCCGCTACGGCTAGACGACGAAGATGAAGAGGTCCTACCTGAGCTCACTCCGCTCGACGAAGACTGGCTCCCACATGAGCCGTACGTGGACTGGCAGCCCGTACCGCAGTAGGTGGCACCGCTGCCACACCACCCGTTCTTGGAACAACAGTTGCCAAAGGTCGAGCCCTGGCACGTCTTGCCGGCGGCGGCGCCACACTTTGCGTCGAGGGAGATGGACAGGGCGGTGGATGTGGGCGCTGCGGAAGTGGAAGCGGCCGAGGTCTTGGAGGACGTCGTGCGCGTGCTGGTGCAGGCCCTGGGGCTGACGGCACTTGCTTTGTAGGTGTAGCTCGGGACGCTGCCGCGGTACCAGTTCTCGGGAGGGTCGCCCAAGCACTCGCCGACGGTGACGGCCTTCCAGCCGTTGGCAACGACGGAGTCGAGCATGTGGTTGGTGAAGGTCGTGGCGACCTGCTGGTGGATGTCGTGCTCAATGTGCAGGTAGCTGCCGTTGCAAGGCGTGCGGGCGATCATGGCCGCATCCCAAAGATTCAAGCTGACCTGGATCTGGCTGGGGTCGGTGTGAAGGTAGCCCTGGGTGTCGAGGTCGAAGTAGGTGATGTGGTATCCAAGGTCTGCCATCTGCTGCTGGCACTCAGCCCCGCAAATGGAGTATGGCGGACGCATGTAAGTAGGGTAGAAGCCGAGAATGTCCTTGAAGGCAATCTCGTTGTAGACCATCTGGTTCTTGCGCTGCGCCAAAGTCATCTGGTCGAGGTTCTCGTGCGACCACGTGTGGCTGGCAACTTGGTGGCCCTCGGCAACCATGCGCTGGGACTGTTAGACATGCTTTACTGGTGAGCATTACAAGAGGACTAACCTTGATAACATCGCGGTACGCCACATTAATCATACCCTTGCCGAGATTGTTGCCGGTAATGAAAAAGGTAGCGACAGCGCTATGCGCCTTGAAGGCGTCCAGCATAGCCGCAGTGTAGAGATAAGGCCCATCATCGTAGGTGATGGCAACATCACCGTCCTTCTCGCAACTATAGATGCCAACGCCACCGTAGGGTATGCTGCCCTTTTTAGGTCTCGCGTCGTTGGACGTATCCGTGCCGCTGGGCTTCTGGTTACCATCACAGGCTGGGCCGTAGTTGATCTGACAGTCAGGCGAACTGCAATACTCCGCTCCCTGTCCGCACCATCTGCTGGGTGTTAGTCATTTGCTTCCTGTGAAGATGAGTTGAACCACATACCCGGCAGCCGAACAGCAGAAGCCCGCGGCACACTTTCCAAAGGTGCCTCCACACTGATCGTTATCTCCTTCGAGGATAGCAGTTTGACGAGGCGTCAAGCGGTTCTTGCGGTCATCGCGAGGCTTGTTAGCTGCAGTCGGAGGGTTCCAGGGCTCGAATGCCGCGCGCCTCTGCCGCAACTCCTCCTTGTTCCTGAGGCGCGGCAGCACCATGTTCATGTGCGGCTCGTTTCCGTGAGCATGAGCTGCCTCCAGCCCAGCGAGGGCGGCGAGCAGCACCGGGGTCCAACGCATCGCGATTGTGTGGAGACTGTGCAGTGTAAGTCGATTGGGTGGGCGAGGCTCCGGACGAAAAGAGGGTCCCAGAAAAGGCTAAGCAGCAGCTCAGTGGATGAAAGTTGTGACTCCTAGGCTTCTTATTATGATGCTGAATCAGGTTGATGGAGGAGGCCGAAATTAAAATTCCTTCGTGAACCCATGTGGATTGCCATGTTATATATGAGAGCAATGGTGATGTCGCACCAGAAAACGACCACGACGTTCCCCCACACGAAACTTGGTAATGGCGGCAAAGAGCCACCCCCCCCTCCCCGAGTTGGGAGGACCGAGCTGTGTGCACAATGGAAATTGAAGGATCGAGAGCCTAGCTCGCGCAGACGTCCCGGGTCGGTAAAGTTAGCACGGCTTTGGGATCGCAGGCTCGCGGGGTTTAGGAAGGCCTGAGTAGGGCGAGTCCATCATGGAATGGAGTCGGTATGGCGCGCTTGGCCTTGTCTGCCGGCAAATTTTTCCACTGGCACAGAAAAATCCACCGTCATCGTCAAGAAGGCCCCGTCGAGTCTTTGATCCGATGGCAGACTTGAAACGGACCATACACAAGGCAAATGGTGGGCACTGAATAACAACACAATGAACCGACGATGGAGAAGAACAAGGAGGGAGAGAGAGAGAGAGCGCGAAGGCGAACACGAGGGCAACAATGGTCAAGGCGGGCTATGCGAGCTAGGCTACAAGCCACGAGTTACGACTGTGACGGACCGTCCGCCGCGTGGAGAAGCCACGGCAACACCGGTGTCTTCGGAGACGCACTGACGGGTTCCAGGAGGCTCGAGTGATGAACGAGGCCACGCCGAGGGCGCATCGTCGGGCCCTTTCTGGTGCCAAACGAAAGGTTGCAACAGTCGAAGCGAGGCGAGGCGAGGCAACCGCTCCGTGCTTCTCACTATGGTTGTTTACTCAAAGTTCACGGAGGCAAAGGGTCGAGATCGAGGCCTCAGCCGGTAGCACTAGCCAAAGCCGGCGGTGCCTGGCAGTAGTGCCCCCGTATGGTTGGGTCGATGGCGGCGAGAAGAATACAATAAAATAAGAATGGAACAGACTGGGTCAGAGCCGACCGATCTCGTCCCATGCCTCGCCCCATTCCTGCTGCCCTGCCTTTGTCTCTAGGCTCGATCACCTACCCGCAGCGCTTGGAGAACTTTTCCCACCGTGGGACTGCAGTGGCGTGTGAAGCTGGAGGAAGCCCTTGGGTCTTGGCATTGCTGCACCATGCAGGTGAGGCCGGTCCCCTGATACACGTCCATTCTGAGGGTTGTGTTTTGGTGTTTCTCCTGTAATTTGGATCCGTGGCCACTACTCTCGCGCCGATGCCATTTATGCTTGGCATGGACAATGCCTTCTCAAATCATCCGTCCATCAGGCTGTAGCTGTCTTTGCAATCGAGATGGATCAAGCATACAGTTCAGGTCGGGTCAGAACAGACGTAGCTGATCCGACAGTCTGGTCTGGCTTTGCACATCACGTCCCTGCTCCGACCACTCCAAGGTGGGAAACTCTGACCATCATCCGAACCTTGCCCGGGAGCGAACGAGGCCCTGCAGCGGCATCTGCACCACGTAGGGATGTCAAGTCGACGGTGCACGTCCCGCTGCAGCCCCTCGCTTGGTCTGATGAGCGGCAGATTTCTCGCATCTAGTACAATGTAACCCATGGAACCGGGAACGCGCCGGCTCCAAACCCGAGCGCGCGATTGGTGTCTGGTGGAGATGTGACATGTCAATTGGCCTTGGAAACCATGCCGACGACTCGAAAAACAAACTCGTCTTATTGGATCGTTGCCGTTTTGTTTCTGTCCTCGAAACAAACAGCATTCCACACGTCTTTCCGATATGTACCTATACTCCCATCACAACTGTTGAGTAAAGAAAATACGGTTTATAACTCCATGACGCCCGATGCGCGTCCCTAGCCCGAACTGGTATACTATCAATTATCGTGTCATCCGTCACCCTTCCAGGTGACGCCGCTTGTGAGGCCTTCGGAGGTCCCCCATAGAGCCGTTTGCGGAATTCATAGCCAGCGCCACTGGCCCCATCTTTCTGATCTTGTCGCCGCCAGTCCTTCAACACCACAAGCCTCGTAAAATCATAGGATCCTCGTCGCCACGTCTTCTTGATTATTGTCGTCTCGGTGGTGCTGTTGTTACCGACGGCCGGGTGCTCAACGTCTTTGGACCCTGAAGGTCGGCACGCTAGAATCTGATTAGGTCCTGTACTGAAAACCTAACCCGATCGCCTTGCTGAGCCCTCTGATGGCCATCTCGTTGAACTGTGCTTGATTGCGAACCCGACCCTTGTTATCTGTTGGCGATCAGATATGGTTAACAGAGGTAGCCTTCGCCTTGGCCTTTAGTTGTGCCTCGACGCCCATTGCCTTCGCCTTAGCATCGGCATCGTCGGCGTAAGGATCCAAGCTGTCAGACTTCAGCGTACCATCTTCGTCCATGAGCTCGGCGATATCTTCGCGAGTGACTGACGACGCATCGTCTGATTCTGCCTTCTTTGTTTGCTCTTGTCCTTCCTGCTTCTTCTTTTCTTCCTCTTCCGACTTCTTCTTCTCCTCTTCCGTCTTCTTCTTCTCCTCCTCTTCCGACTTCTTCTTCTCCTCTTCCGTCTTCTTCTCTTCCTCCTCCTTCTTCTTCTTCTCTTCCTCCTCCTTCTTCTTGGCCTCTTCCTCAGCCGCCTTCTTAGCCTCTTCCTCAGCCTTTTCCTTTTCGGCGTCCGTTGGGCCGATGCCGCCCTCTTTGTTGTCACCATCGCAGCGTTCGCGCTCCAACTTCATGTCCATGATCATGCTGAGCTCTGGACAGTAGTCAAAAATCTTCTTTCGTTGTTTCGGGTCCTTCCAGACCTTGTCGGAAAGGCTTTGGCCGCCATCTTTGACATGGTAACCCATGGGCTTTTCCATATAGACGTCTTCCACGGCCAGGACGCCCTTCTTGCCGTGTGCGACTTTCTCGCCTTGCATGACCCAAAGCCGCTTGCCAAACCATTCATCTTCAGCTTCGGTGTCGTTGTATCGCTCCTGGAATTGCAACACCCTCTTGATGGAGGATACCCGTCGGAGAGAAAGGCCACCGTTGCCCGAGAAGCGATCGTCAGGGGTTCTGAGTCCAGGGTCAGTAAGAGAGGCCAATACCGACATGACATGACATACTTGGGTGCGCCGGCCCAGCTCCAATCAAGCCACTCGTTGAGGCTCTTGGGCGAGTTGGAGCACAGAATGCTGTCCGACTCGAACTTCAAAATCCATTCTACGCCAGGGAGGAACTCATCATAGAACCGCAGATCGGTCAGCAGACGGAAGACGTGTTCTTTGGTGTCGATCTCCCAGGGTTCGGGAAGAACCATCAGGTCAAGCCTTCCAATGACTTGCTGGTGCTTGATGCCGTAACTTCGAGCGACGCTGACCACGCTCTTGTTGGAGCCGATGAACAAGAACCTCCAGTCTGGAGGTACAACGGATGTCATGTGCAGCAGCTGAGGCACAAGATGCGGGATGGGGCGCGGCTCGATGATCAATGCCAACTTGGAGGCGTTGTAATTGGCTCGCGGGTCGTTGGTGGGCTTCCAGTCAACCTTGATCTTGGGGATTTTTATTCTTGCCTCGTCTAACCGTGATTTGAACTGGGCCTGGAGCATGGGTTTGTAGTTTGGGAGGAGATGAGCAAACCACCACCTGCGCCTAATGTTAACGGATCTCTCCCAGAAACCGCATGATGCATATGCGACGAGGAGACTAACGTGATGGCCAGCGACGCAAAAAGCAGAAGCCGGGTTTTGGTGATGGCGATGCCGCCCGCGGAAGCGTTCGTAGCAGCCATGCTGGAGATTTACGTCCAGGAACGGCGCGGGAAAGCCGCAGCGCAAACGAGGAGTTTGAACGGCGACGGGAGCGTTGTCGGTGTTGCTGGTAAAGTCGCTGAGGAAGATCTCGAGATAAGTCGGGGCACAGAGAAAACGGAACTCTCGAAGTCGGCAAAAGTCAAAGGCGTATCATGTCGGCCACGTGTTGAAACCGCCGAGAACGAATGCCAATGTGGACTTGGTTTCGTGTTGTGGGCAGTTGAATCTCTGGGAGATTTCAGCTTTCCAAGGGACCCGACGCGCAGGGTTATCGAGGGTAGCGAGCGAGACTGTAAGGTATTGGTATGCTCTGGTGTAGCCGACAGGTGAGAGACAATTGTCGTTCAAGGGAGGGAGCGGAGGGAGAGAAATGAATCCAGGGGGGTTCGCGCGCCGTTCGATAGTCCCGAGTATGGGTAGAAGACGGCGAAGCCTGTTGGATGACGAACCGCGGTTGCACGGCCAGAAGCTGAGATCGAATGCCACGGAGATCCCACTCGCTCGCTCTGCTGCGTTGCAGGGTCTTGAGCAGGAATCCGAGAGAGCGGAGGGGCCTGGCAGTGCCGAGTAAGGATACTGCGTACCGCCTTGTAGCATTAATCAAGCGATCCTAATGTCCAGAGACCGTTCGCCGGAGCAGAGTGAAATGGACGTGTGCAGAGTAGGTAGGCGACAAGGCAGGAAAATGATGGAGGAAAGGAAAGTGGGGGGATAGGAAGGTCGAGCCGACTGGGGTCGTATGTACTGAAGTCGCGGTCGCGCCCGGTTTAGACCTAGAGCTGGAACGGCGCCCACACTGGAACGTGGAGTACCTTGGCGCAGGGAGGCGGGTAAACGACGAAGATGAAGACGACGACGACGACGACGACGACGACGCGGGAGAGAAGAAGGCACGGGTGACGGGGAAGTACTCTCCGGTACTTCTACCCTCAGCTCTGCTGCTGGCGTGGCATGCAGGGAAAAGGGCCCCTCCCGCTTGCCCCACCCACGCTGGTTCCTCTCTCCATTGCTTTCAACCTCACTCTGTGTCGTCTTCTGTGGTGGTTGCCCTTGGGGCTCTCCAAGGGCTTCCCTGGACAGCGGTTCCATCTTTCGGACCGAGCTCAATCGTTGTCTCGACCATTCGCAGAGTTCGCAAAGCGTTAGGGTATCAACGCCACGAACCCAACGTCCCTCCCCATCATGCACCCGACCGGATCCCGGCATTCACTTTCGCAGTCCAGGGCGTGTTTCTTCCATCTCGAGTCGCAGCGGTTTGTCAATCACGTCTTCTTCACCCCAACTTCTGCCGTGCCAGGAACCATCGTCGCTCGATTTCGGGGAGCCCGGAACTATGTACGCACGGCTATGTGACACGCCAAGTCCGGATGACATTGGCACGGCTCGTCGACGACAAGACTTGCATGTGGCAGACTCCCTACGAAGCCGTGGGAGCGTCCGACTCGCGCAGCGACGGGCGGCCGTGGCGCTGCCCCGCCTTGCCCGCCGCCCTGCATCGGTGGCAGATTGCGCAGGACTGCCTACGCGCTACTGAAAAGGAACACTGAAGACGGAATCAAAGACGACTTTTCTTCTCTTGTCCAGAGCTGAGTCCCTTTTTGATGACTTGACGCCATGTAGGCTTGCTTGCGCCCGTCCTGCTGGTCGCACTCCTTCCACGCGATAAGAACAACAACGTCGCCACACGAGACAGCTGTGTCGGAGGAACCAACCAACCCAAGGGGTCAAGTCACCACGAAGAAAGGCTGCGTTCTGTGGCGAAGCAAACCCCAGGCGACGACGATTGCGTGCACTGTTTGGCATGGGCCATGGCCCGAGCCTTGCATTCGGGCTATAGAAGACTTGGGGTTTCCGGGAGAATCTTCATGTTGGTCGTCTATCCATGTCGGCATGTGGCCCTTACATGCAAGCGTGCGGCGAAGCAGTGCATGCACTACACAGCTGCCAGTTGCGCCAAGGAATACAATCAATTATAGTCTTCTGGTTACGCAGAGCACACGGTGACTGAACCGACCGGTGTGGTAGGGAGCTGACCACATATCACCGGTGTCACGGTGCGTCCGTACAAGTACACCGTTTCCTCATGGAAAGTGCTTTTCGTCTCGAAAGTCTAAGTTGAGAGTTGTCTTGGCCCGACATGAGACATAATTAGACACGGTCTCCCTTGTGTGCCCTGCAGTGTATGTCTGTAGGTGGTGTAGTAATTCGACGGTGGGATCGAGTAGGGGTTCATGAGGCTTGTGCCGCGAATCATTCCGAGCAAGCTGTCATCGCCATTGGGAACCCGTCAACCGTATGTGCACAGTACGGGCGTACCAGGTTATCGGGGGCCTTGGCCGAACCCCCTGCACTTTAATGCAGTCGAATTAATGGGGCGGCACGGCCAGCAATACCGAGAGAGCGGCTCAGGGTTGGTGGTTGTTGGTTGCGCTGCACTACCTACACGTACGAAATGGCCTGGCAAGGCGCCGTGAGGTCGGGGTTGGCTGTTGGCGGAGAAAGCTTTGCTGGGATGCGGCTGGACAAGCCTCAACCTCACCTGTTGAACCGGGTCGGAATCATGGGACGAATCTTCGGCTGCGCGCAGCGCTCGTCGCTCTGTCGCTGCAGCCTCATGCATACGGATGGCTTGCGAGGTGCTGGGGCGCTTCTCTTTGATCCCAGGCGTGTCGTGCTCAACGTGTCGACTTCGAAGAGAAGCCAGCCAATATGGTAGTGGCATTATGTTCCGAATGCATCCCTGGTCGGCACACTGACTTAGGTACTTGCTCTTTCGGTTTGCACAGGACATATGGGGAGCAGGCGGGAAATGAGTGATGGTGGCCTGAAGTCAGGCCTGCCCTTCATCATCGAAATCGCCGTCGCACATCCATGATCGAACGACGGACAGGACGGAAAAGGTACATGCAGGTACTCGGCCGGTACTCGCCCAAATTAGACACAGCTGCGTCGGCTTGCATTGCGCGGTTTGACAGGGGCTCGGGGCCACGACGACAGCGTGGACAGCAAGGGCGGCGGCGGCACCGCCGGGAAAGGACAGTCAGCGCAGCGGTCTTTCTAGTGTATCGGGCTGATTCGCTCACTAAAAAACCCACTAAAACACCTCATCGGAATCGCATTTGCGTGAAACTTCCACGAGCCAGGGCCACGCCTGTCGATTGGAACCTGCCGCCACAAGTCTCTCTGTCTCTCTGGCCCATGTTCGCCCCAGGCTGGCGTGGACACCTGCCAAGGAAAAGGGGGCCGGCATGAGGGAGGGGGGAAGGGTACTACAACCTGTACGCAGTAGTAGTTAGTACTTTGTACCTAGGTGAGGTGAGGCAAGGCAAAGCAAGGGGCGTCCTGTCTTATCATCGGATCGTTCCTTTCGGCCCCTCGCTGAACCAGAGGTGGTGTCAAGGGAGGAGCTGCCATAGGAAAGGTGCGCCTGTCGTAACCTGCTAGTGCATGTGCAAGTCGTGCTTTCCCGGCTTCTCCATCATTCTCTGTCGCTCTTCTATTTTTCTTCACTCTTCTTGCTTCTCCCCATCACCTCACCTCTCGCTCAATACAACAGACCCTCATATCACCATCCGGGCTGTAAGCGGGTTGTCTGCGCAAGTAGCTCGTCTATTCGCAGTGAGCTGTTGTCGTCGTCGTCGTCATCAGCCGCTGGATCGAACATGCATTAATTCCGCTGTAACGCTATCCGACCCATCCACGCCATCGACCTTGCGTAATCTCGCTGTGGACCGGACCGATCTGCGAATCGCGAGTTCGCCCGCCCTTAGAGAGGCTGCTCTGGGCTCGAGTCGCATCTGCGACTGAAACTTCCCAGAGGTTGCATCTTGCTTAGACCGCGCATCCATTTCTTCCGCCTTTGAGAGACCGCCTGCTCTTTGAGCCCTCTTGTCAACATGGCCTCGTCCTCGGGGCCTGCCGTCAAAGGCGAGCCAACAATGTCAGACGTGTGGGAAAAACTCAAGCTCGTCATGTTCAAGCTATGGCGCCGGACGAGCCGCCGCATGAGAGTAACCGGTGCTTTTTTCCTCTTTCTGTAAGCTGATGTTCCACTCCCTCCCGGACTGAACTCGCCGTGGATCTGTCGAGTACTGACGATGCCGTGTTAGTGGCGTCTCGGTATGGCTCTCGCTGCCTACGATCAAGACAATGACGGTGCCACAAATATCTCTCGAATACGCACATTCGCCATACAACCATTCCAAGGTCGCCCTCCTCGTGGAGAACCGTCCCAATCCCATTCTTGCGCCCTTGATGCTGCACTTCATCTCCGTAGTGCCTCCCGATTGGCGCTTCCGCTTCATGGGCTCTCTCGAGTCCGTTAGGTCCATTAACCAGTCTGTCGCTATTCGCGAACAAGTCGCCGCCGGCAAATTGGACCTGACCTACATCCCCTCCAACATGAGCACGGCTGGCCAGGAGATGATCAGTCGGTTCTTGACAAATCTCTGGCTCTACGAGACGGTCCTGCAACCTGCTGAGTGGCTCCTCGTCTTTCAGACTGACAGCATCCTCTGCGCCAACAGCCAGAGGAACATCAACGACTACCTCGAGTATGACTGGATCGGAGCCCCCTGGAACCCCGGCGGCCGCTGGGGTGGCAATGGCGGCTTGTCCATGCGTCGCGTCAGCGCCATGATCGACATTCTGAGGTACCAGCAGCGCGTTGACGGATCCGACCCAGAAGACGTTTGGCTCGCCGAACGCCTTGCTCACCGGCCAGGAAGCAAGGTGGCCAATGGTACCGTGTCGTTGTACTTTAGTGGCGAGATGCACTCGGGTGAAGGCACCAAGGTGAACAAGGGTGGGGAGAATGCGACACTCGAGGCCGCCGCCGACGGAGAATTCGTTGAGGGTATAGACGACTACCGTGAAGGCTTCTACGAGCCCATGGGCTACCACACGGGTGGCAGTGGTATCTGGCTTCACAGTCCCATATGGGGTACCCCGGCGCTGCGTAAGCATATCTGGGAGTACTGTCCCGAGGTCAAGCTCACACTGGCCATGGACGCGGCCAAGTATGTGCCTGGCCATTGCAACGCAAACTGGAAGAGAGACCTCGAGGGCGAGCCTGGGACGGAAGGCGACGGCCCGGCGGAAGTGGATGGGGAAGCGGCGGATTCAGAATACCCGTTTGGGACAGAGGTCATTGAAGGGAGAGAGTACCCAAAACTGCCACCCGGTCTGGTGGCGTGGTGATGCCCGACCATCTGTCAGAAACCCGTTCCTTGCGAGCGAAGGCGGAGTTTGATGTATTGCGGGCTTTTGGCGGCATAGGATTCGGCTTGGCGTTCGGAGGTTATCTTGGTCCTGCGGCAGATTCGGATAGCTCAAATAACGAGTCATGTAGGGCATGGATTATTACTTTGATTGTCGTTGATATAACTGCGACCCTGCAGAGGGCAGATGTTTTGAAAGTGCAAGGCAAGCTCAGAGGATGACCATCAGTACGGGTGGACGTGTTTCCTGCTCGCATCGAAGCTCTATCAGAAGGATCCAGTGACACCCCCCACCTCACGCACATGTTGACGCCAAAGTTGACGGGGACAATGCGAAGCGCCACTTATAGTGTAAACGCCGCCCTCTGTGCAGACTTCCTCTCATACGACAGTCCGGCCGGCACCATCCGACTGCCTGTTGCTTTTTCGTAGATGGCTCCAGCCAGACCAGAAAAAGCCAGGGGAAGCAAAACATCTTCCCTGCTGGCCGCTGCTCCCAACGTGGCCACAAGGGGAAAGCAGAGTCAGGTGAAAGACCAAAAGGCACGATGCACCCGAGAAGACGTGCATGGACGGGCCCTTTGTGATCCGACCACCCAACGCCCGGCAGGCCTCGTCGAGCCACACGGCAGAGGCCGTGCCGTGCCGTGCCTCCCGACGCCGACCCGAAAAGAGCCTGGGTGGTGGTGGGCGGGATACTACGCGGCCCGGCCCCTGCGGCAAAGTCCGTAGGCACGGCCGGCAGGACCGCCCGGTTCTCACGGGCATGCACCGCAGCTCTACACACACACGCCAGACCTCGAGCACGATTACAAGCCTTTCTTCCCCTCTGGGAACCCCTCCCTCCGGGTGAAGAAGCAACACATCCATTGGATACTTGAAAGACTACGTTCGGATATCGCATATTGCTACAAAACCCTGGCCACCTCGGAACAACCCCGGCGAGGTTGACGAGATGACAGCAAGCCCAAGGAGACAACAGGACCCCCTCTTGACCAAAGGCCGGAAAAAAATAATAATTACAAGAATACTCTCAAAGCACGTAGCCGCCGCTTCCAAGACACTGCCACTCCCTCACACCGGTGCCCTCCTCCAGCTCGACGCACCACCAGAGCACCTCCTTGGCCTTGTCGATCTGGCCGCTCTCCTCGTGGGCCCGGGCCAGCGCGAACCACGCCTCTGCGCTGTTCCACGCGCTGCCGAGCTTCGTCAGCGAAGACAGCAGCCCGTAGGCACGGTCACGCGCGGCGAGGCGGTCGATCTTGGGGACCGAGGTCGCCTTGTACGGGGCCGGCAGCTTCTCTTCCGATTCCGACCTTTCGAACGATTTGACCGACGATGCGGTTGTGGCGGATGTGGCGGATTGCTGGGCGTTGGCTTTGCTGAATCCGGAGCCTGATGCACTGGAGCCTAGGCCGAGGGGCTCCGACGGGAGGCCGTTTTGAGGAACCGCCAACTTGGGCAGTTCTGGGGGCGGAAGAGAAAGGCTGGAGACGTTCTCCGGCACGCTGAGGGTGGGGATCGCCGGAGGTGGGAGGATCTTCTCGCTGTAGATGTCGAGCAGAATATCGGATAACCCGACGATAGCTGCCGGGTGGTCGGGGTAATGAGTTAGAGCCATCTCAAAGTCTGACCGGGCCAAATACGGTGACCCCTTGGCCAGAGAGAGATTACCAAGCTGTTCAAGCTGTCAGTCACCAGAAACCACAATCGCTGCAGGAGTGAAACTCACCTCCGCCCACACATCTCCCAATAGTTCGTCGACACCCTTTTTTTCCGCCCAGTTATTGCCTCTCATGGACAAGGAGCCCGTCGCGTCCTTTGCGACCTCGGCCTCGAGTAGACCCACGAGCTTCTGAGCCTCCGAAATCGCGCCTTTGGCATCCTCAAACATGTTGGCACGTCGGTAGAATCCCGCAATCATCAGCCACACTTTGGTGAGAAGAACTGCCCTCTGTCTCCGCACTGTATCCAAGGGGAAATGAATCAGGGGCAACGGGTTAGAAATGGTGTAAGTGCCACTGGCAGAGATTTCTGAGAAATTCGTTGATCTCGACTTCTGGGACGCGTATGACTCTAGGTGGTGGAGGGAACGACCTCGGGAAACAGAAGATGCTGCTGACGCTTGCCGGTTGCCTGAAAGAGGGAAGAAATCGGACTGCTGCAATTCGTCCCCAGGAGTGAAGAAGACTTCGCCATCGACGACGGTCGGCGCATGGGGGTTGGTGCCAACGCTGCTCACACTGGCCGTCCTCTTGCGACCGCCGCTGCTGTCTCGCTTGCGAAGGCTGTGCCTCTTGCCCGACTCGCTCCTGGCCCGGCGTGTCACGCTGGAAAGTCGGCGTGACTTCTTCTCTGTGGGCGACCCATTCTCTTGTGTAACCTGTATTGTTGGCGCGGTGCTCGTTGCACTGGTTTGCGGGCGGGAAGGGGTTGTCGTTTTCTCACTGTCGGCGATGCTGGTTTGCCGCGTTCGCGTAGATCCGAAGAAGCTTCCCTTTATGCTTCTCAGTGTGCCAGCTGAGCTCTTTGGCACCATTGTGTCGGCCGTCTTGGGCGGTTGCATGGTTGGTTTAGTTTCAAGGTTGCCGAACAGCCGCATAAAGAGCGACATCAACTCAGAGCTTGCATTGACAGCGACATCTGGCCCTTCCAATAGCTCGACAAGTGCAAGCTGCGTCATCTTCACTTCGAGAATGCTCTCTCTTTCGGTATCGTCCATGTCATCTACGACCCCCTTTCGCTCGTTGGCGATCTTCTCATCCTGAGCTTCAGCCTCGTTGAGGTGTTCGCTCTTGAAGTGGAGATCCTGTCTTCCGAACAAAACAGAGGGGTCGCCAAATTGCTCGAAAGCGCCATCACAAGTCTTGGCCGCCATGCTGTAGTCCTGCCTCGCGCTCAGCAACAGAGCCAGAAGGTGCCAGAGAGGTATCAATGAGCGTTGCTGCCAGTAGGGACCGTGGTAAAGATCTTGCTCGTCGTCTGCCGATTTGTTGGAGATGAGCGCCGTTTTGACTATCTCGATTGCTGGGGCCAGGTCTCGCCTCTCGGCGAGGAGCAGGCCGAGTGCAAACAGACTGCGGACATCCCGAGTACGACCCAACTCTTGGGACAGGGATTTTCTCAGACATCTGATAGCCTTGGTCTGAATCTCAGTCCGCGATGCCGCGTCGTATGTGGTTCTCGACCAGTGGGCCTGAGATAGGCCGATTGCCTGCCAAGACAGGGCAATCAGATGGGGGGGATCTTGGGGTGAAGAGTGGTCGCGTCATCCTCTTCTGGCACAGTGTTCTCATTATCAATGCCGTTCCTCAACTGTGGAAGCCTTGCCAGCCAATCCTCAAGCTCATTTCCAATAATGCGGGCCTTTTCGATGGCTTCTGTACCGCCATACCGGCATAGCGCGAGAATGCACTGAGACATTGTCTCCAGGACGGTACCATCATCGTCGAGGTTGGCCTCCAGATGACCTGTCTTGTCGACCCTAGCCTTGCCGTGTCTGACGAGGTCGAGGTACGAGTCGAAAGCTTTGAAGGCCAAGTCGAACTCCGCCACAGCCAGATGAACGGTGAAGAGACAGCGAAGAATTGCCGTGGAATGGTACGTCTTTGTCGCCGCAGCATACAGAGTGTCGAGGACACCTCTGCTCAGACTCTCGCGGCCCCCCTGACCAAGATCCTGCTCCCTCCATCCGCGGCCACACAGAATAGACCAGTTCCTCACGACCGCCTTGACAAAGGACTCGACCTCTTCTCTCGTCTCATCTGCCCGTGGGAAACTAGTCTCACTGATGAGAAGGGCCTCGTATGCGGCCTCCGTCTTCTTGAGCTCAACTCTTAGCTGGTTTCTCGCAGAGGCCTCATTTATGGCTTTGCCGAGGTAACCCGCGGGGAACGGTATGTCCAGTTCAAGGATGGTCGCCAATGCCAAATAGTACTCCAGCCAGACTTGTCGCCTTGGCACAGAGCCCCTATATCCGTGTCCTCCCGTGACCGGCCCTGACATCGACTCCCAGTACCTAGCCCAGGTTCGGAAGCAGGCAAGCGAATTAGGATCCGCGAGCGACCGCTCGTTCGCTCGAAGGGCTTCACTATGAAGCATGCAGTACTCAGTCAGGAAGAGTTCGGACCAGACCTTGAACTGCCTGTGAGCGCTGCGGCCGGTCCAGGCCATGGATACTGAGGGAAGTGCGGAGTCGAATACGGCGAGGGCTTCAGCCGTCTTGTTGTTGCGCGCCAGACAGTCCGCCTTGATGAAGGCAGCTTTCAGGGCGCTGATGTTGGTCCATTCCGATACCTTGTCGGTCGTACCGAGTTGCGCAAGCTCCTGTTCGATGTCCTGGGGCAAACAAGCGACGGCCTGATCGAACTCCTCTGCCACCCAATGCAACAAGGCTGCGCAGACCTGAGCCTGGAATCTGTCCTCCGGAAAGTTTGTCTCCGCGTCGATGGCGGCCCGCAACTTGGTCTGCACGTTTGCGGCATCGAGGTCCTTGGCGGAGACGGCAGTCGAGGGTCGGCCGGCACCAGAGGAGTCGGTGGCTTTGGCGATTGCGCATTCCGTTTCGGCAGCTAGGGTCAGGCCTAAGAGGGGTTCGGAGTCAGTAACGGGGGCATCGCCGCGTTTGCGTGCTCGTTTCGAGGTCACCGACAGGTTCGATCAGGCGCATGTTTCCTGATTTTGCGGACGAATTCGGGGACGGCGTTCCAATTGCCCTCGCATCTCGCATCGTCGAGGGCCTTGATGTAGTGGGCGGCCTTGTTCGGGTCGGGCTGCAAGGAACAAACAGAAAAAACACATTGGTCAGTGTTCAGTGTTCAGCTCGACGTCATGAGGGTTCAAGAGCCATGGGGCGGTCTGGCAAAAAGGGCCGTGGAAAATGGAAACAACTCACAGCCATTTCGCGATGCTTGAGCCTGTGCCGATGATGGAACAGAAATGCAAACCAATCCTACTAGCAGCGCATCTGGATCCACGGCATGGTATTGCTGAAGATACCTTTGGGGAAGAGGAGGTGGAGGGAGGTTGGCGATGTTTATGTCACCCAAGAATGACTTAATTAGGGGAGAAGGCACGTTGCGTAACCGATTGGATCGACACGGTTGACATGCGCTCGGTTGGCAGTGTTACCGCCACCAAGTACCAAGTGCGCTGAGCTGGCAGAAAAGCGACGGTCTGGTCTGGTCTGGTCTGGTTGGCGTAGGCGGGTGTAGGTGGGCTGCGCTAGGTGGAGCAGACTTGTGAAAAGGATGGGAATTCGGGGAAGCACAAGCTTGTGAATTGCAATACCTACCTACCTAGCCATCAATCAGGTCCCTTACGGGGAGCACGGGCCAGACAATAGTATATGATCAGGGATAGATTGAACCGGCGTTTGCGATGCCTTTGTGCAGTGTTTCTGGACCACCTTACATAACCGGCAAGGTGGGATCTGCACAGCCAATCATGTCTCGATGCCCCGGTCAATCGGTGGTACATGCGAAATGTACCTTTCACTTACAGGAAAAAAAGTTTCATTCAGCATCAACAGCTTGGAAGACTCTGGCTGTGACCCGAGATATTGCCCGCTTCCTCTCATTTCCGGGCTCCAACCATTCATCTGGAGTCTCAATTGACTTTTCAGAATCGGCCGTTCTCGACTCTCGAGCAAAATGTCTCTTCCTCCGGATCTGAAGGTGCTTTGTCGCCGATTGACTTCAACACCGCCGGCTCAGCTCCCTCACTCAATCCCGGCCTTCATCAACCATGTCCTCCGCTGCAAAGATGTCCTGTCTGCGCCTCAGGACCCAAAGGCGACATCCAACTCATCTGAAGCTTCGACCCTGGTTCATAAGCTGAGAACCATCGTCATGACCCTGTTGAACGGCAAGAGTGCCATGGGGCGCTTTACTGGCGCAACCCTCGTCAAAGCCATCATCGACGTGGGCGGCTGGGAATGCCTCAAGGAGTCGGGCAACTGGGTTCGTGGGCTCTTGGCCATGCTCCAGGTAAGGCAGTCTGACCTCTCATATGGAGCCCCTTTTGTTGACATGTTTCTAGAAAAACGATCCCTTCCCGGTTAAGGAGATTGCCATTGTCACTCTCGTCCGGATTTACACTCTCATCCACGGCTATCAGACTCTGACCAGAGAGATCGCGACGCCCACCATCCCAACATTCTTCAATGCATGCCTGCAGATGATCAAGCTCCCAGCATCGGGGCAGCGCCTCAAGACGCCACTGACCGTCGTTGAGACCGTCCTCGACGCATTCTCCACCCTAATCCCCGCGTACCCGACCACCTGTCGCCCCTTCAATGGCCAGATCAGGACAGCTATCCGCCCCTACCTGGCACCCACCTCTTCTGACGGCACAATGGTACCACTATCTCTTCGTCGGGCTAGCAGACACCTGGCCATCTCGCTGCCCCTTACCACGGCGGGCAAGACGGGGCCAAGTGACGACTGGGCCAAGCTGGTTGACGAGTTGAGGAAAGACTTCCACTCGACTGCTGACCAGGTCTTCCGTGCCGTCCAGGAGTCATGGGAGGCCTCAGCACCCTACACCCGCTCCAAGGTCGACTTCGACACGCAGCCGCAGGGTCTCGAGACGCCTGACCAGCTCCCCCAATGGGCCGGGATCTCTGCTGGGCGTGACAGACTCGTCGGTCTACTCCATTTCCTCGCCGACGCACTCCGCTACTCGACGAAGACGCCTGTCACGATCCCCGTTGCTGCCATCATGGATGTCATCTCTCGCGTCTCGCTCATCAGCCGCAATTCCAAGTCCCAGTCATGGGACCAGGCGCTCGAGACCCAAGCTGCTGTGGGCAGAGAAGAAAAGGAGGAGCTCTGGGCCGCGATGCCCGACATCCACGTTGCCGCTCTGGATCTCCTCCTGATCCTCGTGCAGAGGCTGGAGCGCAACGCGCTGTCAACCATCCCAGAGATCTACGACAACATGATCCTCATTTTCCGCTCCGGCATCAACATCCCCACGGTCCGCGCCGCCACCTACAGGCTCCTCGACGAGACCCTCCCGATCGCCGGCCCTGGCCTGCAGAAGCTCACCGTCGAGACGCTTGGCATCGTCTCGCTCGCTTGCTGCCGCGACATCCAACAAGAGTTTGGCTACGTCAAGGAAGCGAAACCCGCCACCAAGACCGCCGCCGAGACCAAGAAGAACAACATCGCCGCTAACGCAGACCTCTTCCTCCCCTCGCAGACTACCGCGGAATCCGCGTCCGCATCCAGGCCTACCCTAGACCCCGCTCACCTCGCCGCCGCCAAGTCCCTCCTCGCCAGCCTCCTCACTCACCTGCCTCAGCAGCACCTCAAGCCGGGTCTGCGCGGCCTCCTGGACCAGACGGCCATCCTATCGCGCAACCGCGACGCCATGCTCGCCAGCGTGCTGAACCCCTACGTCAACCAGGGCGGCGCCATGTTCCCCAGCATCCTACCCTACCTCGCGCAGCAGTTCCCGCACGACCGCGGCGTCGAGATCCTGCGCTCCAACATCCGCACCTCGACGCAGGGGTCTTCCGATGTCCTCGAGGGCGTCAACGCCACCCTCGAGGAGCTGGAGGCCGAGGAGGACGCCGGGGATGGCGACGAAGAGATTGTCTCTGAGATCGAGGTCAAGGGGGACGCCGAGGACCAGGAAATGGAGGAGGCCGAGGCCAAGGCGCAGGCATCGGCTGGCGGGACAATCGTTGTCGCCAATGACGATGCCGAGGACAGCAGCAACCCGTTCCGTCCATCCAAGGGCGCCGAGGGGGGGTCGATCGAGGTCGCGAACCCCTTCGCCGTGACGTCTGCGCAGAAGCGTAAGCTCGACGACGAGGGCGCGAGCCCGCCCAAGAGGCAGAGCGTAGAGAGAAAGGTTGAACGGGCAGCCGCTGCGGCCCCAGCGCCAGCCGCCGGGCCGGCGGAAGAAAGGGATGATGACAGCGACGACGAGAGCATTCATCTGAACATGGACCTCGACGACGACGAGGACGAGGACGAAGAGTAGAGCACGAAAAAAAAAAAAAAACCGCAGGATATCTATCTCGTGCCGTGTAGTTACAGATGGACGCAAATGATACCCCATGGGAGAAAAAGAGCCCTCTGGCCTTCAAAATAAGTGATGTGTTAAATAAGTCTTGATTCTGTTTGTTTGTTATGGAGCTCATGACCGTCTCTGGTCATGGCCATGTTGTATACACAATACTGTGATGCCCAGTATTCAAGGCCATTGCGGCCGACCTAGTCTGACAAGTCTCTGTAAAGTGTATGTCCCCGCGATGCGACGCGCAGGTTTTTGTACCGCGAATTCCAAGCCGTGCCGTCCCCCCAAAAGCCGAACATTAGCCCTCTCTCAACGCCGCCGTATGAAGAATTGTCCTCTCCACCCTCCCGCGATCCAACGGGGGCCCATCTTTGGCGTGTTGTAAATCGCAAAGCCCAAACGATCTCAAAAATCAAAATAGGATGCCGTCCCTCTACCCAGCTCATCTCAATCCCTCAACCACGCCCTGCGTTTCTCCTCCTTCCGCGCCCGGCGCTTCTCCTTGAACTGCTTGAGCTCCGCCTTGCTGGGCTTCTTGCCGCTGCGCTCGGCCTTGAGGCTGCGCCCGTCGTGGGAGTTGGCCGCCGCGTCGACGTCGAAGAAGGCGTTCATCTGGCGCCTGCTCTTGGCCTCGTCCGAGTGGCGGTCGGGGCCGTCGCCGAGCGTCTGGAACTGGCCGGTGAAGCGGTTGAATTGTGCGACGGCGCCGTACTCGGCTGCGTAAGCCGCGGAAGACGCCTGGTTCGCCTCGTTCTCCTCGGCCGTGTTGCCCTTGGCGTACCACGCGTCCGGGTCGTAGTCGCCGTGGATGGCGGGGTTGTAGCCGCCCGCGGGGGGTCGGTCATTCGTCGGGAGGGGAGGAGGGCCGGCTGTTGTGGTCGACGCCGCGGCGGGAGTCGTGCCTGGGGCTGCGCTGGTCGAGACGGCGGCTACAGGAACGCGAGGGTTCTCCCACTGCGTCGCGCCGGTGAAGCGGTTGTAGAAGAAGTATGCCTGAGAGGTCGAGTCCCACTGAAAGTCCCAGCCATCGTCTTCGGTCGCGGGGGCAGGTTCAGAGGGGAGAGGCGGTGCCTCGTTCGGTAGGGGCGGCGCATCGAAGGAAGAGGCGGGTTTCTCGCCGTTGGCGTCGGCAGGTGTGGGAGATGCGGTTGAGCTGGCCTCGCCAGACTCCGGAGAGCTGGAGTCTCTCTTGGAGTTGTTGTCGTCACCCTCGGGAGGAGTGACGGAGTCTCGCTCGGTCGGTTGCTCGCCATCGGCCGGTCGGCTCTGTTCGGGCTCAGCCTCCAGCGGGGAAGAGGCGGGTCGCGGAGAGCCTGGCGCCATGGTTTCAAAGACGGGAATGCAGGGATAAATGGAGTGGTGTGTGTGTGTGTGTGTGTGTGTGCGTGAGAAGGAGAAGTCGCGTGGTGAATTTTTGAAAGTCGAATGCCTGTCACCGGGTAACAATAGTCTGCCGGCCTAGCAGGAGCTTCATTGCTTGAAAGAAGATTGGTGAACTTGAAGCGCGCTGTGGTGAACGGGCAGACTATGCGCAGAGAAGGAGCAAAATAGGGTTACCGTGTTGTCTTGTCCGTGGTGCTCGGATGAGTGCAGTATTGGCCTGAAAATTGAATACAAGGAAGATACCGTCGAGGTGGGAAAAATGACGGCGATTGACAGACAGGTAAGAGACAGGTGAGTGGTGGGTGGGTGGGAGACTTGGAGACTGGTTTGCACCGCTGCGGTACGCTGTGCAAATCGTCGATGGAGCTTAGTCATTGAGCCCCAGGGGCGGGGCCGTCCATCAGGGCCTAATCCCAAAGTGGCTCGAACTGGAGGCGCTTCCAGAAACTTGTTAAAGTCAGGGAGCTGTGGTCACAATGTCGCGTTGAGGGGCTCCAGTCTTTTGGGCCCTTCCAGACCATATCACTGGAAGGCCTTTTGTGAGCAACGGAGGCAGATCCGGAGCACGGGAGTCGGCGCGCACGACTGGTTCTGGACGATGAAGACCTGTAGCTCTAGCTGTTTCCAAAATACGACCCCATGCCTTTTCTGTCTCTCTTTCCCTCCCTCTCTCTCACCCTACTTTCCTTTCTGCCCACATGTTGTCTCTCTGCAACTCGGCCGCAACACTGTTCCAGCCCTTCTTGCCGCCGTCCGGGCCGCCCTTGAGTGCCTATCAGCGTCTCATCGCCTTGTTCTCTCTTACCCACCGCCCTCTCATCTGTCACGGAACGCCTCGTCAACCGCCATTAGAATCGCCAGCTAATCTCGGCGCCTGCAGCAAGCCTCCGCCCTCAACCGCTACCTCGACTCTCCGTTCGGGGCGTTGTTCGGTCTTTGTCTGCTTCACCAGCTCGTCGATTGATTATTATGCCCCCCCTTCTCCTCCCATCTTTGTGCCCATCACCCCTCAGTTTCCCACCATCGCGAACGGCGGGGCTTGAGATAGCCTCCTCGACGGAACAGCCCTCTCGTGACACTCGTCTCCCCACGATCCGGAAGGGGCCGTCTTTGAGAAGAAAACTTCGAGCTTAGTGGTTCTTCCAAGTGAGAAGTACTGGGCGCCCTAGATGCGCCCCATTTGACCATCATGTCTGATCAGAACAAGCCGTTGCAGCCGTTGCGGCCTTTGCTCCCGGCCCCCAAAGCTACACAACCCGTCCCTCCACGTTCCCTCCCGGCCTCATCAAGGAAACGACTGCCAAGCACCAAAGTTGCATGTAACGCTTGCCGGTCTAAGAAGAAGGCGGTAAGTATACCAATGTCATGTTTCTGTGCCATGTGCCTAGTGATACTAGCTTTGCGATAACAGGAAACTGACAGGCTGGAACATAGTGCGATGGCAAAAGGCCCGCTTGCTCACCATGCACAGAGCTCAAGGTGCAATGCGTCTACATCAGTGCCAACGAAACAGAGACGTCAGCAATGGCTCTGAAACGAGAGAACCAGATGCTTCGGGACATGTTGAGTCAGCTCGCGACGATGCCAGAAGATATGGCTCAGCAGACCCTTAAGAAGCTCAAATTCGCTGTCGACCCGTTCGCCACCCTTCGCTCCATCAGACCATCTGGACCAAAGGATCCCCGGGAAGTTCTGCCTCATGTCCATTCCAACATTGAGTTTGAACTCACAAGGCGGCATCCTTCCGCGTACCCCCAAACTCGGAGGTTCTCGCATATCGAGATGTCGGAGAGTATGGGATCTAGGCCACCCAAGATAGCGCGAGTCGCATACTCATCTGAGGAGGAACCTCCAGCCTCAAGGGACAGCAACTACTCCGTCACAAATGAAGCAGCGAAACACAGCTCTTCTGGCACATCAAAAGTACCTCCTCGGAAATACAACACGGCTTTCTTCGTACCGCCAATGGGTCCTGTTCTTCCCCCTTCACCCATTCGCAGAGACCCCCGGCTGAAGAATCTCAACATTGGATTTTGGACCGTGGTGTCCATCACCAACCAAAACGCAGCAGATATCATCTCACTATACATGGAAACAGATCATCCAATCTTGGGGCTGTTTGATGCTGATCTGTTTCTCGATGACTTGATTGGTGGACAAGTGCGTTATTGCTCGTCTCTCCTCGTCAATGCCCTGCTTGCATTTGCCTGCGTAAGTCTCCCCTAGAGTATGCACGAGTTTATATGGCTAATTCCCCCGTACAGCAAGCATATGCAGCAAAGCAGCCAGCGGCGTCTCGCTGGAGTCAGGAGTTTGAAGAAGAGGCAAGCAAGCTCTGGCTTGCACAAAACGACGACACTCTGCCTACCATCACTGCCTTGGCCCTCATGATTCAATCCTGCGGATGCAACGGCAAAGGCGAGCTGGACGTTCTATATATCAAGGAGGCAGCAGCCATGGCCAAACGACTGAAGCTCTTTGGTTGCCCTGACGCATACACGTTCATGGATTTGAGCCATCTGTCGGAAATGAAGGCCCGAGCAACAGCTCAGACCGCCTGGGGGGTTTTCAACGTTCTAAGGTGCGCATATGGGAGACAAATTTCTTTTGCGTGGGAATCTGCCTAACGGCGGCACAGCATGACATCCCAGTTCTATCTGCCAGCGAACACTCAATACCCACCGACACTCCCGATTCCGGGTAAGGGCAGCCTTACAAACCCAAAAACCAAAGTCGAACAGGAGCAAAGCAGCAGAGAAAGCAGCGCAACATCTTCATCAGACTCGGATATGGGGTCGCGACCACGTGCCCAATTGAAGAGGGGTCGATCATCGTCATCATCGGCATCCCCTGTCTCAGAGGTTTTTGCGGCCTTTTGCGAGTTGTGGGTAATATCGTCTCAAATAACATGGATGTATCAACACGATGGCAGTCCTGGGTATTCGTCACAGGCTTTCGCTCTCGAAAAGTATAGCAAGCTTTTGGCTTGGGCCGACAACCTGTCAGGAGGTATGGAGCGTGGCGAGTACACTCCACCTCAAGTCCTCGTGTGCCAGTAAGTATACCCATCATCCCGGGTGACAAGTGCCGCGATGCTCATGATACGCACAGCATGTGGTTTCACGGCACAATCCTTTACCTCCTGCGGCCATTTATACCCAGCGATGATCAACACGGTTTCAAGTCATGGTCACCGTCGGCCAACCAGATGCATGCCTTCTTCGCAGCTTCCGTCGAGCAATTGAAAGAGCTGGTCGAGGTGTATGCGTCATATCCACAGTCAACGTTCAGCATCTTCGGCCACTCGGCGCTCCTCCATGTGGCCAACGCCGTGGCCAACGACACGAGCAACCCAGAATGGCGGCTCTACTTTCTGAGCTGCATTCGCGCTTACCAAGCCCTTTACAGCTCTTTCACCGTCGCCGAGGTGATTGCGGGGGTCTGTTATCCATGGTGGTCAGGAAAGGTGCTATGGGCATGGCAGAGGCATTTGGCCTGTTACAGGAGATGAGGACAAAGAAGAACCAGAAGCTCTTTGGCCGGGCCACGGGAATGTTTGTGACCGATCTCGATCTGGCTGTGACAGATCGCGAGGCGGCCAGAGTGGATCGATTGATGGAGAAGTTTGAGGAGATGACGGTCTTGGATGAATTCACCCAGGGTATCATCTGATGTGACAGGGCGCATGTTTGCCCTTGGATTTATGTCCGGGTCACGCAACTTTTGATGACGGATTTGATGAAGGAGCCCGATCAGTTTTAACGAGTCAGATACCCTCATGAAACTCATGATAGCAAAGAGCGGCGGACCTTATATTCTTCCCTTTGGAACAGCAAATATCCCCAGAGTGTTTTGTTTTGGACCAGGCAACGAGCCAACATTCGTCCTGTTTATATCTATTGTTATCCCTTCCGCTCAAAAAGATATACCAAACATGTTTATTTGATGCAGAGACCAACAAACAACCCCCCTTCAAGTTAGATCTCCGGGTGCGAATTTCGGGTGGCGAGTTTCACGGGGGTTTTGTGGTATTTCGCCGATCAACCCTTGGCAGAGTTTCCTGGGTTACTGGGCCGTAAGTTGCTGTCGATAGGATGGACAGGTCTTCCTCGACTAGCCCCATACTGAACAACGTGTGAAGGAGTGGGATTCCGTGGAACATCTCCTTTAGCGCCAAGATTCTTCTTTGAATCAAGCTTCACTTCGCTGCAGTAATGGAATGGACCAAGGTGCATATTCAGCCCTGTAGGTAGGTCGGCAGTTGGTGTAAGTCGTTGACGTTGGGGTTGACAGGGGCGACGAGAACAGGCATGTGATTGGACAATGTGACCCGCCTCCGCATTGTTCTTGTTTATCCGTACCTACATAGTAAACCAAGATGTAAGTTCTCTGCTGCGCACTGACCTCACCCGCAAGATACAGCGCTAGATCCTCTCATTTCATCTACCTTTGCAACACGACATCGGCCCGTCACGTCGCTGAAGAAACGTCGTATTTCCTCGGTCCTCTGATCGCTCAGTCCCCCCAGCCGTTCCAATGCAACCAGGAGGCCTCCCTGTGGAGCACAAATAGCTCAACATCGGCCGCCGTGCTTGTCGCTAGTATCTATCTACCCGTCGTCGCGCCTAGAAGTCTAAACCACCAAAATCGGCACGGGAAGCTCCATCACTACGACGCTAACAGAACAGACCACCGCATGCGGATATTTGAGTGACATCGCTCATCCCACGGCTATTTCTGGTCAAGTCCCTTCGTCCTTCTTCACTGTCTGCCTAGCCTTCCCGCTCGTTCCTGGGCGGGTTGGCGGGATCGCCTTCGCCCGGCCACACTAACACACTGAGCGGACGGGGTCACGTTGGTCCCTACGGAGACGTCGCTGTCCCCGCAGATGCGGGCTTGAACTTTGGCGGCGATTTCCAAATCATGGTGACCAAGTGGCCGCTAGCACAAGGAGTACTCGTCGCCGGTTTCGATGGCTCTGTTCGCGCAACCCGGGTCGGCTTGGGTAGGGTCCCTCCCTCCACCTCTTCCATCGTCTCAGTCTAGGCTGAATCCCCCCTCGGGTGAGGCGAGGGCCTGGCCGGCTAGTGGCTCGATAACACCCTGGAGGAGGGAAACACTGCGCACGCTCGATCTCGTCTCACATTCCGGTGCGCCGTGAAAGGGAAGCTCCAAAGCAACGTGCCCTTTGAGAGTAGGTTTGCACATTTTCTCGGATGAAATGTCGATTCCTTCTTATTAAGTCGTCCCATGCCCGCCTTCATTCAAGCTCCCGACCTCATCCCTGACAAAGCCGCATCTTCGGCGCCAAGCCCACAGACAAGCAGGAATCATGTCTTTCAGACGGACGCCTCTATTTAGCCTCGCTCTTGTGCTGGTTCCATTGGCCGTGGCCAATGACCACCCTTACGTCGCCGACTCGGTGTGCAATTGTTACTTGACCAACTCGTCAGAGAGCTACTTCACCAACCACTTGTTCTTCGACTTCCGCAACCTCGGGCAGTATGCGGGGGTCCCCGACGTTGTCACCGACTGGGATGCCAGTGCCAACGCGTCAGTGACATCCGACTACTTCAACTCGGACGAGTGGACGTCGATATGGGGCATTCAGAACTGGAACAACACCGACATGAAGGGGAAAGATGGCAACGATGCTACGATTAACATGGTCAACTCGGCCAGCAACATCTACATCGAGAAAAACAACGACCAGGATGCATCGTCGGATACCTTTATGAGCATGCGTACCGTGCGTTTCCAGGACTTCCAGAGCTCTGCTGAGATGGAGTCCATTTCGATGGGCTACCACTTCGTCTCTGTCCGCATGCTCGCCCGCACTCTCGGCGACCCCGGCGCGTGCACGGCGCTGTTCACCTACCGTGAAGCCGATAAGTACGCCGACGTTCAAGAGGCCGACATTGAGGTCCTGACCAAGGACCCCGACGACCGCATCCAGTATACGAACCAACCATCCTTCGACTCGCAGGGCAACACCATCGACAAGTCGACGCAGAACGGCACAATGCCCAGCGGCACCTCGTGGCGCGACTGGGCTGTCCACCGCCTCGATTGGGACAAGAAGGACAGCACGTGGCTCGTCGACGGCTCAGAGGTCTCTAGCATCTCGTTCCAGGTGCCCCGCGATCCCAGCCGCGTCATGCTCAACTCCTGGAGCGACGGTGGGTCGTGGTCCGGAATCATGCAGGTGGGCGGCTCGGCCGTCATGCAGATCCAGTGGATCGAGATGGTCTTCAACAACACCGAACAGTCGTCCTCCTCGAGGCGTGACATTGGGTTTCAGCGGCATGGTCATGGGCCCGAGGGTCGGCTGGCGCGCCGCGATGGCCACGGGAAGTGTCAGGTTGTCTGCAGCATCGACTCGTCCGACACCGTCGGCCAGGCTGTAATGCTGCACAACGGGACGGCACCGGGCCACCTGTTGGGACAGTCCAGCGCCATGGCTTTCTGGCTGCCTATGGTGCTCATGTCCGCCATGTTCTTCCATCTCTGGGCGTAGTGGACGACTTTTCCACATGTGATTACTAGGCATAGCAGGGGGTTAAAACGTAGCATATATCTTTAAAGCCTGTCCATTCATTAACAATATGATGCGGAAAATAATACATAGGATTGTCGTTCGCTTACCAACCTACACGCTACTACGGCTTCAGAGATAACCCAAGCTTAAGAGCTTCGGTTGTCAGAAACTGTAAACTAGACAGAGCTCGACCCCTGCAACTCCAGCGCGAACGCACTGTGACGTACCTTTTGCAGTGGGCAAACCCAGCTGTCCTCTCCCCCCGCTGCCATCCACAGGCCGAGGAACCTCGGAGGCGATTGACCTATGGTGGGGGACGGACAGCGGCCTCGACTGGGCAGAAGCTCCAAAAACCCTGGCTGCAGCTCAACCCTCCACTCCTCAACAAACTTCCCGTCCCTCTGCGCGCCTTGCATCCTCCCCCAAAACCTTGGGATCAACACTTGCCAACGACGAGCCTCTGTCGAAACTAAAACTAACTTTCGATAATTCGCCAGCCCGCCCAGCCAGACCACGCAATCGGATCAAACGAAAGCAAGCGAACAATGGCCGACACCGCAGCCGGCCCGACGCGGCCGCAACGCCGGTCCTCGCCGCTCAAGAACGGCTACCTGATCCTCTACAACTTCGTCTCCGCCGTCGCCTGGGCCACCGTCCTCGGCCGTACCATCGCCCTCTTCGCCCTCCGCGGCCCGCAATTTGTGCACCTCGGCGTCGGCGACTGGACGCGCTGGACGCAGACCATGGCCGCCATGGAGGTTCTGCACGCGCTCCTCGGTGAGAAACACTCCCCCTTCTTGCCCCAGTCTCTCCGTAGCGGCCTTGAGAACGCACAGCTAACCAGACTCCTTCTCCCAGGCGTCGTCCGCGCCCCCGTCTTCACGACCGTTATGCAGGTCCTCAGCCGCTTCGTCCTCGTCTGGGGCGTCGTCTACCCCTTCCCCTGGCTCGCGCGCAGCACCTGGTACTCGTCGATGCTGCTCGCCTGGAGCGTCACCGAGGTCATTCGCTACTCGTACTTCGCGCTCAACCTCAGCGGCCTCCAGCCCAAGCCCCTGACCTGGCTGCGCTACAATACCTTCTTCGTGCTGTACCCCATTGGCATCACGAGCGAGTGCGTGCTCATCTACTACGCCGCCGAGCCCGCCAAGCAGTTTGGCGAGGTGTTCCCGTACGTTTCGTACGCCATCCTCGCCATTTACGTTCCTGGTAGGTTTTTCCATGCCCACGGCCCTTGGTGGCGGCGGGGAGCAGAGGCTAACACGGACAGGTTCGTACATTCTGTACACCTACATGATGAAGCAGAGGAGCAAGGTCATGCGCAACTTGAAGGCCGAGGAGGCGGGCCGCTCAAAGACCCAGTAAATGCTCAAAAAGGAAAGAGGAGGGGATCCAAAAGAAACAGGTTAGGAGGGTATTCTGAGACTATACTAAGGATGGGTATGGATATAGACAAAAAAGAGAATGTTTATCTAGGGCGCATCGCGTCGTTGCTCGGGGGCAGCAACAGTTCATCCGTTACGAATAGAGAAAAAAGAAGGGACATTGGTCATCAAGCCGTTGCGCTCTCGCCCGCCTCCGTGATCGCAAGCTTGTCCTCTTCGCTCGTCTCGTACCACTCATTCCGCGTCCACTGTGCAATCAGGTTCGCCGCGTCCTGCTTGAGCTTGTCGTATCCCGGGTTCATCTTTGCCTCAAACATGTCTGTGACCCAGTTAGCCGTGCAAACCTTAACGCAGTCCCAGGCTCACTCACTCATATGCGCCTGCGTCTCCTCCGTGGCAGCATCGTTCACAGCAGCCTCCCACACCCCCGCGGCGCCCCTTTTGGGCAGGTTGCAAAACGTCCGGTCCTTCCCCAGCACCGTCCCGACGACGCTCACCTCCTTGGACCCGGCGGCCTTGCCCAGCCGCGTGTACAGGTTCGCGAACCCGACGTCGAGCTCCTTGTTGAGCCGCGCCATGTACTGCACCCGCTTCTGCAGCTCGGCGCCCTTGGCCAGGCATCCGACGAACTCGAGGTGCGACGTCGCCCACGACAGGCCCTGGGTGATTTGCTCGCGGTTGTAGTACGCAGCGCCCGCGCTCGCCGCCACGGCGGCCGCGCTGCCGGCCACCATTGCGATCTTGCCCCATTTCCCCCACGCGCTCTGCTGCTGCTGGGAGGCGTTGTTCGAAGGCGGGGCGGGGAGCGCCGCGACGGGAGCTTTGTTCCGCGACGGGGAAGGGGACGTGGTGGCCTGCTTCGCGCCCCAGAGGGCCGTCCCCAACCCGCTGAGCTGCGTCATGGCGGCGTTGGCGGCGTTGTAGTGGCCCTCTGCGCCGTGGGCGACGACGCCCGGTGAGATGCCGAGGTAGGGCGTGTCGAAGGCGATGACGCCCTGGATGTAGGGGAACATGAGGGTGTTGAAGGACGGCATCGAGGGGTCGTCGGCGGCCTTCTTTTCGATGCCGTCTTCCGAGTAGATGGGCTTGTCCGAGGTGAGCCCGATGACGGTCTCGGCGGCGACGATTCCGCCCATAGAGTGGCCGGCCAGGACGACGCGGACCGAGGGGTCGACGGTAGGCGAAGGAGTGCCGTTGGCGACTTCCAGATCGATGACCTTTTCCAGCAGCCTGCGGGTGAGCGTCAGCCGTCTGAGTGAGAGGGGGTTTCATCAGATGCAAAGGGACGAAGAGTTTTACCAGTCGCGGAACCGGCTCACGCAGTCTCCCAAGTCGCCGCGCGTCTCATATTTCGGGTACACGATGACATTCACATTGATCTTGGGCAGCGCAGCGGCGAGGTCTGCGCGGAGCTGCTCCGTGAAGCCGTCCTTGTCGCCAAAGGTGTCGTCACCCCCCTGTGGGAATGTTAGTGAATGAGCGCGCCGGATCATGAGCGTAAGAAACCCATCCCTTGAATCCGTGGATGAAAACTAAGAGTAACGTCTTCTTCATCTTGCATCTACGTCTGAGTTGAGTGTGGGATGAACGTTCGGGACATCTGGCTTAGCCTGGAAGCTTGAGCTCGGAGCTTGACGTCTCCCAGTGCCGTCACAGTGCGGATGTACATGAAGTGCCCCGCCTCGCCACCCATGTGACTGTCTCGCCTGGATCTCCGGACAGCAGCAGCAACTTCAACCAACTTGACCCATAGGAAACTGACAAGTTCGGACAATGTACCCAGTCAGAATATGGCATTGGCGCTACAAACCCCTTCTAAGCATCGTTGTCAGCTTGCTGCCTTAGCTTTCTTCATCTCGATTCATCTTTGAATTGTGATCAGTCCAATCCATAAATCAACCACCTCATCCCAATTAGGGATTTTCCAATACCTATTCGACCAATGAAAGTGGTGTTTGCAGTAGGTTCACTCGGTCATTCATAGAAAGATTTCAACATGGAGCTCCTCGACGTTCAAGACTAGGAGGATGGAGAGGTTGCACGACACCCCCCGAGACACACGCTTTATAGCGAAGGACGGCGACGAACTCGTGTGAATGTTTACTTGCTGTGTCGACAAGTTGAGCGGCGCAGGACCTCTTGAGGCCATGAACTCCATTTTGAAGTGGTATACTGACGCTGATTTTTGCCACGCTTAGCCTGACGACGTACCTGAAGATGACTGTAGCAACGTCTTCAGCCTCTCACTTCTGGAGGCTCCGTTTCAGAGATTATTTTGGTGACAGTAGGATGGACTATGCAGAAGCTTATTGCTCCTCGTCACGTAGGTTTCTGCTGCAGCGGATGGTTATTCTGGGAGAATGCTCTTTACTATCTTAGAACACTCTCGCTGGCCCAGCCTAGGTTCTGCCCAAGGTCTTTGGACGTCCCTTTAGGTTCACAAAGTTGTTACAAGGAATGTATGAAAAGTGAAATGTTTCTTTGACTGATAGTTGCCTGCTTTTACGTTCTTAGATCGAGCCGGTCCGTACCCGAAGTGTCTTAATCCCCCATACCCGCCGAACCAATCAGTACGTGGCCGCCAATCTCTGTACAAGATATGTTCCGCTGTCAATGCCTTCGTACTTCTTCTCCGCTTCCGTGGCGTATGTGCCGGGGATGGCCTCAATATGACTCTTGAAGTTGGGGTTGCAGAAGTAACTGCTCAACGTTAGTTTCTCCGCAACGCGAACAAGGAAAAAGAACTCACGCAATGCTGTACCGCGGAGGGTACTCAGCGCCGTCCTCTGACTTCCTCGGAGGTTCCACAACGCGGTGGATGGTGCTTTTGATGGTATCGTTGCTCCATCGTGCCAACAAGTCACCCGCGTTGACGACAACCGTTCCGGGAATGGGCGTGGCGTCCACGAACTGTCCGTTGGGGCTCTTGACCTGCAGCCCACCACGATCATCCTGGAACAGCAGTGTGATAGAACCGTAGTCGCTATGCTCACCGGCGCGGACCTGGCCCGGGTTGATCTTGAAGACATTGGGGTCGACAGAGGGGTAATGCAGCAGACGCAGCGTGTTGTCGCCGGCATCTGTGAAGCTGTCGAAGAAGTGCTCGTCGAGACCCATACCGACGGCAATAGCGCGCATGACCTCAACGTGCAACGCCTTGCATTGGTCATGGAACTCAAGCATCTGCGACTTGAACCCGGCGACGCGCGTGCCCTCCTTCTCGACAGGCCACTGGTTCGGGTGACCGGGCTCGCCCTCGCGGCCGATCTCATAACTCTCCTTCAGATCGGGGTTCCCCGCACGCACCTTTTCGATTTCGGCGTTGGTCTTCAGGGTGCTGACCTTCTCGCGACCGGGCGCCGAGTACCCGCGGTTCGCCTCGGGGGTGGTCCAGCCGAGGGCGAGCTTCGCCTCGTCATCCTGGGCGAAGAAGTCGGCCGACTTGGCGAAGGTAGCAGTGCGGAGTTCCTCGCTTATGGGCACATTCTTGAGGTAGATGAAGCCGGCGTTCTGAAAGCCGCTGAGGATCTGCTTGGCTGTCGCGGTGCGCTTGGCAGCGTCGCCGTTGAGGAAGGCTGAGAAGTCGATGAGCTGGAAATGGGTGAGATAAGGCACTTGGTATATGGCAGATGAGTGTCACTCACGGGGATGAAGAGGCCCTCCTTGTCTACTGCTGTGGCCGCCATGGTGATCTAAATGCTTTACTCTTAGGCTGGAACGTGGTTTTAAAAACTCCAAATTGATTGTGGCAGATTGGCATCACTTGAATCAGAGGGAGGAACTGATATTGGGCAAGAAGTCGTGATAAGGTTCATGACTAGTTCTGTGGGATGGGATCCGAGCACTTATATCTGACTAGTTCTCGAGCAACACCTGTGACTGCGGCGCATCCGGCCAACCACAAGCCGAGCATTAAGTTCGTATCATACCAGCCAACCACTGGTGCCGTGTAACCAAGCCGGACCGGCCAAAGTTCCCTTCCTATCCCGGCCATACGGGCGATGGAACAGAGACCCTTGAAGGTTCTGGGGCAATGGGCCGGCTAGGGCCGTGGTCACACGAGAGGGACCGGAGACCTCCTACACGTTATACCTACTTGTAAGACGAATAGGTGGCGTTACCCCGCCAAAAGAGCGAGGAAAATGTGCGATGATAAGAGTCGAAGCGAGTAGAGACAAGAGTTTGAGATAACGGCGGGGTAAGAGATAGTGGGAAATGGAGGATTGGGTTGCAGCCACCGCCGCACAGCAGTTGGAGACGCCCGCGTGTGGGGTTCTGAGGAGGGCGTATTGGTGCACATGAGGGGAACATGGATCGGGCATGCGGGTCATGGCGACCTCGTCACCTTCCTGGAAAGACGTAGTACGTCGGGTAACTGGTACTTACTTTAGGAAGACGAGAGACCAGTTTTTGTTGCCCTGGGAAGGATCCGTCCCGAAAAAGGCCAGAAGCTCGTTTTTCTGTTCCTGGAGTTGTAGGTAAGCTGCACGACTCGCCATTGAGCTTTGATATTTTGTAAGTTGGCGAGCAGCCACTCCGAGGTCGTTGTTGTTAAAGCAGAAACTCACACGACAGACACACATCCTAGTGACCACCACCCCTCACTTCGGCTCACTTCGGCGGCATAAGGACGCGAAAAAAAGAGAACACCCGTTAGCCAGAGACAAAATGGCCTCATCAACGCCCATGAAGGTGGTGGACATCCACACCCACATGTACCCCCCGTCATACATCAAGATTCTCGAATCTCGAACCACCATTCCCGTCGTGCGAAGCTTCCCGCAAACTCCGGATCCGCGCCTCATCCTCCTTGCCTCGGAGGAGCAGGCTCTCGATGAAGCCACCAAAGACCCCTCGGCGAAGCCTCCCGGCCGGCCTCTGACCTCGCACTATGCCTCCCTTAACCAAAAGGTGCACTTCATGGACACGCACAAGATCGACATCTCGGTCGTCTCCCTGGCGAACCCGTGGCTCGACTTCATCGATGCTTCCGAGTCCGGCGCCATGGCCAAGGGCGTCAACGAGGAGTTCGACGGCATGTGCGCCGCACACCCGGGCCGTCTCTTCTTCTTCGCCGCTCTGCCGCTGACTGCGCCGCTCGAGACCATCCTCGACGCCATCAACCACGTCAAGGCACTCAAGTACTGTCGCGGCATCATTCTCGGCACGTCGGGCCTGGGCAAGGGTCTCGACGACCCGGATCTGCTGCCCATTTTCAAGGCCATTGCCGCTGCCCACCTGACCGTCTTCCTGCACCCGCATTATGGATTGCCCAACGATGTCTGGGGGCCCAGAGCGAGCAAGGAGTACGGCCACGTGCTGCCTCTAGCGCTGGGTTTCCCGATGGAGACCACTATTGCCGTCGCACGCATGTACTTGGCCGGCGTCTTCGATGCGGTGCCTGAACTGCGCATGCTTCTAGCACACAGCGGTGGCACGCTGCCCTTCCTTGCCGGACGCATCGAAAGCTGCATTATGCACGACGGACAGTTGGTGCGCGAGGGCAAGGTAGGCAAGGGCCGCAGAACGGTGTGGGATGTGCTCAAGGAGCAGATCTACCTCGACGCCGTCATCTACTCTGAAGTCGGGTTGAAGGCGGCCATTGATGCGAGTGGAGCGGACAGGCTCATGTTCGGCACGGATCACCCCTTCTTCCCGCCATTGACCACCGATGAACAGGGTGAGTGGGAGAGTGTGAGCATGAACGCCGATGCGGTGGCTGCGGCGGTGGGCGAGGGGAGTGACCAGGCGAAGGCCATCATGGGCGGCAATGCGATCGAAGTTTTGAATCTGAAGGTGGATTGATAGAACTAGTTTGAAAAAAATGAAACTGACATCACTCATCGATGAATCTCGTTACAATGAAGATGCCTAGAATCTCATCTGAGAATATGGCTGGGCGAAGTGAACGGTTTCTCACCGCTTTCCGTTTTGGGTAAAACGTCGTGAATTTGCAGCATACCGCCTTCCCCTTCCATTTCCAGTGCTCAGTTTCTGCCGGCAGTAGCTGAAAATATGGCTGCTGGCCCCGCGATGTACTTCCGTCCCACATCTTAACCAGCTCGACCAGACTCATCAATTTACTCGACATACAGCTCTCAGAACAGACGAAGTTCATAAAGGAGTCTATATCATATCATATCATCTCACAATGGCGGCTGAAGTCCGCCGCTCGAACGGCACGCGCCTTGATGCGTCCCTTGGCATCACTGAGCGCATTGCACCGAGCATGACAGCTTGGACCGGAGATATGCGCAAAAGGTAAGCTTGCCAATTTCAATCTCATTGGGAATTCATACTCACCAACACCCTCAGATATACCGACTTCCAAGTCTACGAGATTAACAAAGATGGCTCCGTCCTCCACCTCAAGGAAACCCGTCTGCCGCCACCCCCTAAAGAGCCTACCCCTCCTCCTCCTGCTCCTCCTCCCGTAGTCGAGGAGAAGAAGGAGGAAGAGCCCAAGTATGAAGATTTGACACAAATCGGAGACGCTGCCGCGGCCGAGAAGCCCGTCGTTCCCGAAATCCCAGCCGACGATCTGGCCGCAATTGCCTCCCTCACAAACGAAGACTTTGCGGGCCAACTGCTGGCAATGTACCAGACAGTATCCGCCGACAGGAACGCCAAGACCGAGCCAGCGACCTCCCCCGTCATGGACGACAAGGACCAGCGCTCCCAGCTCCACCAGAGCGTCCGCCGCATCTTTAACTCAACAATCGATACGACTACCGACCCGACGGGCGCCATTGTCGCCCGGGTGGTGCCCCCTCGTGGCAAAGGAAAGGGCGTGCGTGGTGGTCGTGACAACAATAACAACAAGCAGAAGAAGCCCAAGGCTCGTGCTCCCGGGGAAGGAGAGTACCTCCACTTCACAATGTACAAGGAGAACCGCGACACCATGGACGCCCTGCACCAGATCTCCAAGGCGCTGCGCATCAAGCCCCAGGCCATCGGCACTGCGGGCACCAAGGACCGCCGCGCCGCCACCACCCAGCGGTGCTCCGTCCGCGGCCAGCGAGCCGATGGCCTCGTCCGCGCGCGTCTTAACGGCGTCACTGTCGGCGACTACCTCTACGCCCCGACCCCGATCCACCTCGGCGCCCACGCCGGCAACGAATTCGTCATCGCCCTCAAGGACTGCCTCGTCGCTGGCGCTCCCGACCTGTCTCCTGCGGACCGCCACGCCCAGATTCACGCCTCCGTCAAGGCCGCTATGGCGAGCATGCACAGCCTCGGCTGGATCAACTACTTCGGCCACCAGCGCTTCGGCACGCATGCCGTCGGCACGCACGAGGTCGGCCGCCTGATCCTACAGGAGGACTTTGAGGGTGCCGTCAACGCCATCCTCGCATACGACGAGGCCATCGCCAAGCGCGCCGCCGGGGGCGAGGTCCCCGAGCAGGCGCACGCGCGGGATGACTTCAGCCGCCACCGTGCGTGCATGCTCTTCCGCGAGGGTGGGTCCATGGACGACGCGCTCCAGCATCTCCCGCGCCGCTTCTCCGCCGAGTCGAGTCTCATCCGCCACCTCGGCAGGTCGAGCGGCCCCTCTCGCCGCGACTTCATCGGCGCCCTCACGAGCATCACCCGTGGTCTGCGCAGCATGTATTTGCATGCCTACCAGTCCTACGTCTGGAACCACGCGGCGAGCCACCGCTGGCGGCTTTACGGCGAGAAGGTCGTTGAGGGCGACCTTGTCCTCGTCGATGACTCGAAGCCACAGACCGATGACGCGGAGACGACGCACGACGATGACGACGCCGAGTTCTCCGACGCCCGCCCCCTGACCGCGGAAGAGGCCGCCTCGGGCAAGTACACAATCCACGACATCGTCCTCCCCTCGCCCGGCCACGCCGTCGTCTACCCCACCAACGCCGTGGGCGAATTCTACACGACCTTCATGCGCGACAACGGCGGCCTCGACCCGGCCAAGATGATCCGCCGCCACCGCGAGTTCAGCCTCCGCGGCGACTACCGCAAGGTCGTCGTGCGGTTCCTCGCCGAGCCCGGGTTCGAGGTGCGCGCGTACGAGGACGACAATGAGCAGATGCACCCCACCGACATGGACCGCATCCGCGCCGCACGGAACGGCGCAGGGAAGAAGCGCGGCCGTGACGAGGGTGAGGAGGCGGACGGCGAGAGCAAGAAGGCCAAGACCGAGACGGCCCCAGAGGACGGGGCCAACGGTGACGAGAAGATGGAGGATACGCCGCAGGCCGAAGACAAGCCCGGGGCGGAAGCAGAGGCAAAGACCGAGGATGCGGCCGCGGAGTCAATTCCGACCGCGGAAAAGACCAAGACGGCCGTCGTGGTCAGGTTCCAGCTCCCCAAGAGCGCCTACGCGACCGTCGCGTTGCGGGAGCTGATGGGCGTCGACGAGTCCGAAGTCGCCGCGGCCCCGGCAGCAGCCGAGGCATGATTTGTTTCAAAAGGTTTCGCAAAAAGGGGCAAAGAGGCCCTCGACGGACGTTGATGACATCTACTTGGCATGTAAATGGTGTAGACCTAGATACCCCCTCTTCGGAGAGAATCCTTGATAAAAGAAAAAGAATATGTACAATGCCTCCCTGAAACCCGACCCAACCCAACACATTGGCCCGCAAAACGAAACCCCGTGGATACGGTACTCTTTTGTTTGAATTGCTGTAGACCTCAGCACGCGATTGCTTGCTTCACAAGCAATGCCCGGTGGCCTTTCCAACTATACCGACCGCCACTCGCTCATCCCAGTACAGGTCTGCTACTGCTCCTCATATCCAGAAAGAGAATCCAACCCCTTTCCCCAAAGCGAGACATCGGCAATCCTGTGCCCGTATGCCCGTCGTATTAAATCATGAAATATTGCCTTTGTCCCGCTTGGTCGCTCTTGCCGCTGGCTTGGGTTTAAATATGGTTCTTCGTTCGAGTTGCCGAGTTTTAACGATTTCGCTCTAGAAAGTTCGACCACTGTTGTGGGACTTTCTCGCAGGAAAAGCACGCATTGTGGTTCTACTCCCTGTGGCCGATCCTCCACCAAGCTGGTGCTGTGAGACAGCGTCATGGTCAAATGCGTCGCAATGGCATTGTCTTTGTCAGCTACCAATCATTTGGTGTCCCAGCCCCAGACCTGCGCAAGATACTTCGCCATGTTGACACGCTTCGACCGCATCTCCACCATCCATGGGTGCTCGAGCATTCTCCAAGGGCTTGCTCTTCGAGTAGACTCCTTCTCGAGGCTTTAATGTCTGTCAGCGTACGGCCTCGCACCTCGCAAAAGAAATCACTTACCAGCACTCGATAAAGTATTTGAAGTTATCACTCCAGAAAATGTTGGCGTCGGGCTCGTCCTTGAGCTTCGGTATCGGTTGCCGCACGATGTAAGTAAGGAGATCAATTAGTCCGGCTCGAGGTTGCATTTCAGTTCCATCGGCAGGGAAGGGGAATCGATGTTGCGCCACTTCCAGCAAGGTGACGCCCGTTGACCAGACGTCGGAAGTGATGGTGTACGATTGGCCTGTGATACGCTCAGGGGCCATGTAGTAGCTAGTACCGATGAAGGTGTTTGCTTCTCCCTTTGTGCCAAAGTCTCCGGAAACACCAAAGTCGCACAGCTTGACGTCTCCGTTTCTGCAAAGCAGGATGTTGGAGGGCTTGATATCTCGATGAATGATGCGCATGCCGTGCAGGTATGTCAATCCGCGGAGCACACCCTCCGAGATCTTGCCGAGGACCTTCTCGCCGGTACGGCCGCCGAGCTTCTTCACCTCCTTGTAGATGCTGTCCAGAGAACCACCCTCACAGAATTCCATGGCGATCGAGATGGTGCCCGTCGTCGAGTCCTCGAATGCACCATAGTAGCGGCAGATATGTTCCGACGCACACTCCTTGTTGAACCCCAGTTCACGTACAATCTGCTTCTTGACGTCGGGATCGGGGTTTGTAGTGATAACCTGGAATTGTTAGCCTTCGTTTTCAACGGTGTAGTTAAACAGTACGTACCTTGAGGGCGAAGGTCGTCTTTCCACCCTTCAGTTTGGCTTTTGTAACAGCTCCACCGGCACCTTCGCCGAGGCTGCCGAGCTCCTCGATTCGGTTTTCCATGCTCGCAACCCTCCACCCGTCAGAATCAAGCTCCTCCACATCCAGCGTTCTGCCCCGCTCCAAAGACAGCTTGTCGAAAGCCTCGAGCCCTTGCAGGCTGTTATCTCGCTCCATTCCAACGCCGCCTTCGCTACGCTCAGAGTATATAGAGCCGACAGCGGATGACGGATCGGGAGTTCCTTGAGGTCTCGCTGGGAAGCCATATTGTGAAGCAAACGATAACGCCGAGTACTGAGAGCCGGCTGATGTGGGGTTGCTAGCTCGGCCATCCAGAGGGCCGAAGCTTCCCGATCTTGAATGAGCCGCGCTGCTCTCGCTGCCACCGCTTGCTGACTGTCCCACGCCTACCGCTCTTGGGGGTTGTTCGTAAGGCGTCGTTTGGCTGCCCATGGGAGTGGCCAGGTGCAGAGTTGGGAGGGGAGGTCGCGAGTTTACGGGCTGAGGCGCCTGTCCACCGACAGGCTTTGCATTTGGTGAAGGAGGAATCGCGAGGCCAAGCCTAGGTGTTCGGGCGCCACCGCCGGATCTGCCACCAGGAATGGCAGGGCGGAGTAGGGGGACTGGCGAGTTCATCATGGGAACGGAACCGGGCGTGGATAAGGCGGGAGACGGGACGCTTGGTGGTGCCTGTGTGAAAACAAGTGTTAGCAAACGCTCACAACCACGCGTCATTCGAAGATGCATCGCGCGGGCATGCTTGCTTACCTGCTGAGGAGGCTCCATCGCTTGAGGCTGTGAAGAATTATGGTCGGCCATGACAGCAATGGTAAGTTGGGCGGACCAGAGCTATGCAGTTAAGCTAGAGAGTAGGGAGAGATGGGATCCCGCAAGGTCGCAATAGGGCCGAAGCCAAGCTACCTGACGACGTAGGTCGAGATGTGATGGCTGCGGCACAGGGCACGAGCGGAAAACAGGAACTAGCGCGGTACGGTAGGGGATTTGTGCGAGCTGACGTAGTGGTTGGAGATGGACAACGGGCGTTATCAAGAGTTGGATCCTCGTGGATCGAAAGTAAGGTGCGCTGGAAGCGTCGAGATGGGCCGTTGAAGAGATTCCTTGGGGATCGGAATGGGTGAAAGCGAGAGACACGAAAGGAAAAGGTCGTCGAAGAGCAGCTTTCCCCGCAGGAGTCAGGAGGTCGATATCGGGGTTGGAGGGCGGTTTTGGGTGGATGTGACGTTCCGGGGGAGGTTGTGGTACGCGGTCTCGGTCGAGCAGTTCCTGATCGGTATCAGGGCCGGGGGGGTTGAGGAGGGGGTTTCTTCCCTTCTCTCTCTCAGTGCGAAGGGTACAGTATCAAAGTTGGCCAGGCCAGAGAGGGGAGCAACGCGAGTACAGTACAACAGAATAGTGGCGACTGGCGAGCCCATAGGACCTTGGTCCTTTTGAAAGAGAAGAGATGCTCAAGTGGGATTCGAGTGGGCAAAAAAGGCGGGGAGCCAGCGGGACGGGGACGAGCTTGGGCGCTAATTCCAAGGCCAAGTTCCAATGGAAAACGGGGGTGGCCTCTCGGGGCCTGATGGATGCACTGGGCGAGGCTATTTTGTGTGCTGCGTCGGGCCAAGGTACCTTTTCCAGCTGCTGCACGATGTCGCAGGAGGAGATTGGGGGGAGAGGTACATCCAGCAACATCATCTGGGAGTTCCCCGTCTCGTCTGTACCTTCCTGATCCCTCAAAAACAATACATATGTACCATCGTCCTGCCTCACACTTCACCTACACGGATTACGCAAACAAATAACCGAGAAAAAAAAAAGTCAATGGGATCAATCACCAACAGAAACGAAGAATACGCTCGGTCGTTTCTGTTTACTTTTAGGAGTCATTTGTGCGGAAAAGGAGAGAAAAAAACGTGCTCGTCCCGCAGTCAGTCCTTGCGTCGTCTGAGGTTTCGTTGGCCTTCCGATTGTGGTATTTTCAAGCACACGATCAAGTAACCTCGGGCCTGGACTCTGAACTTTGAACCCTGAACCGGACCGGAGCCCACTGGAGGGGGGAGCGGAGCTTTGGAGGGATAAGCGAGAGTCAGTCAACATCAACTCCGGATGCGGTTGCGGGTGTATGATGGGTGCTTTCGCATAACCTCTTGCTGTATGGGAGAAAACACAATGCTCCTCGTTGACGAAGACGCGCGGAAACGAGGCAACAAAGCCAATGCCGCCGGTCCGATTCGACCGGCACGAGGGCCCAGTCATCAGGACGCGTACTTGGCCCGAAAGAAAGTACCTCATCACCAAACACTGACACACCCACCCCCCTCGAGTACTGGACAGTCAGTCTTTCAAGCGCAAGACACGGTGTGATGAGTGAGCTCCGTTCCAGACGATGCCCACCAACAACTCTGCCAGTCCCTCAGTGCACTTCTCCTTCGGCTGCCCTGCACACACACACACTCACTCACAATGGCCCCACGCCAGACCAGTTACATGCGGCCAGCCGCAGAACGAGACGTGAGAGGGCGTCTGGAGACATGGGGGCATGAGGCACTGACAGGGGTTGGCGCTGCCGTTGGTAGTGGTGTGTCGTCCGTGTCTTGGGCTGCCATTCGATGCCCTGCCCTGCAACTGCAACTTGCAAGTCGCCCGCCTCTTGTCCCCTTGGGCCAAGCATCGCCGCAGAGAGGGGGGGAGGGGCGCACCAAGCTGGCCCTGCGCTGCATCCCGGCCATCTTCTGCATCTCTTCACACCTCTCTCCTTGATCTCTCGATGTACAATCTGAAAGACGTCCCCAATGCAGCCTGACTGTTTGGTCCAAGGTCTTCGGATGGATGAAGGCGAGGCTTCGCAATGACTGGGGGAAAAGGATGCCCGTTTGATGACAGAAAACTCTGTTGGGCGATGAGCATACCTCTCTGGTAGCATCCTCCACAGGATTGGTTGTCATCTTCCTCGGCCGCCCCCCTGAGCGATCAGCTCGTCCTGGTTGTGAGCCAGCAGCTGGCGCAAGCAGCGAGCCGGCATTTCACTCTCGTCACATTTGCACACGCACAATCCGCGACATCACATACATGGCTGCAACATCACATAATAGCTGTAATGCGGACTGTCGGCAACTAATCCCCATTGGCACAGTTCCCAATGTGGCCCAAGAGAGGTGTAGCGATGAAACTCGCACAAGCCATTTGACAGGCAGCGTCTGGTCTGGAAATGGGGCCATTCCGGAGGCGGCAACAAATGGAGAGGGAAGAGCAGACAAGGAAGAGAGGGAAAGAAACCGGGGCGTCCCACGGTGCCTTTTTCGGCAGATGCTGTTGGAGGTGGCTCCGTCCACGATACACCTGCCGCAGGTTCCAAGTCATTTAGCATTACGACCCAACAACAACCGGCACAGCAGGCCGTTTGAGCCTTTCCCGTCAGCTGATTGCAGAGACTCGGTTGAGAGGATGGTGGCTGCAGCCCTCCTGCCGCTCCTCTCCACCGGTGATGCGGCACGAATAGGATGGCTCCCGAAGAGGAGCGGAAGGACAAGACTAGAGTAGAGTGCCTCTCGGGGTCCAAAAGCCCGTGGTCGTTTCTTCTTCTGCCCTTTCATTTCCCTCTTACGAACATGCAGCGGCATCGCTGTTTGAGGGGCGATGCATCCATCCTTCACCGCATTGTACGTACAACTGGACCTGTACTGGACCCTGATCGCACGAAAGGCCCGATCTTTCAAGGCCCTGCCCCAAAACGCCTACGTGGTGCACCGTTGTTGCGTCTTGTGTGGTCGGGGAAGTCCCGATGGCCGGTTCACCATGCTCGGAAGAAGTGCCCGACTTGTTGTGGTCGCCTACAGAATGAGGCAAAGCGAGGAACAGACGCAGGCTCACGGCGTTGCTTCTGCTGACTCTGCTGCGACCCTTTGTCTGTCGAACCGCGCCATCGGGTCCCGTCTGCGAGGTCAACTCATGCCAGCATGTCAGACGGTACACCCGAGGAAACAAAATTGATACTTTGACCGACCCTATGTAATTATCAAAGGCCCCAGTGCGGGCGTACCTACATAGTACACTAGGTTTGGACGTCCCTCAACGTCTATGATCGGCAGTTTCGATTTCCTCTTTGCTTCGCGTCCCTCCTCCATCATCGCCCGCCAACACGAGGTCACGGAACATCCCAGCTTACATACAGACGTCAATGCAATCACGGGCGGATTCAGACCAAGACGTGTTTGCCATGTCCGAGGCTCATGCACTCTAGGCATAAGCACACACGTCCGGGGACAGGCACCCAGAACGCGCCAAGGGCATAGGGCCGGAATTGCAGTCAGGCCCGGCCCCATCCTTGGGTGCGGGAAGCAACGTTATGCTGTCATCGACCTTCAGCCCTGGGAGTTTTCTGGTTCTCTGCTATTCAGCCCCGAGCAAGTCCTGGCCAGCTGTCTCCAACAGCAAGACCGAGTCGACTCATCTCGGGCAGGTTGGACCATGTTTACCCCCTCCCCCCTTCCTGGACGCACAGGTGTGCGACGTGGGCAAAAGGCATTGTCGTAACAGATGGAGCATGCAGCCAACAGATGACAGACGTGAGTTTGAACCACGCACCACCTCATCTCAGAGAGCCATGCAGAGGCCTCTCCTCTCTGTGGCAAGGCTCTGACTGGCTGCTCGACCCCTCCCCTCGCTTCCCGTCCACTGGCTTCGTTTCCCCAAGCGCGCGTTTACCCATTCAATGCGGCATCTTGGCACCTTTTTACAATGGTACCGCCCTCCAATCCAATTGGACTGCCCCACGCTAGACCCCTGCTTCACCCCGCCTGCCCGCCCAATCCTGGCCGCCGACAAACATTCTCAATCCGCCGGAGCTTTTTTTGCATCCCAAATTTTTGGAGGACCCTTGACCGAAAATTCTCATACGCCAGAGCAGCTGCCGTTCGCCCGCCCTTCATCAAACCTTGAACCAGAAGGCTTGTTACTTTCGTCTCAGGTCCCCTGATCGACCGCATCCGAAGAGAGAGAGAGACACATACACACCTTGGTTCTGTGCTTGATCGCCCTCAATGCCGTCCTCTGCAGCCCCCAGACGCCCAGGTCCCGCCGCCGACGACGAGGACCCGGCATCCTCTTCCTCCGCCAACTCTTCCGGCGCCGAGTCCGAATCCGACTACCTCGACAGTCCCGCCTCGCGCAAGAGACGGAGGACCGAGCCCCCTGCCAATCCAGACCTCTCAGGTCTCAACGACGACGACGATGACGACGACGAGGAGCTCAAGGCTGTCGTCTCGACCATCAAGGCCCCGTCACGAATCAAGCGCGCCGCCGCCGAACAAGCACCACAGACTGTCCGTCCCACGCCGTCGCAAACCGCAATCTCTGCGCCGACGGATCCCAACACCACCTTCTCCGCCATCAACGTGCGGCCATGGCTCGTGCAGTCGCTGGCCAACATGGCCATCAAGCGACCGACTGGCATTCAGAAGGGCTGCATACCCGAGATCCTAAAGGGGAGGGACTGCATCGGCGGCAGCAGAACGGGTTCCGGTAAAACGGTCGCCTTCGCCGTGCCCATCCTCCAGAAATGGGCCGAGGACCCTACCGCCATCTTTGCTCTCGTCTTGACACCCACCCGCGAGCTCGCCCTGCAGATCTTTGAGCAGTTCAAGGCCATCTCCTCCCCGCAGAGCCTCAAGGCCATCCTCGTCACCGGAGGCTCCGACATGCGCCCGCAGGCCATTGCCCTCGCGCAGCGCCCTCACGTCGTCATCGCCACGCCCGGCCGTCTCGCCGACCACATCCGCACGTCGGGAGAGGACACCATCTGTGGGCTGCGGCGCGTAAAGTACGTCGTGCTCGACGAAGCCGACCGCCTTCTCGACGCCACGGGGCCCGGCAGCATGATCCCCGACGTCGAGGAGTGCCTCTCCGTGCTGCCGCCCTCGTCGCAACGCCAGACGCTCCTTTTCACCGCCACAATCACCCCCGAGGTCCGCGCCCTCAAAGACATGCCGCTCAAGCCCGGCAAGCAGCCCGTCTTCGTCTGCGAGGTCGATACCCAGGCCCTTGCCATCCCCGCCACCCTCTCGCAGATGCACCTCCAGGTCCCCGTTACTCACCGCGAGCACTACCTTCACACCTTTCTCCTCACCGACGGCAACGCTGAAAAGTCGGTCATCATCTTCTGCAACCGCACCTCGACGGCCGACTACCTCCACCACCTGCTGCGCCTGCTCGACCACCGCGTCACCTCGCTTCACTCGGGTCTACCGCAGCGCCAGCGAGTGGACAATCTAGGCCGCTTCCGCGCCGCGGCGGCGCGGATCCTGGTCGCCACGGACGTTGCGTCGCGTGGTCTCGATATCCCCGAGGTCGCGCTCGTCGTCAACTACGACATCCCGCGCAACCCGGACGACTACATTCACAGGGTCGGTCGTACGGCGCGTGCGGGACGCAAGGGAGAGGCCGTGACGTTTGTAGGACAGAGGGATGTCGAGCTGGTGCTGGCGATCGAGGCTCGTGTGGGACGGCAGATGGAGGCGTGGCAGGAGGAGGGCGTCAACCTCGAGACGCGCGTCTTGCGGGACTCGCTCAAGGTTGTGAGCGAGAAGAAGAGGGAGGCGCTGTTGGAGCTCGAGGAGGGGAGAGAAGTTGGCGGAAAGAGGAAGAGGACGAAGCAGAAGCTCAATGCTTGAGCGGGGAGGATGTATCATGTTGTCAAAAGTTGTTGTCGAGAAAACTGGATCCTGGCGTAGTCATGGTTTGATCGGTTTAGATGGGATAGACAAAACAATACCCAATAGACAAAAGTCCAAAATTCTAGCCGGGTCGAAGGCGTGAGGTTCTCGAGAATAACACAGCGGTAGAGATGGGTATATGGCAACCCCCTTCATGTTGTGCACACAGCAAGGCTTGTATTTGGACGAACATTGTAGGCTGCAATACGGTTGAGGCCCTCTTTCGGAAGAACCCCTACTCCAGCTCTGATATGATGCATAGCCTAGCCAAGGGTCCTATGGGGGATATTTCTGCAACAAAGCCTGGCAGAGGGAGACTCGATCACTAGCAGCCATGCGTCTAAAACTTAGTCACCAGCCTACTTTAAGTTGGAGGGCGGTGCGCCCGCGAGATCGGCGTACCGAGACCCGGGCCTTCCTTAAACTTGATCGTGGCAAGCCATGCGACAGCTCAGCTGCGAAAGGACGGTTTCTCGAGCAGCCTTTACCCTGCGAGACAAGAACCCCGGTTCTCTGCCGACTGACACAGGCGCAAGCAGAAGCAACGGCTTGGGCCAAGAGAAGATGAAGAAGAGTAGCACGTCTGTCGGCCTGCGATCCCGGGCCATGGAGATGCGTGCCAACAACGATAAGTGGTAGCCGGCGGTCTGGCCATTTTGTTGTGCTGCCTTTAGCGTATACATGCGTAAACACGCGCAAGGGCTAGCGCAGAAGAAACCGCATCAAGTTTCCTATGAGAGCGGAGAAGGGAGCTGATGCAGGACAAGTTGACAACTTGCATTGAGCGTAGCTCCAACGTCCGGAACCAGCCCGATATTTAGGAAAACGGTCATTCCTCTGCTGTTACCGCGAGTAGTGAACTAATGAAAGGGCAGAACATCACATGACCGAGCTCGTCTGCAAACATCTGTATGCGTCGTGATTCGTCATCGTTAAATTCGTAAGGTGGTGATACAGGTGTGGTAGGTAAGTAATACAGGGTATCTCTGGAAGCCATCCAAACGCGCCGCGCCGCGCCGCACCGTGCCCAAGGCTGCCATTCCACTCCAATCTCCCTTGTTACATCAGGCAGACACGATCAGCCCCAGTCCGCAGCCCTCCTGGCCTAACGAGGCCCGGAAATCGCTCGCGCGCCTCCAGTGCTCGCGGTCGATGCGCTCCTCCTCCTTGCGCATCTTGAAGTCGAGCAAGCCGTCATCGCCCTTGCGCTGACGAACCATCTCGGCCTCGACCTTCTTAAATGCATGCCAGTCGTCCATCTGGGACGGCCAGGGCACCTGCTGCACCTGCTCGAGGCTCTTCTGGCCTTCGACGTGCTCCAGCAGGAGCTCGAGGCGGTACTTGTCCGTGGTGGCGTCCAGCTTGTTGCCGTATTGGCGGATGGTGTAACTAAAGCCCTGTCAGAGGAGATCGCGTACAACAGCAAGTGAGGTGTTGCTTACAGTCCATCATAGCGCACACCAGCCTGGGGAGCCAGCGTGCTTTTGAGGCGGTAGCCCCTGAGGATGCGGATTTGAGTGCCGACTTGGGTAAGGAGAGAGACGTGCATGTCAGAGAGACGGCCCTCACGGACATATCGGTAGAGGTTGCCACAGACGTGCTCCTCGCGGCCGGTCAAGAGGGGGAGGGCAGTGACTCCGTATTTTCCCTTGGTGGGCTTCTCGACAGCAGTGCCGAGAATGCCGTCACGGTGGGCGCAGGCCAGGTTCAGCCACCAGCTATAGAGAGTTAGTATCCTTCGTACAGGACTGTGATGAGCCAGGTGACTCACTGGCCAGGCTCGAACTGCTGGTTTCCTTCAAGCTCCGAAATGGGATCACAGCAGCTGTTGCGGACGGTCCAAGACTCGAGGGGATCCTTGCCGGCAGTGGTGAAGTGGATGTCGCGCATCTCACCGCCGGCAGACATGCTGCGCTGGCGCACCTGGTCGAGGGCGAAGTACTGCTCGCGGAATCGGGCCCTCCACATCTTTTGAAGGCTCTCGGCTACAGCCATGTCGGCACGGAAGCGGAGGGGCAGCGGGGATGGGCGGTGAGCGGGATCAAGAACGTCGGCAACTAGCTTGTCCAGGCGAGCGTGTTGAAGTGTCTCGAAGTCTAGGGAGGGAGTGTGTCGAAGCTCCTCCTTCAAGGCTCTCTCCAGGAGTCCTTGGATCCTGTCTGCGTGCGGTCCGAGGCTCTTCTCATGACGAAGGGACGTCCGCACCGAGTCGCAGAGCTCGAGAAGTTCCGCTTTGGTTCGCAGGGGTTCAGTTGGTGGAGAGGGGAGCACGGCTAGAAAGACATTAGACGGTGCTGGGAGTCGGATAGTGGTTGGTAGTGCTGACCTGCTCCGGGGTATCTCATAAAGTATGTCTCTGGTGTTCCGTCCATCTGGAACGGCGAGCGGCAGGGCCTTGACATGACTTGGGTGGGCGACATGGCGGTTCAACGTGTGAAGGTGGCCAAAAGTCTACGGAACCGAAGTCGTATGGTGAATATTCTCAGGGTGAAAGTCTCGCATCTAAGGTCGAGAGCGCCAGGTTTGCGATGTAGATGTATCAGGTGCTAGTAGTTGGGCCTGGATGTGTGTGTATGGTCTTTTCTCTCTCTCTCTCACTTAAGCGTGGTTTGAAAATGGGAGGCTTAAGATTGACGAGGAATGGGCAACGGCTTATATGAAAACTAGGGGATCGGAGCAGTGGCTTGAAGAACAGCATGATGTTGAAGCTAACAAGATGTGCACCCCTGAACTTAGGTGCCCGCGGCGATACGAAATGGCCGGAAGTAGACATGGTGCGTGTTCCTGATGGCACTCACGATGAGACAAAACGTCCAGAAGGGAAAAGCACTGTCCGTTGGAACCGGCTAGCTGGGAAGACGGTCGGGATCGGGGAGCAGCACTGATGAGCTCATTGCAAGTATCAGCCAGCGAAGGCGTACGCTACTGAGGATTTGGTTTGGATTGACAATCGGCCATGGCGGCTTGTGGCGCTGGAAAGCGAGACCGAGCCAAGACTACCAACTCACTGGAGGGAACCGTCAAACCACTCGAGTGGGGAGGTGAGCTAAGGTAAGGTACCTACCTGAAGCATCTATCAGCTCTCGCCCTAGTTGGGGAGGAACCATTGTGCTGGGTCGCCGGTGAAGGGAGGACACCGAAGAAGGCAGTTTGTTTGCTGGGGACTGTTCCAGACTTGGGGCGGTGAACGGGAAAGTCCAGACATGCGGAGGGCCTCCCGAGACCGGTGGCAGAAGCAAGCTCGCTTGGAACGCTGAAACATCTGCATTCTCTCATGTTGTCGGGGAAGTGAAAACTCCGTCGGCTACAGAGAACACGTTAGGATCAGTCTCTTCAGCGACTATACCAATTCCGGCGATGCTGCGAGTCTTGTTACAGAAGCATAATAGTCTGTGGGCAATCGCAAGGCACAGTGCCGGCACGGAACCCGAGGACATGCGTAGTAGACTAGAACAACCAAAGGTAGACCACTGACCAAACCGCCGACGTCTCGCTGAACCATGTGGCATCCGTCCGGAAAGGTTGTAGTTGTCTCCGGCCGGCGTCCGCCTCGGTAGCGGTTAACCTTTTCCGGCCTTTGCTCGGAGCGCTGCTCCTCCCGAAGCCCTAGCGCCCTACAAATGTCTTTGACGTCCAGTTCCAAAGGCTCTAGTAGCCCCGAATGCAAGGGCAGGCGGCGTTTCTTGTCTATAGCGTGCAGTAACGTTTTGGTCGAGACCTCGAAGTTCTGCTCCAACAACCTCCATCAGTAGCGGACACCATCTGGGAAGATTTGCACGCCACAGAGTCAAGCACTTATTTGATCTTGTGTAGCCCATCCAAAGTCTCGGGACAAAGGGGTGCGCTTAACCATGTCGACCAAACCCATCTACCTAACGGCTGTCATCGCACCCAAACCGGGCAAAGCAGTTAAGGTGAGTACATCTGGCTGACCTACTGCTCGCATCCACTGCCTCGCCAGGCAGACGTGTCGGCGTCAGCTCCTGTCTCACTTCGAGACGCACCAAGCTGGACAGAAGGTTTGAAACCAGGGTTTCGAGTTCCTGGAACGCTGCGTAGGCCCTTTGCAGTATGAGGTCCATCGTGGGTTCATAGACGAGAACGGCGATCTCGAAGAGTTCGTGGAGTAAGAGACGCAAGTGGGCTCCATCACATTGGTGTGAGTGGGGGATCGACTGAACATCCTCCCAGATACCTCGATAAAGAGGCATTCTACCAACAGATGGTCGAACCTAACGTTCTCACTCTGGCTGAAACCATTGAGAGCGGGGAATTAGTTGAGAGCGTCAAAATCGTCCACAAAAAGCCAGATGCTGAACAAAAGCCCTTCGATATTCGCGAATACAGCCCTTAAGAAAGTACGACTTCACAGCCTGGACAAGGAGACCCAGAAGGTATGGATGAGCTGATGTGTATGGTGAACCGCGTATCTTTGGCACTAGTTGTTGTTTTTTGGAGACGATTCGAGTTAGTTGCGACTCCTCCAATAGCCACAATGTGAGGGAAGAAAGAGGCGCGGTTTCTCCAAGACAAGCCATGGAGGTTGAACTCGTGGAGCCAACAAAGGCAGCAGGCATTTCAGCAACGCCCGTGGGAAAGCCATGCGGATCTTTGCTAGGTAACATAGCGTTCTCTTCTCCTGACTGAAGCGAATCGATTTATCCAGTGAGAGTTCTGAGGTACCATACGAAAGGCAACACTCCCACTGAAAATCTTTCGATCTGTAACGAGTCGTTATCCGAACGTTATTCTCATATGCTGGATCATGTCTAACTAACATAAGCATTTAGCAGGTGGAGAAATTGCCGTCAGAAGCGGCAATAAGCAACGAGAGGAACAAATGTCACCAGAGAAAAGGCAAACATGTAAGATCAGAGATGGATCCAACCGTTTATCTCGAACCAATGCAGAACGGTTGAAGATGCCATGTGGAACCGACATCTGACTCGTCGCTAGGCAAACGGTCAGTGGGCGAGTTGAGCTGAGGTGCGGGTTGTACGGACGTAAGATCTAGCAAGCTAAGCAGGAGATGGAAAGAGGGACAGAGACGGTGCAAGCCAAATTTTATCAGCTTGTCTCCCTCCACTCGCCGTGACGACGTACCTTGGAGAAAAGAGAGACTTGCGTGACTAGGAACACAAGTGAGTAAGGTACCAACTCCATGCGAACGGGGAATGTCGTCTCCCGTATTTCTGGTACCCTTCTCGGGGTCGTTGCTTCTCCTTTTACTAAATCTGCTTGCCTTGGAAAGTGGCTTGGAAGATGACACAACCGACGAATTGAGGGCATCAAAAGGGTAAACAGCTTTGAGCGCAGGGGAGGAAGCCGATCTTGTGATTGCCTGCCGTTGGGAATGTATTGTGGTAGGTAACGTACGGACGTAAAGCTGCGTCTCCACTTTTCCCGTAGTCCGCCCGGTGCCACCTGCTAATCGATCCCATCTCCACCATCTTGGCGACAGCCTTTCCACATGCAATCTTCAACTTCTCATCCATCATCCTCCCAAACACCAAAGACCACCATTCGCGAATACACGAGCGCCGGAAATGGACAGCAACAAAGACCTCCTCGCGAAAGCACAGGAGTACTCGTCTAGCAATGTCGACCTCTACGAGCTGCTGCAGATCCACACTACAATAACCGAAGAGAAGGAGATTCGGCGTGCGTGGCGCAAACAGTCGCTTAATTACCACCCGGACAAGCTCAAGGACGCATTCGACCCCGAGAAATGGGAGCTCATCGAGACGGCGCGCGACATCCTCCTCGACGCCGCCGCCCGCGCCGCCTACGACAACGCCCGCAAGGCAGTCCTCCTGCGCAAGGCCGAGCGCGACCGCGTTCAGGGACAGCGAAAGCGCCTGATCGACGAGCTCGAGGCTGCGGAGCAGGAGGGGAAAAGACAGAAGCTTGCCGAGGAGGAGCGCGCACGCGAACTCGAACGTGAACGGGCGCGACTCGTTGAAGAGGGACGCCGGCGCATGGCAGAGGAGGCGGAGCGGTTCAAGAGGGAAAACCTCGAGCGTTTGGAGAGGGAGAGAGAGCCCGACGAATATGACGAGAAGCTGGCCGAGTTACAAAGGCGGCTCGATGAGAAGAAACGTCTCAAGGCTGAGAAGAAGGCGAAGAAGAAGGGTGGTGTCACCAACGGCGCTGACTCCGCCGCGGCACCGAACACATCGAATACCCCTGCTCCAGCACCGGCACCAGTACCAAAGGCACCGGTCAAATGGGAGGATCTCAAGGCGCGGATGAGCGCAGCACAGAGACTCAAAGAGGCCAAGAAAGCCGCCGAGGCTGGGCTGGCGACAGAGGAAGAGGTACAGCAGAGATACGAGGCACTCAGGGCTCTGGACCCGAATCGTACAGACTGAGATACCAAAGGAGACGGCACACGTTGAATTGACAAAGTGGCTGTCAGGATAGACGATGCTATAAAGCGGCAAAGAAGCGACGGCTGGTGGTGGTGGCGATGGAAGAGGCAGCCACGGCTCTGTTATACAATTATACCCCTTTTCTCTGTTCTACAATAAGATGGGCACTGACTTTCTACTGTGCAGATGCCAACCCTTCTCTCAACCACTCTGGCACGAACGCCTTGATCTTCACTGCATTGTTCTTATCCTCCTCACCCCACTGTAAAAGGAATTCATCGGCAGGGTCAAAGGACGAAGCGGCCGTCTCACCAGGGAGGACAACGTCCGTCATGATCTCTAGACGGCAGAGTCCTAGGCCGACGTTTCCAATGCCCTTGAGCCACTTGCCAGCGCTTCTCCCCCTCTTGCCTGACCTGCCGATGCTCGTCTCTCGCGGAATTGTCTCTGCGGGCAAGCCCTCGGGGCCGTGATTCGCATCCTGCTCCGGCCGGTACTGGAGCGTTTGGGGAATGGCCCTGTCCACGTCGTAAATCATGCACGGCAGTATCCTCTTGCGCACCACTCCACGATGCTTCGTCCTGATCGTGAGCTCCTGCCCCACGTAGCAGCCCTTATGATAGTCGATTCCATTCATGTAGTCCATGTTCGTCTCCTGCGGCAGCGCATGTTCCCGAATGATCTCGTCCTGGCCCTCGGCGACGCCCTGCATGTATCGCCTGATCGTGTAGCTGTCCTCTGTCGTCGCGTCGAGATCCAGCGGCGGCGGCGTGTCCTTGCCCTGCACCAAGCGGTACCCCAATCCCGGCGTTCTCGGATCCCGGGTGATCGTGCTCAGCAACGCAGCGTCCGTCGTGATCGGCTTCCCGCTGTCGTCCCAGGCATGCCACACCGTCGCCTCATCCATCGCGAGTAGTCGCACATTGAGCTTGGCCCGCAGCTTGTACCGCTTGATATGCTTCGCCAGTCTTTCGGCCTCGTTGGCGTCGACTTCAATCAGGAATCTGGTGCCGGCCTGCTCCGACTCCGCCGCGACGCCGCCTCCGAGGCCAGCGATATCCGGGTAGATGAAGACGTCGTGCAGCACGCGGCCGGTGGCGTTGAGGAACGCGGCGTAGAAGCCTGTCTGCCGCGCGCGGGCCTCCTTGGACGCGATGTTGCCCGTGATGACGCCTTGCAGGAACTTTGCGGCGTCGGGACCGGCGACGGAGATGAGACGTCGAGACGGGAGGGCCGCGTAGCCGGCTGCAGGCGGGGCGGGCGGCAGTGGGGTGATGTTGCTCGAGTATTGCCGGCGCTGTCGCTGTTGGCGACAGGTGCGGCAGACGAAGCTTGGAGCAGATAGCTGCTTGCGCGCCGCGAGCGTCGCGTTACGGGCAACGCCGTTCATCGTTGGTTCGTGAGTCTTTCTTCAAACAAGTGCAAGGAGTTGGTTGCTTCGGAAAAGCGATCGGTTGAGGAAGAGGGATTGTCGGTGCAATCGGTGACTGAGCTAGCTTTGCGGCATTCGAACGCCCGCGATGGGGTGGGTTGAGGATTGCAGTAAGAAAATTGTTCCCACTGGTTTGTAATGACGTCCTAGCTCTGGGATGCACGGGACACCTCGGGACTCTGGCTGGGATTTTGCTAATGCCAGGCACAGAGAGTCGGGGGTGCTAGCTCCGATCTATTCCCGCAAGCTTGGGATACCTTAGGTTCGCCCTTCCATTTGGACCCCATTGATGGCACGTGCCTTCCTGAAGCTAAAGTGCTGCCTAGAACGACGACACGTTAGACACTTAGAGCTTTTCGCAACCTGCATCCTCAAGAGTAACATGATTATGAAGTGGCTATGTCACGGGTGTGTTGTTTGGCTGATTACCGACTCAATCAAGTGGAAGTTTCTCAATGGTCAGTCAAACAGCGAGGCGAGTAAACGACCACAATGTCTGATTGGCTGCCTGATGTTCAACGTCGTATAGAAGAACATAGTCGAGGGTGCCTTAATGGAGGAAGACCATGCACACATCACTGATCTCGACTATACTGTTTGGTTGGCTGGTAGAGAAAGTCTCCCTCACCGGCATGGAATTGCCTGATTGCGAAATTTTCAGGTACATAGTATCTTGCCTTGTTTTCGACCGAAACAGCTAGGCTTTAGTGCATCCACCCTCCATCAAGCTTCGCTGTGCTTCGAGTTCCAGTAACTCTTTATGTACCATTCCCCCAAACAATGACGCAAATACAGTCTGGTCGGGCGGATGACATGCAGCTCCCGCTCCCGCCGGCAAGGTTAAAGGCCTACAATGCGGGCTTGGTGGCACCGAATTTCCCTGGATATCAACCCCCAGCAACGCACCGCCAATGGGAGACACTTTGGGCAGTGCTGCCCTGTCAGCGCTAATGCTCGACGCCCCGTAGCAGTGACTGCCAAGGGAAGCAAATGCCATTTCAGTCGTTCTACTCGTGTCGGCAGTCATCAATCGGTGGCGCGGATCGACACCCCGTCCAAAGAGTGATCAGACAACCTGATAGTCTGCCTCCTTATTGACCTGGGAGTAACTTGCACGACTGATCTGTGCTTGATTAACCTGACAGTGAAGCTTTTGCCAGCCAATCGAAAAGACAGGAGAAAAACGGCAAGAAGGATGAAGCAAAACACACATGAAATAAAACTTTGCACTAAAAACATACAATAGTCACGTAGGATCAGTTAGGATCAGGTCAGGATCAAGTTATGACACAGGCCAGTCGTGCACGGTACTCCAAGGCCAACAGGGGTACAGACTATCAGCTCATATGTATACTCCCGTCCATTTTGAGAGTGAAATGTCGGATCAGGGGTTTGTTGGGCTGTTCGTCTGTCGTTCGACTCAAGCGGATACGCGAATCCTACAGAAACCATGTCTTTATTCTTTTGCCAAGTCTGCCTAGCCGTGGCAGACTCGGGCTTTTTCTCGCTCACACTTCTTTCCATCTGCCCTGCATTTTACATCTCCAACTTCCTCTCAATCCCTTCCGTCATCGCCTTGAAGGATGACCAGACTCTCTTTTTGAAGGCTCTTTGGCAGTTTTGGATGGTTCAGTCGAAGGACATTCTTTAGTACGGCACACTCGATACCCACCGCATCGTCTTAGTTTACTGAAGTGCATCGCGGTTATTCGTCTCGAAGCAACGCCGGACCTCGTCTGGGAGTTCCATCCCACTACCGATCACTATGATAGTGTCGCGATCATGGCTGGCGGCACTGTTTGCCGTGGCTCATATTCAACCCGTTTATAGCGCCGAAGATGCCGGCGCATCAGATGTCCCTTCGACTAACAACTTCCTGAGACGGGTCTATGCTCAGGGTGAGTCGCCACTGGCCTGCACGAGAGCTCAATAAAGGGAGGTGACTGACAAAATGTAGCTTCGGTTCTCGGCAGCTGGGCTTACTTTGATGGAGGAGAAGTGTCCCAATACATCGACAATGGGAAGAACACTTCAAACGCATCCTCGCCACTGTCAAGCACCTTGTCCATCGATCTCTCCAAGTCCTGGAAGCCCGCCAATGTGGAGATCAAGCAGACCCAGAAGAGAGGCGCTCCGATGATGATGAGACAGGCAATATTCACCGATAACTCGTCGAACTCGTTCTACATCTGGGGGGGCACACGTCGCGCAACGCTAGTCCGCCTCCTGCGCAGCTCTGGAAGTTCGACGCCGACGGCAGCGGAGGAGGCTCGTGGAGCCCCAAACACACCGACGACCTCAACTCTTTCACCCGGCTCACCCGCTCACAGGGCGGCGCCTACGTCAGCACTCCCGACTCGGGCTTCTACTTTGGTGGTTATGCAAGCAGGTATACCTCTCAGAACCCCGAAGGCCCCGTGCCTGGGTATTTGCAGTTCAACTATACGGCAACGGACCAGGAGTGGACGAATCACACCGAGGCCCCTTACTCTATCTACGGCACTGTAGTTGGGGCCAGTGCTCATTACGTCCCCAATTACGGGCCCAACGGCCTTCTCATGATCTTTGGTGGGGGGTCTGACGTCCCCGGGAGAGCGCAGAGCAAAAACAGGGGGTGGCTCGATTTCGGGAAGATTTACTTCATGGACCCTTTGACAAAGAAGTGGTATTCTCAGAAGACCAGCGGGAACGCTCCCGGCGCGCGCATGTGGCACTGCACAGTCGGCGCGTTGAGTCAGAACAACACTTATGAGATGTAGGTAGACAAGGACGTTGCCAGATGGTCTTGGTCGCAGCACACTAATCCGGTTCTAGTTTTGTGTTCGGCGGCACCAACGAGGCAAACAAGGAGGGCTACGACGAGGTTCATATTCTCTCGCTCCCCGGCTTCATCTGGAGGAAGGCGGACTACACACCCAGTTCGCCGCGAGATTCCATGTCGTGCATCGTCGCTGGTCAACGGCAGATGGTCACCTTCGGAGGGATTAACCGGTGGAAGTGGGACGACGACGAGGCAAACTATTTCCGTGATCAAGACCCCTTCCCTCAGGGCGTGGGTGTATTCGACTTGACGGATTTGAAGTGGAAAGACGAGTACAACGCCGACGCTTCTAGTTACGACTCGCCGGACGTGATAAAGACCTGGTATAATGAAGGGTAGGCAATGCTTTTGTCGGTGGTCAATTTCGTATCGCTAATGAGTCACAGCAACCTCGCGAGTGTCGAATATTCAGAAGGCGTCGAAGGGCTCATGAAGTCCGGCACCTCAGGTTCCGGCTCCTCATCTGGAGACTCCGGATCCAGCTCAACAAACACCGGAGCCATTGTCGGCGGCGTAGTAGGAGGCGTCGCGGGCGCCGCCTTGATCGGTCTGGCCGCGTTTTTTCTCATGAGACGGCGAAAGCACAAGCAGGTCACAACCAATGAGACCGGCGACGCCGTTGAAGCGCCAGCCCGTCCCTACGACATGGAACAGACGTGTTCTTCAAATCCGCCGCCGTCGACGACTACGGCACCGTCCGAACTCCAGGGGGAGTACCGCGGCCACTCGCCGTATTCGATCGGGGAGGTGCCCAAGACGATGCAACCGCCCGAAATGGAGGCGCAGGATCCACGACATGTCTACGCTGCAGAGCTAGACGGATCCGAGGCGCGAAAGTGATTTGCTCTCGGTCACAATAGCTACATGATGACAACATATAGATGTTCAGTTCTTATGTCATATATGAAGAGGCTGTAGAATAACTTGACAACTATTTTCTTCCCCGAGACTCTCCTTGTTGAGACGTCTGCTTGTGGTCCAAAACATAACACGGGCTTGATACCCATCGTTGAAAGAAGAAAACTAAACACCTGTCCGTTCTCATTCATTGACCACCGTATAGCCATTGAAAGGGTACCCTCTCTCCTGAGCCAAAAGTCGGTATCTAGCACTAGGGGAGCAACACAAAATGAATCATTAATGCCGTTGCGGGAGATTACAAGTTTGACGATCCTGCTGCATACTGACTCTGTCGCTTGGCTGGCACATCTTTCCCGAATATACTGGATGCCACTTGGACTTCATTCTGAGGTTGGCAGGCTGCAGGCAATTGCTGCAGCAGCTAATGACTATCGCCCTTGCCAGCATCGCCGACTCCGTGATCACAATCATTGACACATCACTTAGTCTTGCAAACCCATCGACAAGATCCAAGACGACCAAGAGCGTTCGACTAGGTCAAGAGGTGTCTACCTCTTGCGCAGTGTATCCTTGAGCATGCGCAACGAAAACTCCAGTCACCTCCCATCGACGCCCCTAGGGCCCAGTCGATGCCCGAGACTGTGCAGCATTGCAAAGAGAAGGTCAATGTGCTGAAGAGGGTTTTTGACGAGCTCGAAAGGAAGTACACTGAGGATTGAGATGTAGTATAAACTCGGACCAGAGCCCGCGCCTGATACCGAGGGACGCTTCGAGGCACAATGGCACTCAAAGTCACGAGCCTGATGAAAGCAGGCCTGGAAGCACCCATGGGTTTGCCCATACTACCTGGGGATAAGTTTTAGTTTAGTCAATAGCTGCAAGCAATACCCATAGGTTTTTAGCTACAAATAAATCACTTATAGAGGAAGCGTATTGCAGTAAATATTGATATGTTCAATAAAAACAACAGCATAAAATACAACTTAACGGATAGGCTCAAGTTCTTTTTATCTCCACCCTTCCGTGTCGCTTGCTAGGTTTTCGTCTAGCTTACCCATAACAACTAGCAAATTTTGAGGAACTACACATGGGCTCTTCAGGTAGTCATGAATCTAGATAACTGAGCATGGGTCCTTTAGATAACTAGAGTACCTATATGCACGGGGTAACCCATACTCCTTGGCCCATCTGCGTGCGTGCCCAAATTCCGACCCTAGATGAAACATCTTTTGGGCCATGTTGAGATATTTGCCGTGGACGAGGTCTTCGGTCTGCATGACGATGTTGACAGCATCAAGAAAGCTCTTGAACGATTATGCAAGACCGGAGCATCACTTGAGGACTCCGAGATCGAGCGGAAAGAGGCACTCGCATCTCAGAAGATATGGTCAGGTAGAAGAAGCCATGGACCTGTTTCAAGTGTTCAATTCAAAAGGTAAGAAACGCAATGGACCAAACCCGCCTCGAGCGGCGGCCCCATATGCCGCTGGCGTCTCCACTCCTCCGATAAGCTGAGCTGATGTCGGCTCGGACCCGCCGCCTACAAGACCGGGGAGTCCGGGCCTCCGCGCTCACATCGGGCAACGACAGAAGGGCCAAACTATCACGCACTGAGACCGAGGCCGTAATAATCAAACCGGTCGCACACAATAATCGGTCGAACAGCCGAGACGCCAATGCCTCCACGAACAGGTGGTGACTCCCAATTGTACGGTTGGACGGCTCTGACGGGACGGGGAACTACAGCAGAAGAACACTAGACCCAGCCATCACGGCAACCAAAGAACCACACCGATCCGCGACCCCGATCCCAACGACAAGCCAAGCCCGCCGAGTCGCCCCCTGCCCATCAGCAACCTCCCTTGCCGATCACCCAAGCCCATCGGCGCAAAACCATGACGGCATCATCTTTGGAGAGGAGAGCGCCGGGGCCTTGCACCAGGGAAGTCCCGCCGTCCGAACGAGCTAATCTGTCTCGTCCCGTTCGAGAGATCAGCAGTTTGAATGACTTCATCATTTTAAGGGTCCAGAACGGCACCCGCGGAACTGGCACTGTCAAAGAGGGAGCGAACGTCTAAATTATGGAGACCGCTGGTGTGCGAAAAGGTCGAGCCCGGACTTTGGCATCTCCCCGAAGCACCGGATTTCCTGCGCAACGCCCGATGTTAAACCCGCGCGTGTCCTTTACGACTCTTGCGTTTAGCTCTGTCGCTCCCGCAGGCTAGCGACTTTTAAGGTTAGAGTAGGTAGACGAGGCCAAGGGTGAGCTGAGGTAAGCGGCGCGAACAGAAAGTCGATGACGGGGTTCAGGCTCTCTCTCACACTGCGCGTTCGTCGGAGTTGGAGGGAGCTGCGAAGTCCGCACCCGCGCCGCGCTTGTTCGTTCCGCGTGTTCTCAGTTCTTGTCACACCCCCACCCGAACGCTGGGCGCAGTCGTCCGCGGGATGCAGAACGAGTGCGAGAGAGCGACGCGCACTTAGCTTTTAGACTTGTAATTAAAGCCCCTGGCTGCGGTTAGGAGCCGTCGAGGAGGTTGACGAGGCCGCGAGCTATCCGTCATGGGATGCGTGTCAGGTCGTCAACGTCGACATCACGTTCATCCGTCAGACGCGCGTCCGGACCATCCATCATCCCGTCTCCTTTGGAACACACCGTCTTTGCTCGGATGACACCCGTCGGAAGGTTTCGTCGGACGGTGTTTCCTCGAGCCCCCCCTCCACCAAAAAAACGTTGCCGTGAGAGACATGCAGACCGCACCAACCAGCAGCCATGCCAGGAACCCGGACGGCCACGGGCCAACTCTTGTTTCCTCCCGTGTCGCCGTGTGAATGGATGGGTGGGTGGGTAGGCAGGTGAGCGAGCAAACCGCTGCTTGGGATTCCTCGTACACCCGGACGGCTCGGTGTGGAGTCCCTTCGGCGCGGCGGTGAGACGAAGGTGGGAAACCCTAGTGATGCTTCGGACGTGAGCTGGCGCAGCAGCGTTTAGGAAGCGCCTGCTGTTTTGCTTCAGAAGAATCCGCGTCCCGTTTCGACGTGTAACTTGTTTGAGAGTCATCTGGGAGCGATGAGCCCTCGTCTCGCCATCGTCGGCGGGTGCACGAATCTCGCGATCGCGGCCGTTGAGACCACCCAGCCCCCCCCCAAGCGCGATCGTATACTGCATGCAGACTGCAGACAGCCGACGATGGCTTCACCGAGCAACGGCCTCAATCACTGGCAAGCCGAGACCTGACCAACCTGCCACGACGGCCGCGGAAAGCCACAGGGTACTCGGTGACTCGGTCTCGAAGGTCCAGCACGTTCTACTGCGAGGGCCTGTGGATCAAACAACCAACCTACTAAGGTACTCTGTACAGACGCGGCCCGCAGGTGTTGCTTGCATTTGCACGTTTTAGGGGGGTGTGTGGCATTGATTTCCAACCAAGATGGGCCCGAGACCCGCCGCGGAAAAGTGTGGGACAGTGATGAATAATTGTACCCATCAAGTCTCCGGCTTACGAAATCAAGCCCAGTCGACTTTGCACAAATTTCAATCCACACACTCCCTGCGGGGCCGCGCTATAACCACACCCACATCCACACCTACGCTTACAGCATCAGCAGCAGCAAATCCACTTTCGGCCCCGGGCTTTACAGTCATCGAGGAAGGGGAAGCGAACCGTAAGTTCTGGACTTAAGGATATGAGATTAACTCCAATGCCAAGCCACACTTTTTTGCAGCGGTGGAGCCCGCAAACAGGACAAGGCAAGGCAAGCAAAGCAACAGAATCTGCGCGCAGCACAAAAAAAAAAGAAGACACTATCGTGAGATTGATTTCAGGCACACCATCTAACCGTGAATCAAAAATGTCCGGGGCAGCGGGGCATCTCGTCCGGGCGCTCGCTTCTCCTGACCGTTTTCTGACAGCATTTGGCGTCGAACGGTGTAACCCACGATCCTCCAATATCTCAGCCCCTTGCGAATCTACTGCGAATCGTCGCTTGGACAGCGGTGACAGCCCACCCCCGCAGAATTTCCACACACCTCGTCTCCGCCGTGCTGAGAGAGAGGGAGAGAGAGAGGTTCACGTCGACTCATCGAGACTCTCTCCTCGCACAAAGCAGCAGCCCAGCCCTTTCCGCACCGCCGCACCCCGACGCCCCCTCCCTCAACCCCTCCCGCTCTGGTACGGCGGAGAAAGGAGGAGGCGTAGAGTACGTGGAATGTGGATGGAGCGTGTTAGAGAACGATGGGTCAGTGCAAGGCGGATGAACCAAGCAGCGTCCGCCATCAGCAAGTCGAGACCTTGAGGCGTCGAGGCCTCGAAACCCCCCCTCACCAGGTCCAGATCCATGAGCCGTCCTCTTATCGACAGATCATCAGCGATGACCAAGCGCGATGGCATAAACCACGACGACACCCGTGGAGCACATGACATGATGGATGCACGTCTGAAGATCATGGCCCGGCAGCCGCAATCGCCTCCCTCCCCCCTTATCGATAAGGAGGAAGCACTCCGTCCCATGGCGGGGGTTCATGTCGAAGGAAATCGCCATCATGACCTCTACTTACGCCAACGCTACATCATGCCCGTCCCTCTCATCCATCCCCTTGCCGGATTCCCGTCAAAAAAGCACGGAGAACGAGGCCTGTCAAAGCAGGCATTTAACCCTCCCTCGCTATTCACGACCGGGGTTGCGTGCACGACGACACTCGTTCATCATCCGCCAATGGACCTGGACCAACCTGGCCCGTGCCCCCTTTGCACAAAATCCCATGCAGCTCCCCCTCCCCTCTCCCGCCCAGTGCAGCCTCAAATGATCGACGACCAAGCAAGGTAGATAGGGTCCAGATGGGCACCCCACGCCCCCCAAAAAAAAAGAGGTCAGGTCCCATCTGTGTCTCATCCGGGGGTGATAAGGAGAAGGAAAACACAAGAGGCCGTGGACGTGTCACCTGCACGCACTTTCACAGGGCCACGAAGCAAGCGACTAGGGCAACGAGGTTGGGCCAATTTCCCATTATGCTTGTCTAGCCGTCCAAAGGACCCCCCAAGGGATCCTGTCTTCACCGCCCTGCTTTTCACCATGTTGAGGCGCTCAACCGCAGTTGATCACGCTCCACGATAAACATGCCAGGGACGAAAAAAATCTCTTCTCTGCTTGTTTATTCCAAAAGGCAGGGCTGGCTGGCGAAACGGGGGGCGGTCAAGCGAAGCAAAGAAACGCACCGCGCGGGTGACACAGTTGCCGCGAGCTTGTTGATTAGTGCACCGGCCTAGCCTCGCTCCTAACGCACATTTGTCCTTCTGTCAAGCACACTTACCCGTGCCCGGAGGACTGATCGAGTTCGGTTCCGGTACGATTACGTGCGCAGAAACAGAAGTTGACGTCTTTTCCAACCCCTCGGCGGGACATCGAGAGGCCTCGATCGGGAAAAGCACATCAGGTGAAACAAACCGCGCTGGCATGTCAGGTGTTACTGCCCCTTCCCGACGAACCACTACTCGTCCCGAGTTTTTTGTTTTGTTTTTTCGGTTGCTTTTGGTTTAAAGTTCTTTGCCGAGACTGGCGAGCGACAAAAGGCGGGGGTGTTTGTGTGCCAATGGTCCGATGGCTTCGTTGATTGCGACGTTGGCGAGTCTAATTGCTCGCTGTGATGCCCTGAACCGACGAGGCCGGATCGGCTGAGGCGTCCGACGGCGGCGGGCGGGCGGCACTAGATCGACATCTCCTCCCACCCACCCCGTTCATCCTTCGCTGTCGACGGCCGTTCGGCTCAATGACATTTGCGCCGCCCGTTGCAGAGCGAAGTCGGCGCTGGAATCTCTCCGTTGGCATGTGGTATGCGGTCTTGCAGACCGGATTAATCATTTCCAATAGGGAAACTCTAACCTCCAACTTTCAGCCGTGCTTATCGCGGATAAGCCAGGCCATTCAGAACCGGCTCACGGCGAGAGATTTGGCGTTGGGCAGGTCGTCCCGGCGTCAGCATCGCGGGGACAATGCGCTGTCCAGCAAACGCTGGCTCGTGGGCAACACAAATCTGACAATCTGACAACCGGCCCCCAAAACCGTGAATCCTGTCTTCAGCCGTCCACGACGGACGAATGACCAGGGCCCCGGGACACTCGTCAGTCGCGACACAGACAAGGAGGGCCAGGTCAAGCCCAACCATCATGCCATGCCCATCTCCCATTATCCGCCCTTTAATCTGCCAGTTTTCCAATCTGAAGCGAGATCTCGCTGCGTGCTGCGCCCTGTATGTCAGCCGGGGTGAGGGTCGCTACCGCCCTGGAGAAGATGGCAAGGGAAGGGGGGGCCTGATTGAGAGAGGCGGAGCACACGTGGTGCCCGGAGGCCCAAGCGGGCGCCGCAAAACCCGCAGCGCCGCAACAGCCGGCCCCCGAGGGGTGGAGGAGACGTGTCGAGCGGGTTCCAATCGTTGCGATTATCGTCTCTCGGGTGCTATTGACATGCCTTGCGCAAGCTCGCCCTTTGGTTGTTCTTGGGAGTCGGGTAGCACTTTGGCGTTGGCCTTGGTTTAGCTTCTTTTGGCTCGCCGTCTCCAGTCGGGCGGGATTCGTCCGTCCGCTCGCTCGCACGCCCTGTGGTAGCGGGAGCCCGAACCAGCGAAGGGGGGGAAAGGTGATGACTGGCACTCTCGGCAACTCGCATTCGCTGTCAAGGCCGCGCATCCCCGCGCCCACCGTATACGGATGCACGCCTTTTTAATTCCTTCGCAGGTCGTCCTCGTATCGCCTTATTCGAGGGTAAACTCCAACTCCGCCATGCTTGATTCGCACTCGCTTGTCTTGGCCGGACCAGAGGCAACTGACCTGGCCAGATTCAATCATATCAGACCATTTCGAAAAGTTGACGTCGTCGTCGTCGTTGTCGTCGTAGTCGTAGACCTAGTCGTCGCCTCGCTCACTGCCTCAGTCCCTCACCGTCTACTACAGGACCGGCTCCAATTGTCGGTCGCGACCCAGCGTCGCATCCCTAAACCCATGTCCTGTTTGCCGGTGACTATTGTCGGTGACATTCTTTGGCGCAATTGGTTCGGGTGCCTGGTCCACTAGTCGGACTTTTTTTTTTCGCTTCCTCGTCTCCAGGCAGCCCTTTTTGGCGTGTTAAATCCGACAGCCCTCGGGAAAGGGAAAAGGGAGTTAAAACACACCGCCAAAGTCCGTAAATGCCACGACGAAATTCCCTTGGTGATTCGCCTGCGATACGGCTGCGGCAGCGCTAGGGCGTGGTGCCAAGGGGCAGACGGGAGGGGCGTGCCGATAGAATGTCGGGCGGAACTGGTCCAGCTGAGGGAGTCTTGGGACTTTGAGTCTCTCTCGGATGAGGTAAGCGAGGGATGGGAGGACGGATGTTGAGCGAGGCCGATCTGCCGAGATCGCACGGCGCGCATCTGGTACCTGAAGGTGTATTGGTTCTTGTCCTTTGGTGCAGCCAAGCGCTTTGTCGGCTCGATGCTGAATCATGTGGGCTGCCTAAATGACTCGACAGTCAGTTTCGTACCGCAAGATGAGGCGAATGAAAAGCAATGATGCAATCTCGACCTCCTCACGCGTAAACATTCGCAAAATAAAAAGTTGGGAAGAGGGGGTTCAGATTGAAGCTTGTTTCAATTGATATCTGGTTCTGGGCTCGCTTTTTCAGAGGGGAACTGGTGTCAACCCCCTAGCGGCGCTGGTATCTATCTGTCTGTAACACAAGGCTGGACCACTCAACCACAAAGTCTCCACGATTGGGAGCCGGGGAGCGGCAGCAGAAGAGAAAAAATGAAATTCCCAATAATCGCCCATTATCCATCAAGGCCCTCAATATGTGATCCACATTAGTGCCTTGCTTTTCGTTGCAACATAAGAAAAGAGAAGAGATGAAATTCCCGATTGGCGACATTGCTGTCATGATGTAAACCCCATAATCGTTGACCCATGCCGTTTTGTTGGTATCGGTAGGAGAAACGCCGTAATATGCAAAACGCTCGCTGTATAAACCAAAGAAGAGATCATGTAAAACCGTAGACGAACAAGTGCGAGACCATGCCCGAGTGCGTACTTTTTAGTACACCGAGATGGCAGACACGAGCCTTGCTGGGTTCCGAGGCGGCAGGTAGTAGCCTTCTGAGTAGAAGGAGCCGTCGCTGTTTTGTTGTTGTTGTGAGATCTCTTCCTTGGCTTCCTTCTCGGAGAAGGTGAGCACGGCGTTTGGCGGTGATGGGGGCATCGACTCGTCTTCCGAGACGTCAGAGTCGTGCTCGAGCTCCGGTGGTGAGCTGCTGCTGGAGTGGGATGGTGTGCGGACAAGCTCGAGCTGTGCGTAGTCCTCCTCGAGGTCGTCCTCCATGTCGTAGTCTTCCGACACCTCGACGGTAGTAGTCCTCGGTGATGCGGGGGCGGCGGAGGGCATGCGGCGGAGGGAGACGGTGTCGGCCATCTCAATGTCCTCCTCGTCGTAGTCGTCATCGGAGGAGTCTGAAGAGGAGTCGTCCGAGTCGGAGGCGTCGTCGGCGTGCCAGTCATCCTCGGGATCCTCGATGATGGAGTCGGCCCATTGCACGTGGCGCTCCTCGCTCTTGGTGGCACCGCGGACCGACTGGTTGAACCAGCTTTCTTGTTCCCGCTCGGCGTCGGCGAGCTCAAGCATCAGCGAGTCGAGGAGGTTGGCGTGGCCGACGAGCAGGCGGAGGTCGTGGTCGGCGCGGGCCGCCTCCGAGGAGAGCTTGGCCCGGGCCTTGTGGGCGAGGTAGTAGGTCTGGGTGATGCTCATCTTCTTCTTCTGGACGGCGAGGCGGAGAGGTGACGAAGAAGAGCGGTGTTGTTGTGTGTGAGGAGGAAAGGTAACAGTAGTGGTTGTTGTCGACATTTTGTGTGACTGTGCACCAACGGTGACTGATATGTCGCGATTTTGGCAGTTATGACTCAAAGCGAGATCGGGGGGTCGGTTGGCGGTAGATGGTTGGTGCAGGGATGCCTAGGCTAGCTTGCTTGGTCTGTGATGCTTTGATAGTCTCGAGAGGCAAGGCGAGGCGAATAGGGAGAGGGATAGACAAGGTCGGTGATGTTGTATAGTGGTCAAGTTTCTTCTTGGAATGGGATACCGATCTTGATCTGTCTGTGAGTCTGTGAAGCTGAGGCTGGATGGTGATGGGATTTCTAGATCTGGTTGGGAAAGGGAAACACTTTTCTTTTAACTTGGGTCTCATCCACTTGCTCGCTGACCTGGACTTTGTCGGGCTCGGAGAGAAGAAAAGACAAGGAGGAGCGGTGACCAGGGGGGGAGGGGTGTGTACGAGTCCCACCCGGCGCGGTGCAGGTGCAGGGGGTGGATGACTTGCCCAGGGAATCAGGGTGTGGGGAGGGGGGTGTGGAAGGACGGGACGGTGGAAGACTCATCGCACACGCACAATTATTGTGGACGGCGGGTCGTGGACTTTGGGCGGCGTTTGTCATCAGCGAGGCCGAGGGTGCTTCCCGAGCCTCCGCCCAGCCCAGCGAGCGTGCGTTGCTGGCGCGGGTGGTGTTCGGACTTTCCAGCTTACCTACGCTGCCCGGTGCGCCGTGCGCAGGTGCGGTGCGACTAGCCTCGAATTCTAAGCGTCGGGTCTGACGCACACGGCGGAAAGAACGAAAGCACGACTGGGCAGGCATGGGTACGTATCTCCGAAACCCGTCACCACCTCTTTCTACCCTTTTCGAGTCACTTGGATGGATAATCGTCGACGTTTGTCAGCTAGTGCTGGCTTTTTCTCTGTAATCAAATCCGTCCAAAACTCTACGCCCTAGCGACCCCCCCAAATTGTCCATCATGACGGGACATAGGGGATAGCATAACTCCGCACCCACCACCGACCGAACCGTCGATTAATCAACACCACCGCCGAGGCCTGGCGCCTTCACCTTACGAATCGAATCCCCCATCATGTCGTCAGGCGCATCGTCTCATGCTAACCCGGCTGCCCTCAATTTCGTCTGACACGCCCGACGAACATTGCAAATACCCAAGCCGCTGCCTTACGCAACTTATGCTTCTTTGCCGGCCCCGGCGCACCCCCGTCATCATTTCCGTTGTCACACTCGCATGCACGCACAGAAAGGGATGGCTATTGTTTTCATGTTCCCCCTTGAGATTGTAATTCGCACACGAGGCATCTGTGACAAGCTGACGCCAGCAAGCGAATAGTAATAATAATAAAACTGGGACGGGCCTTAATGCCAGTTCCGTCCCAACATATACAGTTGCCAACCCAATCGCTCGCCCTGGGCCAAGGCTGCGAGGGGTCTTGATGTCGCTATCCTTTCCCAATTGGGATAATGCCAGTAGTACTACCAGACTGTCCCCGTACGTGGACAGGAAAGCGAGCAGACCGAGCGCGGTTGCTACCTGGAAACCCCGGCTCAATCCACGGCGCCGCGGAGTGGAAGGCCACGACTGCGGCCGCGAATGCTGCAGGGCAGCATAATCAAATGGGCCATACACACAGCATAGCACAGCAACAGCATTAGCTTGCACCGCCCTGGCCGCCCGTCGGCTCCGCTCCAAATGCCCTGGGGCTGGCTGCGAGTGCGAGCCTGGGACGCGATGGGGTGAGTGGTAATTAGCTGGGGAACCAGCTTACTGGCTCTATGGTTAGAGTCGTCGGACACGCGCCAATCACAACCCCTTGCGAGCAACAAGTAGGTGTGTCTTGGAGCCGTACGGAGTTACGAATGGCTCCGAGCCCATATTGTTTGTACTATGTAGGGCTGAAGGCAACGTAGCAGTCCACTCTCGCTCCCCCAGGTACTGCTTACAGAACACACTCTCCGCTCCGCGTTGGGCATAACGTCTGGTCGTATCTCGCACTCGTACTTTTTCCTGTCTTTACGGCTGGTGCCTGGACGGGGGCCCTCAGCCACAGGGTCATGATGAATCGGCTTTCGTACCCACCCCAGTCCTTCGCACAGAACGATTGCCCCGGGCGACGGGGCAGCATCAACGCGGCGCCGCAGCAGAGACACGTCGTTGGCAAGCCTGACCGTCGCCCAATTGTTGATACCTGTTAACGTTTCTTTGCGTCAATTGCTGTCAGGCACGGAGATATGGGCAGATCGTCAGTCGCTCGCGCTGGGAACAGTCATTACCGTCCGCCGACTTGTCCCGTTCCCCTGGAGACGACAACGAAACCAGGGATCCCGTGTTCTTGGTCGCACGGAAGTCGTCTAGTGATGACAAAAGCCCAACTAGGAGCCGTCAACCCGTCTCCGACTTTGCCCATGCCGAAACAAAGTCTCTTGGGATGATGGGTTTGGCCGTCCGACCTTGGGGACTGGGAGGCATCGAGGCCCCATCGGCACCGTGATTGGGCATCGGAGGAATCGGACAGCTCTCGAAAGAAAACGCACTCATCATCAATCAAGATTGCTCATCAGTCATCAGTCATCTGGGTGACGGGATGGACCAGGGGTGGCCGGTTTCAAGCCATAACGTACACCCCCCTTCCACTATCCCCAATCTGGCCGACCAGCCTACCTATTGTATCGGACATGCAGCAGCCAAAAGATGCAGGACAGCTATTGAGTCAATATGAGCCATCAGGCCAATCTGCCGGCCTGTCTGCCTACTGCGACTTTGGAGTGGACGTGTAAGAATCCACGGCATCATCGAGCGTGGCTTGCTGCTGCGTGCATGCCAATGCCCCCGTTACCTGTACCTTTCTGCCTCTCTCTCGCTTTGACCGCGAATGCGGTTCAACCAATCTCGTGCCCGTTCGAGAAGGATTCCATGCCCATTGGCAACGAACCGACACGCCGTCCCCGTCTCTCGTGAGAAACCTCCAAGCCACGGTTACACGTCAAGGGGTGTTTTGTTCCTGTCGTATCTGTACGTGGTGGTGTTTCTACTGCGGCAGCCGAGCGGAGGCCGGGATGGTGGATCAGGCCGCCCGGTTTTCGCGCGTGACCACTGTTTGAATTTGCGTTTCCAGAGTCGCGGGATTTGGGGGCGGCTGTGCCTGGCGGAAACCCAGACAGGAAAAACCCCACGTTTTTTCTTGCAAGAAAACCCGCGACCGCAGGGTACATGTTTCCGTTATCCACAGCACATGCGGCGGAATACGGCGTTTGCATCCATTCCTTCTCCCATAGGTTCCTGAAGCTTTTCGTCCCGGGCATGGGGACGAGACCCCGTGCCATCTCCTGGCCCGACTCTCTCCGCAACAAAAAAAACGTTGGAGTGAAGGGAAGGAAACGGGGCTCACGTTGTGGTCCCGTGTCGTCCGAAAGGCTTCCCGGTTCTCAACGATGGTCCGGGTTTAAGAAGGAGAAAAGAGAATGGGAGTTCGGCATCTTTCACGGCCGTGAGCCTTGTCAGGTGATGGTAACGGACCCTGGCCCCTCTCCTTCTGAGCTAGGTACGTACATACCTACTTCCGAACTACCCGCACGGTTCACATGTAGCCGTGGCCCCGACGGGCAGACGGACAGCCCTCGGTACGCGAAACCAACACCTAGGTATGGATGCGCGCTCTTTTGTGTGGAGCACCTCAACATCAGTCAGTCATCCGTCCAGTGTCAGCGACTCTCCTGCCGTCGCATTCGCGTCATTACGATTGTTGCCGAAAAGCCTAAAAGCTTCTATTCCTCCAGACAATCAGCTCCCAATCCAGCGGTAACAACGGCTGGCCCATGCTCCTTTGCGTTCGTGATCACCAACCACGCACTGGCCTCCTCCTTGCCTACTTATTCCCGCACCTGGGAATAAATTGAGATGTGCGTGGGGGCTGTATAATCATCAGACGCATCGCAATTCCGTCCCTACCCTTCCTTTCATGTCAGCATCGTGGGATTGCCGAAAGGGAGGCATGGGGAGGGATGCAAGAATGCAGCCCTGCAAGCGGGCCCCTCGGTGGAAACCGCCCATGGCGCGCACTGCTTGAGGGTGGTGAGCTTACACAGCAACCCACGCCGGCGAATGGGGGATGGGCGGGAGTGTCTAGGCACGATGATTACAATGCAAGGCCATTGATAAGCTCCTTATGAAGCACGGCATAGCAGCAGCACAGCACACAATGGAACGTAGCAGCGAGTCCGCTGATGCTGCAGCAGGTCTCGTAAATAGGGCTGGCGAGGATTGAGAGAATCGGGCTGGATGGCGTGCGCTCGCATTCCGCCCTTTACCGGTATTGTACAGAACACCAAGTCACATTCTACGCAGTGCTGCTTCAAACTGTTCGTAGTCGGTGTGGAGAAGGACCATAACCTCCCGCAATTTAGGGACGGAGAAAGTGGCTGAGGGGTAGAGAGCATCTCGAGCATCGTGGGGGTCCAATGGTAACTCGAGGAGCCAAACCGAATAGCCGATGCTGCTATGTAGGATGCTGTAAGCTCAATCCCGAATGTCGTCCTCTTCTGTACAGCCGCACATACGGCATGGCCAACTGGGGAGGGCCATCCGTTACTTTACAAACCGCCCTATCAGACGCGGGACGGTGCATGCTGACCCGCGTGTTATCCTCACCGCTCGTGGCTTACGCCGGGCGCTGTGCCACGGTGCGCGCGTCGTATCACTGGCCCGTGGCGCGTGCCGGGTGCGACGTGCATTGGCAAGGGTTCACGGCTTTGGCACGCACGGGACGAGTGTGGCTTTCCTTTCCTTGCCTGCCTTCTGCTGCGCTCTGTCATTGCACGCTGGACTTTGCTCCGAGGTGCAGCGGCGCTACGCCCTGTGGAATCCGAGCCTGTCCCCCGGCATGGAGTTCAGCCGGCGATGAGCGGCCGGAATGTCGCCGCGACTGGAGGCATGGTGCATGGTGTGGCTTGCGAGGGTGCTGGGCATATCTCGGGTTGCACCGAGACGCGCCCTTCTGCAAGCCTCACGCCGCGGGTTATGTAAGAGGAAGCTCCGCCGTCGTCTGTGGTTCGAGGTGAGGGTGCTTCGAGTTGTTGTTTCGTTCCCTAGTTGGCTGGCTTGCTTAGGCAGTCATTACGGATTTCCGTCGGGCTTGCTGCTGCCACCTTCATGTCCCTTGGCTTGTTCTGGGAATTGGCTATTGACGCTGAGTAACTTTGATATGCACAACACTCGCGGGACCAGGGCCTCGGATGCAACCAGGACGGGCATTTCCACGGAAATAAAAGCAGAATGACTCCAAAGAGATGCGAAGCCAGGGGTCCGCGAGCCTCTCAAATTCTTCAGACACGACATCCCTGTCTATTTCGAGCGTTCTCCCGTCCTTCTAGCGTGCTTCCATTTAGCGGAGTCCCGCCTTTCGGATCCACCTTGATGGCCAGTGCGCGGAGTTCCTGGCTTTCTAGCGTGCTTCTAGTGTGATTTACATTGGGCAGGGGTCATGATTTTCAAATATGTGGGTCAGCGTTCTTGTGCCTGATGTGATGGGACGAGGGCGGAAGAGGGACGCTCTGTCAGGGCTAATGTGCGACAGGGCTGATGGCTGCCAGAGATCAGGCACGCATCCAACCAGAGCCGGCCAGGGGGCCCGGAGCCACGCGAGGAAGTTTTTCCTCCCTTTCCCATCCTCTCACATACCATTCGCCTCTTGTTGGCGAGGACGCGCGGGTGAACCTGTGGATACATCGGGCCTTTGGGCCGGACTCCCAAGTCGTTTTGGGCAACGAACCAAGGACGCCAAGTGGGCTTTCGTCCTTTTTTCTCTTTGTCCTTCACCATGGAGAAAATTTTCACAGGGATTTCCCACGCATTTTTGACGTCAGCAGACGAGCCGCTTTGCGTCGGGGGCCGCGCAGGCGCGTCGTCGAAGGACTCATTGTGTGGGGCGTCTTGGTCATTGTGGGTAGCTCGAAGGAAAAAATCAGTGTTTTTTTTTTCTTCGGCGCACCTGTTTTTCGTTGACCCGCGATGTTCGCCTGGACTGTGGGCCGGCCAGCGAGTCTAGACTGAAGCTAGGTAGCAAGACTTTTGTCTACACCCACGTGGAGAGGTATTCAGAGATGACAAAAACCCTTGCAGAGGGCGTGGACGTAGGAAAGAATCTCGGCGGTCGTGGAATGGAATTACAGATGCGGGTGCGATGGCACGGAAACCATGACGATGGGTTTTTTCTTAGTGATGAACTTCCACGGGGGCCCGGCTCCGAGACGCTGGGCTGCTTTGGAACTGTCAAGCTTGACGTTGGAGCCCGGTGATGGTTCGGCGACCTGACAGGTCGTCTATTTGTGGATCGGGGGCTGTTCTGAACCCCGGTATTCGACTCGTCTGAACCGCGTTTCAACCCCGAGACAGTCCGAGCCCGTGAGTTGTGCTGGCATGCCATCGGTTCTGCACCGCAGGGTTGGCAGCTCCGGACCCCACATGAGCTGAAGCTGAAGCTGCAACCGCGGCTCGAGCTGTCGAAAGGCCCGGGGACGAACAAAAATAAAGGATGAGAGACCTCCGCACGTCTCACAACGTCCGCTACGTTCATTGCTGCAGCTTCATCGCCCGGGCCCGTGTGTGGCTCGAGGAGACAGCATGCTCACTGCTGTGTGAATTCTGACTCTGGCTTGGCTCAAATCAGCTGAGCTCAGATAGCCGGGCCCGGCGCATGCGGAATGGTCGGTCTGCTCCGCGAACCTGGATCAGGACCATGTCGGATTTGCTTCTGTCGACATCTGAGACATTCAGCTTCAAAAGCCTCGTTTCTTGAATCAAACATGTCTTCAGGGTAGTTCGGGAGCTGTGTCCGGGAGGAAGCAAATACGACGATGCGCCGTCATCTCGGCGGACAATCCAAACGCAGATGGAAAAGAAAAAACAACACTGCAGCATCGCAAGCATTCCTCCCTTCATCGGGGACTTTTCTGTGCGAAGAGGTCAGATGCCCTGTTCAGGTCGGCGAGCTGCCCTGTCTCACTGCGGCGTTGCCGTTGCTTATTCCCCAGGGGCTGGGTCTCCCGTCATATGAGTTTCCTGGTTCTCGGGACCACTTGCTAAGTCTGCTGTGCCACGTCCATTCGGGTACAAGCTGACTCTGCAGCCGTTTGGGTAATATTTGCCAGTGAACCACATCCTTGCTCAGCCGCACCGACTGTAGAGGATGTGATATGTTCCTCGACTTACGCCGGCACTCCAGGGACGTCTCATTTCTGACCACGCTCATTTGCTGTCGTGATCTGAAGGACGTTGATACCACGCCCTGAAAGGCAACGGCAACGTGGTTGTGTGGTGCAATTTGAGCCGTAGCACCCCATTGGCTGATAGTATATGGAGGTCTGTGGAAACTTGGGCGACGATGCTTGGAATAAAGACACTTCTACTTCGTTGACGAACTTACTTTTCAGTGACTAGATAGTGTGCTCACCGCTTCTGGTGGATAGTCTGTTAGTCCAAGTAATGGTTTCAATAGGCGTCGGTAGAAACCGTTCCTGCTCGGATGAGAGCGATAACACAAGCTAAGTACCCGGATAATCAAGTAACTGGATAGAGCCGGTAAATAGGGTCATGAACTTTTAGATTTGCCCAATACTTCTCTTGAATACAGGATCACTGACGCCCAACCCAAAGAACAACCCAAATTGGTGACAGTAGCGCTTGTATGTCCTACAATGGAAGAGCTGTTCTCAATCCGTCTAATCTACTGTACATTGGACGCTGAATAGTTCTACAGCGACACAGCAAACCGACTCTTGGCTCGGACCCAGTGCCCGTAGTAGTAAAGAACGTACGGTATCGGCGCAAGCAGGGCTGATATGCAAGCGAGGATTGTCAGTGTGTAATGAGTGCCCAGATTCTCATAAAAGGGTATGCCAACCACGGTGATCCCTCCCGCGACCATGTATCTAATGAGGGCGACGAACGTAAGCGCCGACGCCGAGTATATCTCGTACGAGTCGATGATGTACATGTATACGCAGATGAAGATGCCCGTCACGCCGTAACCGAAGACAACGACTGCGAAGATGGCGGACCAGATGCTGATGCTGGCGTAATTGGTCCAGCCGAGCCAGAAGAGGGAGACTGGGACGGCGACGGCAGCGCCAAACATGGCGTACCAAAGACGAATCTCCGGCTTGAACCCTGTGCCCTCCTCGCCCTTCCCAACTCGCTTCACCGTCATCGAATAGATAAGCGGGACAAAGGCAAAGTTGACTTGCGTGCCAGCGAACATGGCGATGAAGATGATGTTCGCAAGGCCTTGGTCGAGGCCATAGGTGTATTCGAAGATGTAGGGCCATCCGACGAGGAACGTGAAGAGGACGATGTAGACGACGGTGATGTACAGCGTCATGCCCATGATTATGGGCTCTGTGAGCATGAGAAAGGGCCGCGTCATGCTGGTCTTGAGGCGGCTGAACAGCGTAGCATCAACGATCTCGTGTTCAGAGCGGAAACGGTCATCGCCAGTGATCCGTCGGTAGTGGGCAGCCTTCCACTGCAGAAGCAGCGGGCCGTAGGTCTCGGGCATGCAGAGCAGAACTAGGACCAGAACGAGGCCCGAGGATATCAGCACCGTCCACTCGGTCCATCGCCAACTCACGGCGGTTGAAGGGCCGATATAAGCACCCATGACGGCGCCAATCATCGGTCCGCCGAAACATGTGATGGCGTAGAGCGGGAAGCTCCACGTCTTCTCGAGGCGGTTGTACATGTCAGCGATAGAGCCACCAGAGCAGACCAGCGGCGTCGAGGCGGAACACCCGGCCAGGAAACGGAAAGTGATCTGGGCGCCAAAGTTGGGCGCGAGGCCGGATGCCATGATCCAGATCATGAAGATGGCCATGGAGCCGGCGTAGACGGCGTTGCGGCCAAAGGTTTCCGAAAAGGGGCCGGCGACGAGGGATCCGAGGCCCATGCCCACGAGATACAGACCTTGCATCCAGACGTCAGTGGGATGGCTTTGTTGGTAAGCGATCAGCGAACATACCTGTGGCCAGCGACTCGGCAACCTCACTAACCCCCAACGCCCTCGCGGCTTGCGGGAGCACCGTCGCGTCGATCCCCGACGCGGCCCCAACGAAGAGCGCAATCATGGATATTTGAAGCGTGACGCCAATGCGCTTGGCAGTCGGCCAGTTGTGCGGGTCTAGGGGGTCGTCCGGCCCCGCCCAGCCGACGACAAAGACACGGCCTCCGTGCCCCTCAGCTCCCGTGCGGTCCCGTACATGGATGCCGGTCAGCACCCGACCGAGGGCCGTGCCTTCGGAGTACCCGGTCCGCGCGGTCTGGCTTCGCTTAATAGGCTCCGATACTCCTTCGGGTTGTTGTCCTCGGGCTTCCAAATCGATGGTGTCAGACGAACCCGACAAGGGACTTTGTCTTTTCTCCCCCTGCGCCGTGGAATCTTGTGCTCCTCCACCCGAGTGCACCTGATCGTATGGCCGGCCTAGTGAGTTGGATGACTGGATTTTTCCAACGTCTCGGTCGATTTGCGCCTGGGCTTCAACGCCCGCGCGCCGGTATTGAAGAAAAGACTGCATCTTCTCTGGGAGATTGCCTGATGGGTGCACCAAGAAGTTGCATTTCCGCCATACGTGCGGAATGGGTGCCAAGTCCCTTTAGAACCGATAGTTTCAGCACGTCGCGGAGGGAACACCGAGTCATTGGGATTGAAAACTGATACATGACTTCATACTCTGTACTTGCAGCCGCATTTTTCTTACCTGATCGTTGCACCCGGTTTATTCCCATGGAATATCAGCAAAATCAATGGGGCATCATCGATGACGGTGTCAACCCTGAGTGAGCCCTGAGACTAGTGTCATCCGGCCCATCGGCGATCTCGGATTTCGGCTCATCTTAGGGTCTTGTCAGCGCCCCATTTCTTTTCTCCTGTTTCCTTGGCCTTTTCTCATCGTTAAGACGCAAGACGCGAGACGCGAGACGCCAGGCAGTTTATAACGTCTGGAGTGAATACCAGGTACGAAAAGATACTGATTGTTGGGGCAGAATAAGGAAAGAAGACTCAAGCGTCACACTCATCCAGATAAACAGTCAAATGCTCCTTCTCTGTTCCGTCTCCGGTAAGCATTCTATTCACTCGTTCCTTTGCCTTTGCTCCATTGTCTCTTCAAGCCAGACCAGCCGGGCATGTCTCGTTTTCCAGCGTAAGTGAAGGCAAAGGAAACGGAGATGAGAAACCCAGCAACAAGAAGACGTGGTTTTAGTGCCCAGTAAGAACGACCCAGTCTTGTCATAACAGGCGCGATACCGTCTTGCAGCAGAGCAGTGCGCTCGCCGTGCCTCATTCTGGCTGACCGTTGATTTCACACGAAGATGATGGTTTATTGCAATTCACACTCAGCCCTCTACTGTATATAGACCATGTCATTGGCCGAATAGACACCTGCGAAGAGAACCTGTAAAAATGGGAAACCAGGCCATTGTGAGTGAATAATGTTCCTGTCAAATCATCTGGTAACCCTGAAGCCGCACAGTAATTTCCCACTATTCAATCGGAAGACGGATTTGTGTTTCGGGTTCTGTTGTGTTCTTGCGAGTGTCGTCGATAACTTTAGCGGCCGCTTACTCTCTACCAACCAACCACCAAGCATATCGGTTCATTCTAACAACTCCGCTGAAGTCCTTCACGCGCCCACTGAATACATAAGCATAACACACGTTGGGGTATTTGGTATTTGAAACAACAAAAACGTCAAGGAATAAAAATAGAGGAAAGAAAGGAGGAACAAAGAGGTGGACCGGGAACCAAAGATGCATCGTCGACCAGCCAGAAAAGGATGTGTATAGCAGCCCTTTGCTAACTTCTGACAGTGGCAGACGAACCTCATCTATAGGATTGTGAAGCGTTCTCAGATTTATAGCTTCAATCGGAGGAAGATTAGCCAGAAGATCCCGTTCTCGTGAGTACCAAAGTACGCAATGCAATGGTGGTAAAATTTGGTAGATTCTGATCTTGCTATTGGGTTTCCAACAGTGAATAATTGCTCATTTCACAACCAATTCAACCGCATGTCAAAACATTATTCCCAACACGCCTGTCTCGCGAGTAAGGGACCTGATCTCGGCCGACGCTGTCCGCGAACATAGGGCCGGGCGTCTGGGCCTCCAAATATTCCCCTTCCAGCAAAGCTCACAACCGTTGCCTGGGGGGCATTTGAAGAGATTAACCCGCTTCTGGTGGACTATAATCAGGCCGCAATATGAATGGCACATGTCGAAAAGAACAAGCTGTAACACAATGAATTAGTCATTTATTCAAATCTAACCTTGTTCTCAAACACCGTTCGGCTTGAGATCTAACTCATTACTTCTCTCCTACATAGTTGCCAATGAACTCATTCAGGTCCTCTTGTTGTAAAGCCAGCCTCTCATTCCAAAGTCCCTTGTTAGCCGAGAAATGTGCCAACCCCCCTTTGCCGTATATGGCCCCGGCAATCATGGCCAGCGTGCCGAATGGCTGGCCCCGTTCCAATTCCATAGCTCCCCTCCGCCACAGCTCTTCTACAGAGCCCTGTGACACCGTAAACTTATCGCCCGTGGCCTTCTCTAGTGCCCTCAGAACCTCGTTCTGCGTGACAGTAAAGCTGTTGACGTAGACGTATTGATTTCGTGTAAGATCGGATTTTCTTAAGCTCTTGGCGATGGCCCTGCCAGCCTGATCCAGGTTCGTGGCCTCAAACGGGATGTCGCCGCCGTCAAAGATTGTGACAGTCCGGGCGGCCACGTCCCAGCCCCCGAAGCCTGGTATGTTCAATCCCCAGTCGAACATGGACCCCGTGATTAGTGCCGTCCACGAGATCTTGTCTTGCCGTTCCTTGAGGTATCTGACCGTCTCGATCTTTTCGGAGAGAAACGGAATGTACTGCGGCGCAGTGACGTCCGCGGTGTCGATCCCGTACTCGGAGGGCACGAAGACCTTGACTCCCGCCGCGATGGCTGCGTCAATCAGGGTTTTTTGAAGTCCCAAAGCGCCGTCGGATTGGATGCTGGAGACAGTGCTGATGACGGCATCCTGATTTCCGAAAGCTTCAATAAGAGATGCCTCGGAGAAATCGGTCTTCAGGTGTCTCACGCCTTCTGGAAAGGTAGCTGAAGACGACTCTCGGGTCAACCCAGTGACCTGGAAGTTTTCTTCCAGCAGACCCTTGATTGTTGATCTGCCAACGTTTCCACTGGCTCCAACGACTAACACGTTCTTGATAGTGGACATGGCTAGGGCGGGCTTTGGTGGCGGATGAAGTGATAGTTTGGAATACGCTCGAATTATCTGTGAGGCTGTAGTTTACGGAAACAACATTAGACCCAATCTCGTCATCTATCTCCTACTTATACTCGGTTATTGGAGCTAGATCCTATCAGAGGATAACGAAGGCATCGCAGGTATATGTCAGCAGCGTTGCTTGGAACCGAAGCCTCGATGATTAGTGAACATTTGCCAGCGCAGATGTTGCTTACTGATGCTACAGCAATATCCTATTCAGTTTTCGTTCTCGCGTCATGTCACTAACCATATCGTTACATGGTCACGTCTCGCATTGGCTCAATACGGAATACTCAATGTCACTGCGTCGCGCCATGTCCCCGATGGTGGATGACCAACCCAAGACATAATAATAGATCCTACGGACTGCATATGGCATCTCTCAACTCTTACACTGCTTGGTAATCATGGCGATTGCTACCTGCAGTAATGGGTCGATTATGCAAGAACACCACCGATGCGGCAGTTACTTTATCACGCAACCTCTGACAATAATAGATGCAGATATCCCAATGTGATTTCGCAGTTATTCATGGTCTCATCATCTACCTTTTCAACTCGGATTAGTTCAAAGCTACAATCGCAAACATGGTCGTTCAGTTCGCAGTGTACTTGTGTCCTCCGATCCCAACCGCTTTGGTCTCCCCCGACCCATCGTCCAAAGACTCGGGCTATTGGTCACCGCTCTGCTGCACACTGATATATACACCCACCGAAGCCATTCTCGTAGACTGCCCTCCGAGCGTCGATGCGACAAATGAGTTGGCGACGTGGGTTCAGTCTACGCTGCCACCCGGCTGTGTCCTGAAGCACTTCGTTGCATCACATGCACACGGAGACCACTTTTTCGGGTTTCCTGTCTTGAAGACTGCGTTTCCCAGTGTCACAGCCGCCGGAACCAAAAGTGTTGTTGAGGGCATTGAGCAGCAATACTCTCCTCAAACTTACAAGGAAGTATGGGAGTCAACTTTCCCTCCGAGCGAAGCAGGCACTGGCATGCCTGAGGCGAATGCCGAGTTCGTGTCCCTGCCGCCGGCCAATGAGATCGACCTCGACGGCCATCTAGTCAAATTCTATGACGTGCCGCACGGGGACATGCATGCCAACTCCTTCCTCTATGTGCCGGATCTTGGGCTCGTTATCGCGAGTGACATTGTCTACAACGGTGACTGTCACCAGTGGCTCGTCGAGGCGAACACCCAAGAGAAGCGGGACGGGTGGATAGAGGCTTTGACGCAAATCGAGACGCTGAAGCCGAGGATCGTCGTACCCGGGCATACGTTCAAGCCCATGTCGGAACCTGATGAGGCGGTTGCGATGTCTATGCTGAATGGTACGAAGCAGTACATCAAGGCTTTCGAGGAGGAGTTGGAGAAGGCGGAAAGTGAAGAGGAATTGTTCAATGCCATGAGGGGTCGTTTTTCGAGATGGAACTTGTGGATTTTAAGTGCGGGATGCCGCGCTGGGATCGCATCCAAGCAGCGGTCTACAAGTAGTGCAGGGCGCGGGTAGTCGATCGGTTGGTAGCTTATTGACCACGAGGTCTGCAGACCTTTTATTAAGGCGTTCGCGTGACGAGAAAGCAGTAAGACTCTATCTTGTTCTTTAGGAAATATGACCGCTGTTACGATGGCAAGCTTTCCTGTCCAGCAGACTTTATTCATGGCTACACACTCATGAAAGCTTGTCTTGTAGCGGTAGCATCCCAGGCTGTATCTAGCTGTATGCCCAGTCTAACGTACTCACTGTGAAAAGGAGGCGAAACGTGTGCCCATGCAGCATATTGTATATGCCATGAGACAGCGAGCGTAACTTACCGAATATGGGTAATGGTCATCCACGCCACTGTCCGGAAGCACCTGCAGCCTCGGTGCAACTCTCCAACTCCTGCGTTCAACAGCCCCTGAGCCTACCTAGGCTGCGGTAACCCCACGGTAGGATTCCATGATTTTCTGCTCCAATGTATATCCTGGTCTTGACCCGAAGCTGTTGGACATGGCCGAAGTACTTACTCGTATTTTCTCTTGCGATATCCTAATCCTGAAGAACCCCAATCGCCTCTTTCACTGGGACTTGAGCAGCGCGTTGTAGTTTGAAGCCCTCACGCTCCGAGTCGAGAAAAGTTAAATACTACAGTGCGGCCGGATAGAAATCTCCATCTAGCAAACCGCTGCAACGTAGTTCATGTTGATGTTGGACGTTAGATTTTCTGCTTTGAGAGTATCCTGTCCACTTTCTAGGCGTCCCATAATCTTACGGCTTCGTGACACGTTTTCTCAATGGCTTCGACGGTCTTGTGAGTATCCGCCAATGAGACATGGAATCAGCCAGCCCGCAGTCTAGTCTCGTCAACAACTATTTCCGTATGGATATTGTGGTATTATCCAGAAAGGGCACGGATGACGCGATAAAAGGCATTAGCAATTGTAGTCAAAAGAGGTAGCTGTAGTCGCTTTTGCCACGGTGGCACGAAACAAAAAGTAGGGAATAAAGCGAATGTTGATGCATGTACCACCATATATGAAATGATCCCTTCACGATCCTGTTTCTGTTTACGGGTTCGTGTAAGTTCAGAATTTAGATAATGGCGGCGGCTGAGGTGCTGAGGTCGGGTCCCCGCACTTCATTGGTCGCACCCCTCCGCCGTTGACAGGGTCTTCGTTGGTGGGGTGTTGTGAGAGTGTGTGTGCGCGGGAGCCAATTCCCCCGCCATCAACTACAAGCTCATTTTTCATCACCATCACCACGGCAATTCTGCGCAGCCAATATGGGCAAAAACGACAAGAAAGACGCCGGTAAGTCTGCCGGCGGCAAGAAAGGAGGCAAGGGCGAGAGTGAGGACAAGGGGGGCAAGGCCAAGGGCGCGCAGTCCATCAACGTTCGGCACATCCTGGTGAGGACGGCCTCTTGATGAAGTCTTCTGGGACCAGTCTGACAAGCGTTCCCAGTGTGAGAAGCATGCGAAGAAGGAGGAGGCTCTGGCCAAGCTGAGAGATGGAACCAAGTTCGATGAGGTTGCCAGAGAATTCTCCGAAGACAAGGCGAGGCAAGGTGAGCGTGAAAAGAAAACGTAAGGAGTATGATGGTATGGCATGCTGATGATCACATAGGCGGTTCCCTAGGCTGGAAGACGAAGGGAAGCCTGGACCCCAAGTTCGAGGACGTTGCCTTTGCTCTGACCACAAGCACGACGGCAAGCCCGGTTTACGGCGAAGCCAAGACAGAGTTTGGATACCACATCATCATGGTGAGTCTCGGCATTTGTCGTGGGCTCCGCGGCACACACTAATCCAAGCTTAGGTCGAGGGAAGAAAATGAGAGCAGCAGCCAGAGCCACGTTTATAGCATCAAGTCACAGTTCGCGTGCCAATGTTGAGGTGGTTCAAGAGTGCCCAATGCCGTTTCTCTTTATTTGCCTTATGCAATATGACCCGACTTCCAGAGGGAGTCCTCCATTTTTTGTTTCGAGATGCCAGCTGAAGAAGCTAGAGTACAACCGAAAGATTCGTTCGTAAGCGACGGTTCCAAGTAAATTCCCCGCCGACCCTCTATTCCCTTCTCCCCGTAGTGACGCCCAAATTCAAATCATGAAGCATTCCCGAATTTACTGCTCGGTCTGGAAGTAGTTGAGAAGGATGGAGCGCTCCTGGGACTCTTCACCCCAGTCCTTGACGACGACGCAAGAGCAGTTGACAACCTTGCGGGCGTTACCCTCACGGTCAAGAACGCCTGTCTACTGTTAGCCCGTATTCTCCGTTCGCAAACACACCCAAGTTGGTACTCACAGAGACCGGCCCACTCGCCGAGCTGCTTGCCGTCGGGCACCTTGATCAGGGGGATCTTGTGCTCGGAGCAGAGAGCGATGACGAGCTTCTTGTAGGCCTCCTCCTCGCAAGCCTCGTTGAGGACGCACATGTGGGCCTGGCGGCGGTCGAGAGCCTTGGAGGCTTCGCGGAGACCGCGGGCGAGACCGTCGTGCATGAGGGCGAGCTTCAGGACACCCTTGAGGGCGTCAAGAACGGACATCTGGCCCTTGGAGCCGGCATCGGCAGAAACCTCGACCTCCTCGGCCACCTCGGGGGCGTTGTTCTCTTCTACGTCCGACTATTAAAGCGCGCGGTTAGCGAGGCTTATTCTCGAAGGCGAAGGTGTCGTGTGCCCGTCCCCCAGGGGGGTCCCAATTGGCCTTGCGCGCCTGCGAAATTTCGCAGCGCCCGCCATCTCCAAACTGGAAATTTACGCGGGCAACCGAAAAATCCGCCTCGGTTGGGGATGTTGGGAGGGTGTGCGGCGCAAACTCACCATCTTGAAAGTTTTGCGGTCAAGTTCCTGTCGGTTCGATCCTCGAAGAGTCGTGTTTTGTTGTTATATGGGTAGTGTAGAATAAGTGAACTTTTTGTCGCGGTAAGGCGAAAGGCAAGAGGTGCGTTCGTTTGTGTGCCAGAGATCATTGGCTGGAAGGTGGGGTCGACAGGGCAAATTTCGGCAGGTGCACGGACCACCCACAAGGCCGAATTTGATTTTCGGCCACATTTTCTGCAGAGACGTCTAAAAAAATGGCTCGCGTCTCGTTTCCTCCCAGTTGCACGATCTTCTCACACCGACAAGCTTGCCAATCCACCCTTCACCGGCACCGTTCATTCCACGAGGTAAGTTGGAAAAAAACATACGCGCCACGATGGCGACTTGATCAAGCAGGAACTCTTGCCTTTTCCTTGATGCCGGAGGAGAGCAATCAGACGAGTCGTTCGAACTCCGAGAATGCGATTATTTTTTCGACCTCGATTTTTCCTGACGGACGATGCGAAGCGACGGCCGCCTTTTGCAAAGGCGGCTGCTCTGCTCCACGCCGCCGGCGACGATGATCTCTGATACGCTCTCCTCTTCAGCAATGAGCTGGCAGAACCCTCCTCTCGGTCGATGCTCGCCTGGGAGGGCACTCTCCACGCTCAATAGGCCTCGGAAGGCTAACATGCACTCTTTTCCGCTGGCAGATACCTCATTTCCCGAGACTTGAGAATCTCCGCATTCACCAACCGTCAAAATGGTCCGCACCTCCGTCCTCCACGATGCTCTCAAGAGCATGAACAACGCCGAGAAGGCCGGCAAGCGCCAGGTCCTCATCCGCCCTAGCTCCAAGGTCATCGTCAAGTTCCTCCAGGTCATGCAGCGTCACGGTATGTCAATCCATTTGCTACACCCCTCATTCGCTTCTTTCTTTTCTTTGGAGGACAATTGGAAATGTACATTCGGCATGATAACTAGGGCGAACGTCTCTCTCTTCCCCACGACTCAGCCCCTATAAATTGCCGATAGATAAACTGCGGAGGTCTTACAACTTTTTCGGATTTCAACTCGTGATGTTTAAGCTTTAAACCGCCGCAACAATTTGCTGACCAGCACACAGGCTACATCGGCGAGTTCGAGGAGGTCGACGACCACCGCTCCGGCAAGATCGTTGTCCAGCTCAACGGCCGCCTCAACAAGTGCGGTGTCATCTCCCCCCGCTACAACGTCCGTCTCGCCGACCTCGAGAAGTGGGTTGTCAAGCTGCTCCCTGCCCGTCAGTTCGGCTACGTCATCCTCACCACCTCCGCTGGTATCATGGACCACGAGGAGGCCCGCCGCAAGCACGTTGCCGGCAAGGTCATCGGCTTCTTCTACTAAGCGAGGAGATCGGAACCAAAAAATAAAAGTTATTTGATGAAAAAGGGGCATGGGACATTTGGCGTTTGAGGGGGCAAATTGGGTTAGCCATGGCCGATACTAGCGGATGCCATTGAGCTAGGATCTCATTTACACCAAAAGCAATGAACTTCAAGCAAGACCCCACCAATACGAGCCAGTCTTTCATGTGCCATCAATGTTTCTGTGTCCGAGTGCTGTTGTGACCGTCAGGTGTGCCCTTCTCATGGAGATGTCGTCCAAGTCAATCAATCTGGAGTCTCTCAGCGACTCTATGGTGGACGAATACACCAAGTCCTTGATATACCTAACAACATCAACTCTACGCCATTATCCGCGCTGTTGCTGTTGCTGTTGCTGTTGCCAGTGAGATTGGGTACAGATGGTAAGCTGGGGTGATGTCTGGTAGTGTACGAAAGGTTTTATCTCGTCACGGAAGGCTCTTAGGGGGGCACCTTAGTCTGTCTTACCGCAGCCAACACGCAGCAATTGTCGAAAGAAGCACCGATGGGCTTTCTGCCAGTGACCTTGGGAGAATAAGTGTTACTAGAACGACAGGGTCTCCTTAAAAGAGGTTGTTCAAGCCGACTTGATACAAGTAGTGGATGCGGCTTGAATAGGGGTCAAGTACCATGAGCCGCGCAGCCAGCTTAACTATGAAAGGGCCTCAATGCTGCCCGATTAATGTAACCGATAGTTCAACGGAGGAACATGTCTTGGGTCATCAGGGCTCAGTCTCCAAGCCACACAAAGAAATCTCAGCATAACGAGATACACTTGGAATGATGGCGCGTTGTTTGTCATAGAGAGCCAACCAGATCTCCATGGCGATATACCGAATGACGCTAAACCATGGTCGTGAGGTGAGTACAGGCAATATCGCGGCCGTTGAAGCCGTTGAATTGATCGACACTGATGCTTGAGTTGCGTCTCCGAGCTCGGCTCGGCCTGAACGTTACACATCTAGTTCCGTCCACATCTTGGTTCATGCGGCCAATGGAGATATCTCGATTGCTTGGATCCCGACAGACTGTATCGGAAGGTCTCGATTCTCCATGATTTGAAATCACCTCGTGGCTTTTCATAGAAGGGTCCACAGACGGCTGGGGATGTTGGGGTGCCGGCCTCGGCTCGGCACAGACTCGGAGCAATAGCCGTCAACAAGGTCAGGTGAGCTGGCGCCTCGCTTATGGATAATAATTCGCGATGTCAACACTGGACAAACGAACTATCGATCAAACAAAGCGGCGACCGGTTTTCTCTTTTCAGTTTGGGACAGATCTGGGTTTGCTTTTGCGGGATTTGCTCTTTTTGACACACTGTGTGGTCACCCCAGTGTGGTCACCCCAGTGTGGTCTTCATTCGAGGCAGAAGAAGAAAGTCCAGAGGCGCCGGAACTTTGTTTCCCGATCGCTTCTGCGTTGTTTGGATGGAGCCAGTTGAGCGAGCAGGGCAGATCATATGTATCTTGGCTCACAAAGGTGCTCCTGAGAGTGACATGGCAAGTCTATAATAAGACTAGACGAGGGAATACACACACGCACACACATATGCGGTGTGAAGAGGCTAGAAGGTGAAGAACTCTGCCCTCATGGTTATTTATGGTACAGTCACACATCTCGCAGCTGCGGTTGTCACTTACATGTGACGGCTAATAGATGCAGGATGGGATGACAGGAAGGCCAAATGCCCGCGTCGATGCCGCCATTTGCTCTCCTGGCAATCAGCAGCCCGTAATTGGGCGGCCGCGTGTCGTCACTAAAGAGTGCAAAGAAGACCTGTGCGATGTACGACTAGATCCAATCGGGACGTTTGTAGTTACTTACACTTCCAGCCCTCAACGAACCTCACGGCCCCAAGCCGGACACACCTCCGGAGAGCTGCAGCGGCCCCCTTGTAACTTACCTTCTGCTTCCTTGTATTTGTTCCCTTTCGTCCAAACTTCGAGCTGTTAGCATACCTAGCTTGTGATGGGTCCCGTTCTTGTGTTATCCGTATCTATTGGACGACTGGGTCCTCAAGTATAAAATGGGTCAAGCTGGGAATTACTCCGGAGAAGAGGTGCAACGGGAGCGGTATTGTGTTCCTCGCATGGGTAAAACAAGCAAGGTCCGCCAGCACAAAGACATTGTTTGCGCGCCGTTGTTACACAAAGTGACTCAACGTCCCCCATGTCTGATCTTCCCGCCCTCTGTTCCCGCTGCCCGGAGAAGTGCCGACCCGTTCCTTTGTCAGTAAAGGCGGTCCCTGATTATCCATCTCATGTTCATTGATGAGGAAACGAAACGACCGGCACTGTCTTTATCCATTCAGAGTGCCATCCCGGCAAATTAATCCTGCCGCCTGCGACCGTTCATCTGGCCTAGGTAGACGATCCCGAACCCCGGGACACTCATCAAGCAACAGAAACTTTTTGGTTGCAGGCTGCGTTGTAACCCTCTCAATTCGCGACCACCCTTGTCCTACCCAGGCCCAGCCATGAAAGCCGCTTCGACTGAAATGATTTGTATTACAGAGGCACTGTTTCTCTTCTCCCCCACCCCCCGGGCCCGGCTGACCAACAATGGCACGGCCCCACACGAAGGGCCCCGCACGATGACGATAATGGCTCGGCGTTGTTGAACATCAACCTCAACCTCTCTCACGCACATTCGCTCTTGTCCCCTTCCACACCAAGCGCCGGGTTGGGGTCTGTATCCGGAAGTGTAACTTTTTGTCTCATTCGTCCGCCTCTGATCCCCGGTCCGGCTTGGCAATGATATCCAGCCTTTTCTTGTCACAAGTGGGTGATATCTTTCCAGACCGCATGCTAGACCTCGTCTCGACGAGGGTCCCCGGAGGGCTTTTCATCTGAGCAAATATCCCGGCCATACGTAAGGACCGGGCATATCAGTCCCAATTCACATCGGTGCCTGACCTGTCGTCATGGACGAGAGCAAGTGGGTAGGCAACGTTCGCAATTTCGCCGTGGCTCTTCTCAAGGTCAAATGCTTCCAAATGCGACTCTACGTACGTCGCGATGATGACTGGCCGTTGCTTGGCCTCGCCTCACCCCCAGAGTCGCATAAATCTCACAAGACAGCGTGATCGCTTGCGCGTTCTGCATTTGCCTCGCATCAGGGCTTCTAAGCCAACAAAAAGAAAGCTTACGACGGGGCGCCAGCCTCTCATTGAGGCACAGGCTCGCACAGACTTGAGATGATGGCATCATCTGCCTCTCCCCGTCCCACTGGCTGCGATCTACGCAGCCACATCTACTTTCCGCTCGCTTTGCATACCACGGACTTGTCTTATTGAGGCTAACCACCCGTAATCCCTCTCCAACTCCTCGCCAACCACGTTCCATTGCCCTTTGGTGCTTCACCACACCATCTCAGACCGGGCTCAGGCCCATTATTGCTGTCTAGATGCAACCTTGTTTCGCAAGGTGCCAGCACGTGGGCGAAACGGAAATAAGAAAGAAAAAAGGGAGTAAATGGGCTGAGTAGGGGGGCGTCATTCGATATCTCAGTCTTTATATCATCCACACTGTCCCTTTCTTCTTCGCCGCTCCCGTCAGCGTTGTACGTTTCATCCGATTTCCTAGAGGCTGGGTTGTCATGATTATAAGAAAAAAGAGGCGATGGAAGCTGCTTTAGACTGCCTTAGTCTCTTCGCGTGGCTGGCTTACATCTAGTCGCACCATAGAAGTCTATGTCGGCCTCGACCTTGAGGCACAAATGCAGCCAAGCCAAGCTACCAGCACACAAACATCAGAGCTTCCGGGGCCACGGACACCTCCCGGATGAATCACAACAACGTGTTTTCTAATCTGACAACGTTGTATCCACCCTCTTTTCTCCTGCCCCAGCCCACTCTCTGTGGGGGGGAGCTACTTACCTGGTATAGGACGATTATGATGCTATCACTCTTGCTTCGTAAGAGGGCGGCGGCGGCGCGCTATACTCGTCTTCTCGGGATGTGTGGATGTGGTTTTGTTATGGGCAAGCAGTACCAGTGTACTTCGGCCTGGTGCAGCTCTCCTACCCGGTCCCCTCCCATGTCTAGGGTTATGAGCAGGAGCAATACAATCCTTGCGCTTGTGCACCGGCAAGAGTCGTTCTCTTCCCGATCCAGACCTCTGATGGGTCTATCGCGATCTCTTCCATGCCATGCTGTCTGTCCGTAGCTCGGACAGAGCTCCGCCTGTCAACCAAGCCTCTGGAGCCCATAAGTAGCCTTCCATCCCTTGGTTCTTCTCTTGCTCAGCGGCTTTCCGGTCACCCTCCTTCCCTATCGAAGACAAAAGGATAAGCTTGTTCTGTCTAGTCTTACACCAGAGGTGCGTCCTGAGCAAGCATAACGGCATCACTGTGTTTGCCCACCCCAATATGCATACAACCCTCCTGCTGGCCGGTCTTGGCCTGGCCACCCTCTCTTCTGCAGGCTGCCCCTTTGCAGATCCGGCCAACATCAGAACACGAACCGACGGCGGCGGCTCGCGCGAGCATCTCACCGACTACGAGGTCGATGACTCTTCGGGCGACCCGTACCTTACATCCGACGTCGGCGGCCCCATTGAGGACCAAGTGAGCTTGAAGGCCGGTGTCCGAGGTTCGACTCTGCTCGAGGACTTCATCTTCCGCCAGAAGATTACCCACTTCGACCACGAGAGAGTACGTTGCTGTGCAAACTAGCTCTGTTGATCGCTCTAGTTAACCTCTTGTCTGTAGGTTCCCGAACGAGCTGTCCACGCCCGAGGTGCTGGTGCTTATGGCACTTTCACGAGCTACGGCGACTACAGCAACCTCACTGCCGCCTCTTTTTTGGGCGAGGCAGGCAAGCAGACGTCTACATTTGTGCGGTTCTCTACTGTTGCTGGTTCGAGAGGAAGTGCCGATACTGCGAGAGATGTACACGGCTTCGCCACCCGATTGTGCGTATCTATTCGTTCGAGGTAAACTATGACATAGGCTGACGACGACAATAGCTTCACTGACGAGGGTAATTTCGACATTGTGGGAAACAACATTCCTGTCTTTTTCATTCAAGATGCTATTCAGTTTCCGGACTTGATCCACGCAGTGTAAGAGCCCACAAGGTTCATTTCGGTCAGCTGAGGCCTTTGCTTATATACAACCCCTACAGGAAGCCTCGCGGTGACAACGAGATCCCTCAAGCTGCCACGGCCCATGATTCTGCGTGGGACTTCTTCAGCTCTCAGACCAGCACCCTCCACACCTTATTTTGGGCAATGGCTGGTTACGGCATCCCGAGAAGCTATCGACACATGGTGAGTGGAATCATCGCCTAATTAAAAGCTTTCGCTAACACTGCCAGGACGGCTTTGGTGTGCATACGTTCCGCGCAGTAACGGATGACGGCAATTCGAAGCTCATCAAGTGGCACTGGAAGACATTGCAGGGCAAGGCCAGCTTGGTCTGGGAAGAGGCCCAAATCGTTTCTGGCAAAAATGCCGACTATCACCGTCAGGATCTCTGGGATGCCATTGAGTCGGGCAACGGCCCCGAGTGGGAGCTGTGCGTTCAGGTCTTCGAGGAGGAGGATACTCTCAAGTACGGCTTCGACCTTTTGGACCCGACCAAGATTGTCCCGGAGGAAATTGCGCCACTCCAGAAGCTCGGCAAGATGAAGCTGGACGCCAACCCTGTTAATTACTTTGCTGAGACTGAGCAGATTATGGTGCGTGCCCGAGCCTCGTTGTGTAGGCGCAGCTAACCCATGGCAGTTCCAACCCGGACACATCGTCAGGGGCATTGACTTCACCGAAGACCCTCTGCTGCAGGGCCGCATCTTCTCGTACCTGGATACTCAGATCAACCGTCACGGCGGACCCAATTTCGAGCAGCTGCCGATCAACCGCCCCATCACTCCCATCCACAACAACAACCGGGATGGCGCCGCCCAGAATTTCATCCACCGCAACCGGAACTCTTGTAAGTGACCAGCCCGAGCTTATACTGAAGTACACTAACCGTAACAGACTCTCCAAACACGCTGAACAAGGGTCTGCCCAAACAGGCAAACCAGACCCAGGGCAACGGATTCTTCACAGCACCAGGTCGCACTAACAACGGCCATCTGGTGCGCGAGATCTCTGACAGCTTCTCGGACCACTGGTCTCAGCCGCGTCTCTTCTATAACTCCCTGACGCCCATTGAGCAACAGTTCCTCATCAATGCCATCCGCTTCGAGACCAGCCACCTCGAGTCGGACGAGGTCAAGCAGAACGTGCTTGCGCAGCTCAACAAGGTCTCCAACGATGTTGCAAACCGCGTTGCTGATGCTTTGGGCCTGGATAAACTGGAGCCTGATGCGCAGTACTACCACGACAACACCACCAAGGGCCTCTCCATCTTCGGCGAGAAGCTGCCCACAATCGCCACCTTGAAGATTGGTGTGCTCGCAAGTCTGTCGGCCGACGGTTCCGTGAGCCAAGGCAAGGAGTTGAAGGACGTATTCGCCGCCGATGGCGTCTTGGTGACTGTCATCGCCGAGAGGCTGGTGGACGGCGTCGACATGACATACGCACAGGCAGACGCTACATCCTTCGACGGCGTCGTCGTGGCGAGCGGTGCACAGGGTCTGTTTGACGGAACCATCAAGTCTTCTCCCCTCTACCCGGCAGGTCGACCCGCGCAGCTGGTCATCGACTCCTACAGATGGGGTAAGCCCGTTGGCGGTGTCGGCAAAGCTCTGACCGAGTCAGCCGCGCTCGGTGTCAAGGCTGGCGAGGGCGTCTACTCGTCCAGCGAAGTGAACGTGGTGGTGGATGACTTCAAGGAGGGTCTGAAGACGTTTAGATTCACAGACCGCTTCGCAACGGACTAGGGGTGCGTTGCGTAAGCGGTGGATGTTGTTTCTCTTCGTGGTTATAGTTCATGTCCCCTCCTTAGTCGGTCACCAAGCCCAAACAGGAATTTCAGATATCAACATGACAGGGTTTAACTTTGCTGTATCGCGTCGTCAAGCATCATGTGGGTCTGATCTGAGCCGCCGGGTTGGAGTCCCGAGATACACGTCCTCAGACAAGGCATGCACCACATACATCATCGAGGCAATGATCGAGAAATAAAGCGCGGAGAATGTTGTGGACCAATTCATCATCCGAGGTACATGGACCAAAAAACGCCCGCCGCCTCCTAAACAAAAAAGCAAAGAGGTATTTTGGGGAGAGGGGGGGGGGAAGCTGATTTTGAAAACGGAAATTCTTTGTTTCATTCCACCTGCGTTATCCGTCGGGCTATCTCCTCCCCTCCCCTCCTCGGACCTGCCGCAGCTGTGACAAACTCTTCTTTCCGTCGACCGTCTCTGCCTTTTTCCATCGCACCAAGTCATTCTCTTCCCTGGGGCGCATACCTAAATGACGCAATCCCCTACGGCCTGATCTTTCAATGTGTTTTGTATGTGAGCGTATCGCAAAAAACGACAACACGGAGGAAGTGAAAAAGCGAAGAAGGCCTACATAGAGCAGTACAAAAAACAACCATGAGAATGGCTTTACAAACGCCAGCCCATTGGGAATATCCCATCCCCGGATGACGGAGAAGGTTCCCGACCATGCATATAATAATAGTAAAAAAAAGACACAAAACTTTACATCGTGCTGTCGTCGCTACTGTTGGCATTACCATTGCGTTTGGGGGATAAGCCTTTCCCCGAGCATCAAAATCAACGCAGCCGGCCCTCCCTCCCCCTTTCGAGTCGTAATCATCATAGGCTTCGCGTCTCCTTTGCCCCACCCCGGCACACGGCGGTGGGTGACAGCAGCATGGTAAAAGAGAGTAAAGCAGAGCAGGCGGCTACCTTCCGTTAGGTCTCGAGCTGGCCATTTCGCCATACCGTCCGCGGTGTTGGGTAGTGTCGTATGCCTGAAGCACCCTCGTCTGACTCTCGTCTGCCTGGGAGAATGCGTAGCCGCGCTGCTTGCGCATGCGCTGGACTTGGCGCACCTTGCGAATCGCCTTTTGGAATTGCTCCATTCTGGAATGCGTTAGCGAGTTACTCCAAAATCGACGACAAGATGAATATCTGCATACCTTGGTCTGTAATCTTGAATGTTGTACTTCTGGATCTCCTGGATGTGGTGGTACGTCTGCGGCATGTACATGCGCTTGGCGAACTTCCATGCAAAGTCTCGCAGGAGACACATAATCGCTAGCGAGAAGGTCTGCAACCAGAAGACGGGGCTGCTGTACAGCTTGGGAATGACGCCGTGGTACTCGGCCGAGAAGGGAATCATGGGCGCGACGGTGCCATAAAGAGCGATGAAGCCCCACCAGACGATCATACTGCCGGGGATGGCGATGACATGGTACTTGGTCCAGTTATTCGTTATCAGGGCCGCCTTGCCAAGGACAGTAAGGAGAACAGCAGCGTAAAGCGCTGTGCCCCAAACCCAGTGGCCAGCGATTTGTCCGTCGCCCTGGATCAGGTCGCCGTACCAAATGAGCTCGCCAAAGACGTAGAGGATGATGGAATGGTAGACAGCGTTGGCGACCCATTCGGCGAAGATCTTGATCTTGAAGAACTGATTCTGCTGGCCCATGGTGTACAACTGCGGGTAGCGGTCGAGGAGTCTTGCCGAGATGAACTGGTCTAGGATACCCAGGGCGAGCGGAGGCAAGACGGTGTAGAAGACGTTGTAGAAGGAGAGCGTCCAGGACTCGTAAATGACCGCACCAGAGAAGACGTTTTGGAAGGTGTACTGGCTAGGTTAGCAACATCGACGACGCGAGGGAATATAGAAGGACTTACCCAAAACTGCGTCATGTACAAGGTAATGTTCTTGTAAAAGGAGAAGAGGATGGTCTTGGCGACGCGTTGGTAGCTCCAGGCGCCGTGCACCAACAACAGCTTCCTCAGGTACCGGAACTGGCCAATGGATACATCGGCACTTCGGGCGGCCTGGAGGCCTTCCATACCGCTGATACCCACACCAATGTGGGCGGCCTGGATCATGGAGACATCGTTCGCGCCGTCGCCAATAGCGAGCAGGATGGATTCCTTCTGATACTTCTTGACCAGCTTGACAACAAGAGCCTTCTGCAGGGGAGAAACACGGCAGCAGATGACGGCCTTACACATGATGGCCAGGTCGAGGAACTGCTTTTCGAGGTCCTTCTCCAAGGCGTAGGTTAGAGACTTGCCATCGATGATGAGAGCCAGGGTTTCCGTTTCAATCGTGCCGTCGCCTTGGGTCCGGATGGCGTCGAGCTTCTTTTGAATGTTGTCGCGCGTTGCTTCCGCGCTCTCTTCGTTGACAATCAGAAGCATCATGTCCTCACTAAGCAACTTGCAACTCATGCCAATATTGATAGCGGTCTCCTGGCGATCGCCCGTCAACACCCACACCTTGATGTTGGCTTGCTGGAGAGTGTGAATGGTCTCGGGGACACCGTCCTGAAGACGATCCTCAATAGCGGTCGCTCCCAGAAGGTAAAAGTCGCGCTCAATGATCTCGGCCGCCTTGTCCAGCTCGTCTGCACGGTTACCGCCAACGGTGGTGCCGGCCTTTTCGAATATCTGGAACCATTCCTGGAACTCTTGCTCGGGGACTTCGCGCATCGCGAGGCAGAGCGTTCGGAGACCCTCAGAGGCATATTCTTCTAGATGGCGCAGAGTGGCTTCGACGTGCGGGTTCTGGTCGTTCAGGCGCTCGAGAATGACGGTATCGGCACCCTTACAGTAGACGCGGACCTTTCCATCAGGGCACCGGTAGATGGTCGACATACGCTTCCTGGTGGAGTTGAATTCGCAAACGGCTAGGAGCTCATACTCGAGCTCGCGTCCTCCTGCCTCGATGAATACAGACCTTGGCTTGCGATCGGTAAAGACGTATCCGAGTTGAGCGGCACCCTCAACAAGAGCACCCTCGTCGGGCGAGGCAGCTTGGTATTTGATCTTGCCGCCCTTTTCATCACTTCTCTCGGGAATGACAGTGTGGCAGGTAGCCAACAGAGCCAGAAAGTGGTCGATCACAGGGGCCGTCTCATGGCTCTTGAGGTTCTCCGCCAGTCGCTTGTAATCGTGGATTCCAACTTCAACGCCGTCCTGGATGGTCGCTCTGAGGTCTTCGGGCACGTCTTCGGCATACTGAATTCCGCCAATCGAGGCCTGCTTAAACTCCATCATATTGCAGGTCAAAGTACCAGTCTTATCGGAAAAGACATATTCAACCATACCGAGCTCCTCCACCAAACTAGACGTTCTGCAGTTGGCGGGGGTATCCGTCCGGTCGTAGTAGATGTCGAGGTCGTCGTTGATGAGAATGCCGTGCCAGTACTTCACCATTTCCAGGGTGACAAAGAGCGAGATGGGCACAAGGGACGAGAAGAGAACCCAGTACGTGACCATATCCTTGAAGAACGTCCGGATGATGTCGTTGGCAGAACCGGTTGCGTCGAGCATCAGGTACGAAATGGCGTCACCCTCAACCTTGCGCTGAACAAGATCACCCACCGTACAGATGACGCTCAGGACAAGGAGGATGCCGACGAGAACCAGAACCAGGATGTTCAGCTTCTTTTCGACTTTTGTGCGCTTGATTGGCGCAGCGGTGGCGTTTCGCATAAGCTTTGTCTCATGTCCAGTGAAGACGACCGCACCGTGGATCCAGGGAGTATTGCGCAGAGTAGCACCACGGAGCAGGAGCTGCTCGGGGTTCAGGGCCAATTCCTTCTCGCCTCCACCTGCCTGCATCGTCAAGGTGGCCTCGTACGTGTACAGACTGCTGTTGGGCTGTTCTGACTTGATTCTGCCGCCAAGCCTGCTGAGGTCGCTGGAGCTGACCATTGTGCAAGTCTCGGGCAAAGCCTGCTTGATCTTCAAGTTGGTCTCTCCGTCGAGGTTAGCTGTTTCGATATAACATAGGCCTTCGGGCTCGGAACTCGCGAGCAGGACCAGATCAGCAGGGAAAGGCTCCTCCGATTCGACACGGATGATGTCTCCGACCGAGACGTTGATCCATTTCGTCTCCTGGAACGCGGTGCCGCGCAAGACGCGGGCCTTGGATGTGTTCAGCTGGTGGTCGGCCTGCTTTCTGCGGTAATCCTCCACCAGCTCCTTTCCTGCGGAGACCATCATCACAATGAAGAGCGGAATAATTGTGGTATATCTGTTGGTAGGCGAAAGATTGGGGATTTGTTGGAGCGCCGCCGTGAATAAGAAGAAGATGTTGGCGAACTTTGAAAACTGTTCGAAGAGGAATTTCGGGAGGAAGGTCGCAACGTTGTACTTGGCCGTCGAGATATGGTTGTCGACGTACTTGTTCGCAGCGTTCGCAGGTGGGTTGTTAAGATGGATCATTCTCGGGCCCAGAGTCGAGGGGTCCGGCTTGCTTCGACCAAAACCAAACTTGAAGTTGCCCATATCCATCTTCTTGCCCTGTCTTGCGTGCGCGTTGGTGCCAGAGTCTGCCCGTCCGTTGCCTCCTGCCTCGGTCAAGGGCAAGTCCATCTCCGAGTACCCTTGGCCCATACCCAACTTGTTCTTCATGCGGCCAAACAAGCCTCCGCCCAAGCTGAGAACGCTATTACGGTTTCGGGCGTTGGCCCTGGCAGACGGGTCTCCCACATTGTTCGTACTCGCCGCGGCACCTCCCTGCTGGTAATATGATTCGCCTTCGGCCGAGTAGTCGTCGAAATCGTCGGCGTATCGTTGGTAGTTGTTCAGTTCCGACGTTTGGCTGTAGTGCCTCTGCATGTATGGGCCAGAGGATGCGCCGCCGCCGGTGCCAGGCGACGTAGGACCCCCGGGTAACGGCCTCAACGCCGAAGGCTGTTGGGATTGGTTGCCTCCTCCTCCGCCGCCAACGAAGTCATCATAGGAGACAGAAGGACGGCCTTGGGGCTGGTTTTGGTCGTAGCGCAATAGGTCGTCGTCGGTTACGGCAGATCGCTGCCCTCCATTGTAGACGGGGTGGTCGTTTTCCAGATCCAGCAGTAGGTCATTATTGGAAGGACCTCCTGGAGATCCTCCCGTTGGACGTCCAGCCATGCCAGGGGGGACTGGGTGTATGTTGCTCAACGATCAATATATCGGTCTCGAAATAGCCAGCATGCGAAGTCGGGGTGGTCGGATCAGGGTCGTAACGTTGACAGACACATGAATAAAGGAGCGATGGAATCGAAAGGGCGCGGGCGCAAATGCGGACGTAGGTGGTTTTCGGAAGCCGGCACGGTCGATGTGTGAGATTCGTAGCGGCAGCAGCTGGATGGCGACGACGACAACGACGACGACAATCGGCAGTGGAAGCAGCGCCGCAGCTGGGCGTTTGGTAGCTGAGCTAGGTGGTGGGCAAAAAAAGAAGTGGCCCGGCAATCCGTATTCGTTGCAGCACAGCCTCCTTCTGGCGCAGGATTAGGATTACACAGTGGTTGGCTTTGCGCTACGTCAACGGGCTGAGCTGCGCAGACGTAGCGGATCGGCGAGGTTGACACTGTAAGGTGGGAAGTAGTCAGATATCTGTACAGTCGAGGCGGCTCCAGTGGCAGAGCAGCAGCAGCAGGAGGAGCAGCAAATGCAATCAAACGGCGAAGCAACGCTGTGGCTATGATTGGTGTGCAGCGGTCTCGAAAGAAACGGTGAAGGTGAGGGTGACTTTTGAGACCACCAGAGGCCAAGAATTGAGATGATGTGAGGTGTCGTCCCGCGGAAGGGTGGGATCTGCGGAAGGTCGTGTTTGAGGTGCTGGTAGTGCTTGAACGGGGGGAACAGCGCAAGGGAGCGATGAGACGAGACGACTGTGAGCTAAGATGGTAGCGTACGCAGCAAGCGTCGGTAGGCGCAGGGCAGCAGCCAAAGAATCTGGCTCTGTCTGAAGTCGGGGTGGTAGGTAGCCACTGGACGTGGGTGGGTGTGGGGCATCATCCACGTCTGGCCCCAGCTGGCACGGCTCTGCTGCTGCTTGGTTCCGGGACTGTTTGGATGTGCCGTTTTGCTGTGCAATCTTGCGAACCTTCGCTTTTGCGGCTTTGCCAGGTCCACCGAAAGGGGGCACGTGGGGCATGTTACTATTCGTGTTTTAGTGGCCGATGGCCCCGGCCTGACTGCCCTGGACTGGCTGCAGCTCATCCTCACTCCACGCCCCTCTACCTACAAAGTATCCCTACGTACTGTACTGTCTTTCCTTCTTTCCTCGTACCGGCTGGCTGTGGGGGACAAGGCCGACGGGTTGCGTCGTCCTCCAGCCACATCTGCTACGGCGGTGGCTGGAATGCCTGCCTGGACTGGTTACCATGACCCGCGGCCGCTAGGCACTCCCAAATCTCAATCGCCAATCGCCCATCAACAAGTATGGCGGACGGACATTCGCACGGAATCTCGGGATCCGTCACCTTGACACGAGCCAACCCTTAGGTCCGCCTCCGCTTGTCATCATGGCCGCTCAGACGTAGCTCCCAATTGCCGACCGACGCCTGCGTTGGAGGGGAAGACGATATGGAGACTTTTCAATACTGGAACCATCGAACCAGGCCCCCTTCCAGTCATCACCAGGGAAGGAATTAAGCATCATCTCCCGCACCAAATTTACCTCAGCTGCTGCCCCCGATCGTCTGTGATTACCTGTGGATACACCACTCTCGGTCGTCGGATTGATCAGACATATTGTACCGCGTCTAAACCTCTACCCTGACAGTCCTCCGTAACATTAGAGCAACTTGAACAAAAGATGATCCAGTTTCAATTCCGGAGTGGCTGGGACCCTGGTTTGCCCAGCATGGCGAGGAAACATGGAAAAGGAAAGAGAGACAAAAAAAAAAAAGTAGGGGCCCCTATTGTGGCTACCGCCAGCGATCCAAACAGCGTGACAGCCTAGGTATTGTCGTCCACAACGTCAACGCTGAACGAGGCGCTAGCTCCGCCCTGAAGTCTAGTCGGACCCACCGGGGAAACTTCAGCGGAAGAGAGGGCCCCGACTGAAGCAAAGGTTTGGCGACCTTTGATCACCGCCCTGCCATGTTGCGTCACTCTTCAGCTCCCCTTCAAGCCACAACTATCTTACCTCAGCCTCAGCCTTATCACCGACGCCACCAACCATACGCGACTCGATCCATCTCGAATCGTCCCTTCAATCGCCAACCGCCATCATCAGCACATCCTCCTGCACCACCATCAACGAACGACGACGCATCCTCGACGATTCCCTTACGCACCATCTTGAACCGTCCACAATGGTTTGCACAAAGTGCCAGAAGCTTGGCAAGGGCTCAACGACGCTCGCAACGCCCTCCGTCAAGAAGAAGTCCGAGATCTACCACGGCTCCTCGTCTTCTTCGTCATCCTCCTCCAAACCCACGCTGGGCTCCACAAGCATCGGCAAGAGCAAGCTCCTCTCCAAGGCCGCCAAGAATCCCTACGCACAGTACTCGAGCGCTTGCTCAAAGTGCAAGACAAAGGTCTCCCAGGGCCACGCCCTCTGCCAGTCGTGCGCCTACAGGGCCGACTCGTGCGCCTCGTGCGGGAAGCCCAACAAGAAGGCAAAGGGCGCCGCGCCCTCCGTTGCCGGGCAAAAGTTTACGCTGAAGTGAGGACTGCGAGCGATGCATGGACTATAGAAACAATTCGCAATCAGCGCCGCGCCGATGTTGAGAGATCAACGAGGTTTGCCCAACGTGCTTGGCCAGACTACGGATGTTGATGATATGGCGAACCTTTGAAGACGTACAAACCGGTTGTCAAGCAGCCAGTCAGCTGGTAGTTCGCACGCAGGAAGGCGAGTAAGAAACCCCGAGTGTTACGTACCAACACGACGCACAGGAAGCAAGAGGCAAGCCCGATTACGACGGCCACAAATGGCCAGAGACTGCGGATCATGCTCGCAAGGCTGGTTGATCACGCGCCGACAATGGCGTCGCATGCCACACGCTCACTGCATGCTGCTTATAGGTAGCTCGTAATAAAGAGATATGGCTCACGAAAAGGGTCAGAGAAAGATAGAGAGAGCTAGCCGTGGCTGGCAACATTATTCATGATTTGTTCACTAATCGTTCTGACCGTGTGATTCAATTGTCCCTGCCTGTCATCGAAAACGCTAACGTTAATCCAACGCGGTGCCTTGAGCCGCTTCCTCTCGAAATCCAGAACTCACAACGACGCCGTCGGCTGCTTTTCGACCTTGGTCTCGAGCCACTGCTTGATCTGCTTGTTCACCTCCTCGGGCGCCTCCCACAGCGCCCAGTGCGATGCCGTTACCTCGCCCCGCGTCAGGTCCACAAAGTGCTTGTCCATGCCCGCCGCCATGGCCGGCGGCAGCGCCGCGTCCTTGCTGGCGGAGATGAACAGACTCGGCGGCGTGACCTTGTATTCGCCCTCCTTCTGCGCCTTCTCCGCCAGCGGCAGCTCGTCCTCGTAGTTGATCTTGCGCGTGCGGTACCAGTTCAGCGGCCCGCGCAGGCCGCTCTTCTCGTAGTTCTCGACGTAGTAGTCGACCTCCTCCTGCGACAGCAGGGGCGTGGGGCCGATCTTGCCAAGGTTCTCAAAGACGACGCCCCGCTCCGTGGTGAAGGCGAGCTCGCCGTTGGGACCCCGGCCGCCGTACATGCCCTGCAGGAACTGGCGGATGTCCTCGGACTTCGTAAGCTTCTCCTCGACCTCGGGGCTGCGCAGCTGCAGCTGGTACTTGAAGTTGGTGAGGCGCCCGGCGGCGATGACGTCGGCGAGGTCAAACCAGGCGGTCGTTGGCGCGTTGTACGGCGTGCAGACGCTGAAGACGCCCTTGATGAGGTCCGGGTGCCACATGGCGACGCGCCAGACGAGCGCACCGCCCCAGTCGTGGCCGCCGAGAATGATCTGCTCGCCGGGCGCGATCTGGTCGCACAGCGCCTTGACGTCGTCCGACATGTTCTTGAGGGACCACTCCTCGAGCTTCTCGGGCGACGACGTGTGACCGTAGCCGAGGCAGTCCGGCGCGACTACCTGGTAGCCCTGCGAGAGGAAGAAAGGAAACTGGTAGCGCCAGCCGAGCGAGATGTCGGGCCAGCCGTGGATGAGGACGACGGTGCCCTTCGGGGTGCCCTCGGGCTTGCCGTAGAGGTAGGAGTAGGTCTTGCCCCTGACCTCGGCCTGCTTGCGCTCGACCCGCGGGTCGTTGGGGGCGATCTTGTCGACAGCCATAGTGCAGATGTGTGTGTATGTGTCGTGATGTGTCTGTCAGAGACAACAACGCAGGGCGGGCAGCTAGCTCAGCGAGGAGGGCAGCAACGGACTTATATGCGGGCTCAGTACTTCAACGACTGCCAAGGAGATACCCTTGTTGCAGGCGCCAACTCAAACCCATGGGGGGCATCTGAAGGAGACGTTGCTGCGGAGACATGATGCACCTCGATGACGGAGATCACTGGTGAACCCAATTGGTTACGTGAACCTGCAATTCGTCCGACCCTGAGTCATGGTAGCTCTGTCAAATTCCACTCAACTCCGCAGTAGACTAAAAGCTACATAATCTAGCAGCCATGCGAGCACTGAATGGTGTATCGGGCCTCGGCCTAGCTGCGCGAGGTTTCGAGGTCCTCAGTTCTATGGTTCAATCATGGACCACTTCCATTGAGAAGCGGGGCAGCACATGGCCGAGGGGACCGAGTCGAGCGGCGGCATTGGCGAACGGCGTGGCCGGGGAGCCCACCCGCGCGGGGCCTTGCATTGCTGTCTCTCGGAGTCCTTGGATGGAATCGTCTTAGCGCCCAGTCTGCGCACCTAAGATGCCTCGGCTCAGGAACAGAAGCTCTAGGCGATACATGGGACTCGCCCCGCGTCTCCCAACGTCTAACGGCACAAACGACACCACCACTATAGGTATCACATAAAAAGGTTGGGAAGGTTGCAGATCGCAAAACCGTAAATGAATAGATTTAATCCTTGAAAGACCGAGTAGGTTTGTCAGTCCATCAGCATGAGATGAGGCTTTCAAGCAATGGTCCCACCAGCTTGAGCACCAGCACGTCACTACTATACTGGAGACAGAGACCTGCCTCGACTTAGTGAGTCCACAACCGGCAGGAAATGCTCTGAACCTAGTCTCGGTTTCGAATATCTGGTTTGTCGTGGATATCTTTCCTAAGTAAATGCCGCTTTAAACTCCGTTTGGTATCATGTCCCCAACTTTTTGATCATCCCTCGCAAAAGTGAAGAACACCACACGCCCATGCCGCCAATGAACGGCGATAATTAAAGTATAGAAATGGCAATGGAGTTAGCCGTACGGGGAAAAGGGAAAATAAAGAGCAAAAAACGACGAAGCCCACCCGGTCCGTCAGCATCAGTAAATAACCATATCCTCAGCATCCTCAACGACATCGCCGGGTTCATCATGCTGATGTGGAGAAGGCACATTGTTTGTGGCTGTTGGGGCTTCCGGGGAAGCTTCCACCGGGGGCTCTGAAGGTGCCTTCGTCGAGTTTGCGGGAACTGCGTGTGTAGGCGCCTCATCTCTCGTGGACGGCCTGCTTTGGCCGTAACGCTGCTCGTGCTCTTCCTTGCGGACTCTGAAAGCTTCCGTCTCTCTTGCTATAACCGCCCTGGCATCCTGAATCTGGTCGTCGACCTCGTCCTCTTGCTCTTTCGTGAGCTTCCACGGCCGGTAGTACTAAATGCTGTTAGCATGCGTTTTGGTCTTCGCGGTCAGAAGAGCTTACAATCGGTGGCGCTGCTTTAGTTCTGAGAGAATGTGCCATCGCGAGCATACTCGCATGCCGGCTTTTCATCTAGAGAAGGGTCAGTCGTTGTACCATGCTCACGAGGGAGGAACCACCACGAACAGCCTTCTCGTCGAACTTGATTTGCTCCCGCCATCTTGCCTCGGTAATCCGCGCGAGCTTCTCAGTTCTTCGCTTTTCGTCTTCCGCTCTTTGCTTTTGCGCCTTCTCATGCTGCCGCTGCTCTATTTCCCTGCGCTTCTTGTGCTGGGAGCTGGTGTTGGTCTGGCTCAAGGTACTGAGAAGACCGCCAAACAACCGTTTACCCCGCTTCTTCTCCTCATCTCTTGACAACGGCGCTCGTCGAGTTGTGTTTGCACCTGCATCTCCATCCCGCGGCCTCGAGCTCGTCGGTGAGACTGTCGAGTCCTGTGTAGGCGGGTCGCGGTGGTCGCCTTCCTCAATTTTCGGTCGTTTCGACGAACTGTCGCCATCGACCGAGTCTATTGACGCCTTTCGCTTCTGTGTGGCCTCGGCTTCGGGGCTCATTGGTCCCGGGTTGATTGTGTTGGCGGGCGCCCTGGATTCTGTAAGCTTCTCGTCCGTCCCGAGGGAGCCATGGGCGCCGTACTCTGTCACCGTCGCCATGTTCTTGTCGCGCAAAGCCGCAAAATTGATTTTAGTGATACGACGGTGTCTAATGAAGCGGCGAGATTATAGAGTTTAGTGTGGGCAGGTAGAGTGAATGCGCCCTTGAGCCGTGGTATCCTTAAGCTCAGGAGCTCCAGTTCGAGCTCCAAGGCTGAGGTTTGTCAGCGGGGTTCGGCCACTCAGAGGCAGGGTGCCGTTGGCTACCCCACTTCGGCCGGATCAGACAAGGGTCCGTACCAATGATGGGAAGAGAAGCTCGGAGAAGTTGTGGCAAGGCTGACCAGCGCGAACTTCTTTCCAGCATCGCGGTGCCAAAACTTGCGACCGTCAACTCTAGCTACTTGAAGAACCTCTCGTCAGCCGAATCACTCCTTTTCGAGGTATTCTTCCCAGAAATCGCCCAAAATGTCGCGCCATCATCCGTAAGTCGATTCACTTCTCCTATCCACAGACACCAAGCTAACGCCCGACTGCCAGTGATCTCGTCATGTGCCGCAAGCAGGCCGGCATCGCTATCGGCCGTCTCTGCGACAAGTGCGACGGCAAATGCCCCGTCTGCGACTCCTACGTACGTCCGACGACCCTCGTCCGCATCTGCGACGAATGCTCCTTTGGCAACTACCAGAACAAGTGCGTCGTCTGCGGCGGCGAGGGCATCTCGGACGCCTTCTACTGCTTCGAGTGCACACGTCTCGAGAAGGACCGCGACGGCTGCCCCAAAATCATAAACCTCGGCAGTTCCAGGACCGACTTATTCTACCAGAAAAAGACCAATCGGACGGCGACGTACTAGTCCCTGCGTCGCCCGGGTATGGGCACCGGTGTGGTTTTGGCAAGATGGATACGGCTACGAGTTTTACGGGAAATGGGATCTTGCATTGTCTGGCGTTTGGGCGTCTGTTGTCACAGATCGTGGAGGAAACATCGGGGCTTCGTTGGCGATGGTCAGAAATGATAGTCTCAAAGTTGCGACAAATGCTTCGTTTTGCGTCAATATAAAAAAGGCCACAGACAATTACGGCCATTGTTCATCCAAATTCGTATAGTACAGTGAAGTCAAAGCTAGCCGGTACCCGTCGTGATCATATGTAGCTAACCTTGACTCCCATTCCCGCAGTCGCCATGACCTTGTTCCAACCATTACCTAGCACTCGCTGTATCCGTTCTCGGACGTTCTTCTGCCCAAACATGACGACCAATCCCAAAATGAAGGCCACAAGCCGCATTAGCAGCATGGGGTTCGTCTTAAATGATGCTCCCAGCTGGTCTATCATCTCGCGCATGCGAGACAAAACCATTGACGCCCTCGTCCCAAACGTTGGCGTGGCCGACGATTTTCCTTTCGCCCGGGAGACGGGCATTTTCGGATTTGAGTTGGACCCCGAGGCGTTGGAAACGGCCCTCGCATGACGTCCCTTGCTCGACCCCGCCTTGCTCGAGCCTGCTCTGCTCGCTGTCTTCTCGATGCCGTAGTCCCCTTCAGCCCCTTCTCGCCGTACCCTCTCTTCTTCTAGCCTTCGGCGTTCTCTTTCTTCGTTTTCGGCTCGCAGTTTCTTAGCCTCTTCAATGTCGCGCCGCAGTTGCTCCTCCTGCCGGCGGCGCTCTTCTGTCTCGTGCCTCTCCTGTTCCTGCTGTTCCTCCTGCAGGCTTTGCAAAGCTTGCAAGAACGCTTCACGGCGTTCATCGTCTAATACTGAGCTCACGCTGATAAATTCACGGGCATAATCCCATTCGTTATTGCGGATCAGCACGTGCAGCGTATACAGCTCAAGAATCTTGACCCGCGCATTGAGGTCCCTCGGCGTATCTGCTCCACTCGTGGCCTTGGTCGGAGACTTATGCCGGTTCAGCCGTGGTGATGGCGAGGGCGAGTCCGAGAACCGCTTCGAGAGGTCCAGATTTGGTGAGGTAGATGCTGCAAGATAGCTCTCCAGCTTCCTTTGATTTAATTCCTGTGTCCGGGCGTGGGCTAACAAGAGTGTGGCGCTGCGAATCTGTTAGCTTCTGCTCGACGAAAACAATGGCTAGAGGTGTGACTTACAGGTTGATGACAACGTCCGAGTCGACGTCGCTCTCGACGCCGTGGTATCCGTTGCGTACAACCTCTTCCCACACCTCCCCCTCCCTAACCTTGGAGCAGAGCGACCGCCACTCCTGGCTACCGAACGCATCCTTTCCCTCGTCCGGCTCCAGTTCGACGATTGCGTTGAGCGTCGTCAGATACAAGCTCCAGACCTTGATCCTCGTGGATCGCGACGCCCTCGCGACAGGCGCTGGTTCGGTTGTGCCGTCTTCTGACTGTCCCGGCGGCGGGGTGATCAATGGCAGGATGGTCGACAGGGCCTCGGGTAGACGACGCGTGAGGAACAGAGTCGAGGCCTGGCGATAGGTCTTTGAGATCTGGGAAGTGTGGCGTGATGAGGTCGAGGAAGAGAGAGACGAGATGGAGCTTGCGAGCATGTGCGGAGGAAACGTGGCAGTGGTATCGGAGGAGGCGACCGTGGGACTCAAGGTCGCCGTGTAGGAGCCATTGAGGGACGACATATCTGCGGCGGCGGACATTTAGGAAGTTGCGGGCAGCGGCAGGTCGTCAATACGTCGGCATTGAAGTGCCCCAGGCGGAGGGAAATGAGAGGGAAAAAGAACGGGGTTTATTGTTATGTATTCGGCGTGCGGAGAATGGCGGCCATCATACGCGTTCCTGGTCAAATGCCACCTGCTGGTAGTATTGTTAAGAGCCGCGACATGTGGTTAGATTCGGGTTCCTGGGTGCTGCGGAGTGTGTGTGTGGTTGTCGATGGTGTGTGCTGGGTGCTGGGTGCTGGGTGCTGGGCTGCTGGAGAATTCCAGTCGGAGTCTGCTGACAACATGCCGACTACCGCAGCACGCACCCGCACGGTTACACTTTCGGCCATGGCCCAAGTTTAGCCTCGGTTTGTTTCTCTGGTGGGCTCCCCCCAGCTTCTGTTCTGCACCGCCGGTCTACCCAGCTGACCGCCAGAAACGAGGGGGGCCAGATAAGCGAGTACCAGTGACGTCGCGTCGGGTGCCTCACATGTGAAGTACCCCTTTAGCCTCCACCAGCAACGGTCTCCTCCCTTCGTCCTGCATTCCCATTGGGGGGAGCTTCTCCTTCGGGGAAGACGCTGTGCCTGGTCGGAGCAACAGGGGTTGCCCTCGACGACCGGCCGAGCTTTCATCTCACCTCCCGGAAATCACCACCCATTTCCAGATGATCGTCTCATGCTCTCGCAGCCTGTCATTTCAAATTTTTGTCTTCTTCCTGCGTCCTCCGAGTCGGGGTTCCCTCCCGAATGCTGGCCTTCCTAATTACTCTTATTATGACACCATTTTAATTGCCCCTCTCGACTGTCAATCGCAAGTTTGCGCGAACGCGTCCGTCGTTTAGAGTTTTCCGCCCCTGTGCTTCCCCAGATTATCCCGAGGCGTCTCGTGGGTGGCCAGTCACTGACAGAAACCCCAACCAAGCATTGAAGGGACTGGCTGTCATCGCTGGCAGACTTGTCACTCTCGATGCCGCCTTCTCGCGTCACCCCTGCATCTTCCTCGTCCCCTTTCCCGTTCTGGTCCTCGCTATTTCCATGTCCATGTAGTGTCCGCGTTTGTTTTTAGATCTGGAGAAGGATCTTCCAGGAAGGGATGTCTTTGTCGCCGACATTTCATCGGCGGTTCCAGAACCCAGAACGAGGTTCATCGCGAGGCAGCCATACCGGGAGTTGCTATATGTCACTTCGACCAAGTGGTTCGATTGTATCCTCGGTTCATCTATCGAGACATGGCTTTGCGGGGCGTCTCCTGAAATCCACCAGGGGTCATCCGTCCTCAACGACATTGCACAAACCATCATCACATATACAACACTTCTTTCTCTTAACGCGTCCCTTTCCATATGCTAGCACAAATTTTTTTGGGCGCTCCCGCGTCCTGCAAAGCTCATGCTCCACAAATCGCCGAGCCTCAATCCTCAAGGCAGATTGTCTTTTGTGGTGTAATCCGGATTGTATTTCGGATCAAGTCAAATGCGATATCGCCCCATTCGGGTTGGTTAACTCTCGTATCGTCGGCACCCGACGCCTCCGACCAACTCGGGCTGGAGATTCTCGGGCCCCCGGAGTGGTTGGGATCGCGCCCGGTGGCCGACAAATACTCTCTATTGTAGAGTTTCTTCAGTAGCCCCCAGCCAGCTTTCTTATCGCTGTCGCCGGTTAGGTTCTCATGGGCTAACTTGCAGGCCAATCGAAGAAAGCCAGTCGCGGTCATGTAATCTGTGCGTGTTAGTCGGGACCACCCGGCCTGTAGTCCAACGGCAACTCACTTCGACCCCGGCTTGATGAGCTGTTCCATTGCGACCATAGCCATACGCCGTGTGTCAACTGATTTGCGGCATTGCATTTCATTCGCTGAATCTGCTGTAAAGACCCGGTCAGAGGTCTTCACCTTCGATCGCTTGGTTCTTTGTTGCCAACAGTTTTATATTCATGATATCGGAAAACAGCCCGCGAATCTTCGCTAAGAAGTCGTCCAATGTGTCAGGTAGATTATCTGTGAAAGGATTGTACAGGAAGAAACAACAAGTCCATGAAGTGGTTATGCCCGACAATGACAGGCCGTGATTTCTTCAGTTGATCCTCGGTCATCTTGAAGGCATCTGCCACATTTTTACTGAGGCTATCTGCAGACAGCCTGTCCTCGCTTGGAGACACCTCTTCCCCAGTCAGTTGACTTATCATGTTCGCAGCCGTCACTGGCGTGGTCTTCGTTTTGACTATACAAAGAGCCCCACTGAATAGACAATTCGATCTTCTGTCCAGGTTTATGGAGTCCTGGAGGTTCTGGTGCATTTAAAGGCCAGTCACCGATAGAAGTAGCCTGCCCCGTGAGGCTAGATGCGAGGCGAGGATCAGAACACCAGTTGCCATGTATTTGGAACGTAGCAGCTTCATTATGCCCCTCGCTATCTAAAATCTCGTTCTCGGTATCATAGTTGTCGTCCGCTGATGACCCCAAGAGTGTGTTGGCGACGTTGACTGGAGCGCCTGGCGTACTTTCCGGCAGAATTCTCGCGCATCGTCTGGGCAGACGGACGTTGCGTCAACGACACAATCCGCATCAATCAGTTCCGCAAAGTCCCCAACCGCAAGCGCTTTAATGACCAGTCGGATCCCTCAATGCAGTCATCAGTCTCTGATAATGTTCTTCACATGGGCTACTCAACCGAACACTTGACCAGCGAGGTCGCAAGCCGATTCTGTGGGGACTTGTGTTTCTAAGAGTTGTTAGCTGTTACAGCTCTACCTAAGTCACCTACTGACAGAAAACCAACATTCATCACTTCTTCGTTATCTGCTGGTTAGATGACCACGGTGGCACTGTGGTTCCAAATGCGTCACCTCATGTGCGGAACGAGAACTTGGGCCTTTCTGCAGACGACCCGAAGGTAGAAACTGGTCCGCTTCTTGCTGCCTGAAGGGGGTTGAGTATATTAATATCCGTGGGTTTCTGAAAACGGTTGTTGTTGTTGCCTGACTTCAGGTCGGAGACCGATAAACGGGTACCATTGTAACAAAGACAATGCGAGACTCGGCTAGGGAGCACTTGCAATCATGTCAGACTTCTCCAGCCAGTCATTGATGAATGGAGACAAATGAGGACGGACAGGAAGACAGGAGTAGAGGGAATCCATACACTACAAACAGCCTCTATATGAGGCGTAAGTGTCATTCTTAGCTCAAGGGGTTTATCAAAACACCATCTCGAGTAAAATAAAGAAATAAGAACACAATTGACGCGTCAGGGAGGAATGCGGTTGCGACACCTCGCCTACAGGAGCATGCCCACGCTCACACCGATGGGGCACAACCACTTGCTATACGTCCACAGAACAACACAGGGCGAGCATCTACCACCATCACCCAAATGAAAACCCAAGGACACTTTTGCCGGACCCAGGTGTTGCTTCACGGACTGTCGTGAAAGGAACGAGTCGACCTTGGCATACAAGTGGTCGTGAGAGGATGGGATAGAAGTGTGGGTGAGGTCGTTTTCGAGGCGAGAGGAGGTAGTATGAGAGGCGGACGAGGATAACTTCCCTTATTGACGTAAAAATTACCTTCTACAGACGCTGCTTCGGTTAACCCGAGGTCGATGTTAAATATTAGGTGGGTGTCTGAGAGAGCCCAGTAGGCCCGGTAATTGAAGAAAATAAGCATCCAGTGGGGTGAAGAAGACGCTATGTGAGTCTCCGACGTCACTGTTCGTCTCTATATCCATATAGGCGGTAGTATAGTCTCGACCCGCTGTCATGAACCCGATGTAGGGTGAATGCTGGACCGACACCGTCCTGCTTGATCAGATAGCAGAGACAGATGAACAAGAGAACCCCAAGCGGAGCCGTGATGCCAGCGTGCCTGGTTTACCGCACACGTTGGTCATAATGACCACGACCTTGATCACCTCCAATACTCAATGGGACCAAGAGCAACCAGAGCCAAAAGCAAGACCGTCGAGCCCAGACCGGCCAACGGCATACAGTGAAGATTTGATTGTACAGTTTATCTATGATACAACAGCGTTACACCCTTTTTTGCTTTCGTCCTCCCGCACTCCCGCCCTTGATCGGACGTAGCCGGGACAGTCAAAGGACGAAATCCGTCCCCGCCCGCCTTTACCGGTCCGCCATCATGTTTCTTACACTACGGTAATAATCGGGCTCCAGAACCTCCTGGAGCTCCTCCCGCGTCAGCCACTTGAACTCGTTGTACTGGTGCTTGTTGGCCGACAAATCCGCCTGGCCCGCCATGATGCGGCCCTTGAGGAAGAACGTCTTCTGTCCCCTGGCCGCCGCCGCATCGGCCTGGGTGGTCGCCGGCTTCTTCACGTAGGCCGCAACCGGCACACGGCCGACCATCCACGTGTTCATGTTGACGCCCGCCGTCTCGTCGAGGATTCTCTGCGCAGCCTACGTCCTCCAGTCAGTACGCCTTTTCTGTTTAAACCGTATCCCTCCGCGCCGTAGCAGGGCGGAACAACCACACTCACCTCGTGAAGGTTCTCCTCCGTAGACATTCCCGCCGAGGGGAACTCCCACTTGGCGCCGTCCTTGAGCTGCTTCTTGACGACCAGGTACAGAGTGCGGTCCATGGCGCGGTCCAGCCTCGTCGTGTCGCGCTTGCGGTCCGCCTCCGACACCCGCGGAGCGAGGGCTTCGGGCGGCGCCCGGTCCTCCTCGGGGATGATCTCGGCGTCGTCGCTCACGCGCATAACAGAGTCCTTCAACAACAGGTCGACTGTCGTTTCGTGGCTGCTCAGCCCGTCGCCGACCGTCAGCTCGTCGTCCCACGCCCGCGACGCCTTGCCGTTGTAGACCCCCAGCTCCTTGGCCACAGTGCCCTGGCGGTCCTTGACCTTCATGTTCCAGTCGATGAGCGCCGGGGTGTCGGGCTTGAAGTAGACGGAGGTGATGAAGGGCAGCGACAGCCGCTCGTTGAGCCGCTTCTGGTAGAAGAAGTACGCCTGCTCGAACGACGTCAGGGGCCGCGTGAGGAGCGGCGCCCGCGTCAGGATCACGCCGGCTTTGATGTGGTAGTTGGGACCCGTCTGGCCTGCCGGCTTGGGCTCGGGAGGGATGCTGACGTTCGGGGGAGGGACCGTGGTCGTCGTCTTCGTCGGGTCAGTCGTCGTCGAGGCGGCGGCGGCGGCGCCCGAGTACGCTCGCGAGGGAGCTGGAGCTCGGATCTGGACCCTCGCGCATTGTCGGCAGATTCTAGGGATAGCTGTCCGCATCAGTTAGTCAATTGCTTGGTGACACAGCAGAAACGAGAATCTTACGTCGTATGCGCCCGAGAGCGGCGAATGCGCCTCTGCTGGGGGCCGTCATGTTGAATAGCTAGGTGTACTGGGTCTCCTCATTGACACCTCAGTCGAGATCTCCAGGACGGATTGAACTTTTTTGCTGCAAAGCTCGGCCGGGGTACGTACCGTTATGGTCTGGCGTTGCTTACCTAACACAGCTGGCGCGGTGCACCGTGCAGAAGCACAGAGTCGAAGCGGATCCGACAGGCGCCGGGTCAACTTGACGCCTGAGAAGCGCCAGTGGAATCACATCATGTAAGCAGCGGGGCACTCGGAGCAGAGCCTTTATCATCTTTCGGACGGCCAGCCTGGTTTAGTTTTCTTCTTCTTTTTTCTCACTACGGCACCATTTCCTTATCGTCAAGACCTGTTCCGCCTCCAGAACGTCCTGATCATTTATCCGGTGCCCAGAGTAAACAGCAGTCTTTTTTCGCTAGCAGCACCTGCATTTCTTACTGGGTTATACTGTTAGATAGTTACTGCAAACACATTCAGCGATTTCACCGCTGATTGATCGTCGACTGGCTTCTGCTGCGCCACGACGATCGAGAGAATGCCCAGCATTCCACAGTGACATCATAATCCCAGGCCTCCCGGCGTTCTTTTCTAGGGCGCAACTTGATGCTACTGATTGCCGTTGCAGAAACAGTCACTGTTCGATGCCACGGTTTCCGCAGTATGATTTGAAGAGTCGTTATGTCCATTCGTCGTGTCGTCGTCTATCTACAGAAGAAGGTTCGTTTTCGGCTGTACTTCGAGCCTCTCCACGATATGGTGCCGAGAGAATACTCGCTATTCGAGCCGCTCGAGCCCACATAGTTACAAATGCGTCTTCCCTATTCAGAGAGATAATCCATTGCCGAAAAATTCAAAGAAGCCTCCCCTAGTTGGAGTGTCGGGTATCAAACCGCTTGGTTCGCTGCCAAACACCAAAAAAACGCCATACCGTTTGTGCTGCCGATTAAGCCTTCAGTTCCTCCACTGCACGGGCCACCTCCTTGGAAGCGATCTTCTCCCATGCTTTCTTGGCGTCTTCGTCCAAGGTTTGGGGATCGCGAAGGCCTTCGTATAGCTTTCGAGAGACATCTCGGTTGATGGTTGCGTACTGTTCCGAGGTGAGCTCTTGTGCGCGCCAATGAGGCTTGAGGGCGGCCCGGACGATGCCGCTGATTCTCTCCTTGGTTTCGAAGGGGATGGCCGCCGGTCGCGTGGGAGAAGAATCCTGCGACCTAGAAAAGTTGGGGCGCTGACGATTCGGCCGCTGTGGTCGAGGCTGGCGAATTTCGGCCCCAGTCGAACGACTGTCGGAGTCGCTGCTGTCTCCTGTGTTTCGAGTGGGCGAGTAGTTGGCCTTGGGGAACCTCGGTTCCACATAGGAGCTCAGAGACAAAGTAGGCGAACTAGGGCGGGGGTGTGGTGGCGGTGTGAGGGATAGCGCTCGTGGAGAGTTGCGTGATGATGGTGAGGGGGATGTCACCGGTGACGAGGGGTCGACACCAGAACGAGTGCCGAAATAATTCCGCACCGTCTCGTCGTCCGACGGAGTGCTCATTTCCACCTCCTTAAGTAGCGACGACAGGAACGATGGACCAGGCTCGGTACTGGTCGGAGACTGGGCACGTTGGGTCGCGCCGTTCGTCTGAGGCCTCGAGGCCAATACGGTTGTGGGCGCTGGCGATGATGTGACCGCAGATGCAGAAGTGGAAGCTGAGGCGGACGCAGCGACAGGGCCGGCTCCTGACCCAGAGCCCGATGCAGAGCCAGAAGCTGAGGCAGAAGCGGACCCAGAAGCTTCTCCCTGCAGAGGCAATCGGCGGGTACGAGGTCGCTTGAGCTTGCGCTCGGGCTCTTGGGCAGGCTCCTGAGGGGAAGCCGTGACGGATCTCGCCTTTCGCTTGCGGGTGTTGGGGGTTGTCTCGGCCTCGCGAGCCCTCTCGAGGGCTCCCCAGGCCTGCTGTTCCTCTCTCGTTTCTGGAGGAGGTGGAGCGGGCTGGGGGACTGGCTCGACCGGCGCGCCATCCAGGCGATGACCCACGGTCGGGCGGATGTTTTGTGCAAAAATATCTCTGGCGCCTAGGCGGCTGGCGATGTTCATGCGCTGTTGCCAGTCGTCCTGCTCTTGGATCTCGCGGATCTGCTCTCTCTGCGCCTGGGCTCGGCGGAAACCCTGGAAAAGATCTTCGTCTTCGTGATTGTCGAGATCAATGTCAGTAGCGTCGTAGATGCGGCTCGCGATCCGGTCCCATGCGCCTTGCCACTCGAGAGATCTCGCCTCGCGCCTGGCGTTCCTGGCTTGCAACTGGGTACGCAAGAAGCCTCGTCGTGCAACCACATTTCGCCGGTTGGCTGCTGAGCGAGCAGCCTGTGTAATAGGCTGCGGCTGCACTTCGACATCCGAAGTCTCACTCGAGCTGGACCGACCCGTGTCGTTGTTGTTGTTGTTGTTGTCGGCACACTCGAAGCAGTACCAATACTCGGTTTGTGGCACGCCAGATAGGCCTATGCAGTGTGTGTGGTAGGCGGCATTGCAACCGTCACAGAGGAGCAGCACCTCTTCGTGGTCTGAAGACTCGCAAATGGGGCAGGCGGGACTTGGCTCTGAGGCTTCGTCTTCAGGGTTCTCCTCAAGCCACCTGTGAATATCGAACTCCTGCTCTTGCTTCTTGTCCTGAACAGCGTACGAATCGACGGGAGGGCCTGGTGTTTCCAAAGGTGTTAGTTTCTACTGTTGCTGTAGTGTCGTGGGGGGGGAGGAGGGATGTTTCGATACGTACCGTTGAGCTCAGATGATAGACTGACCTCATTGAAAGGCGTTCGGCAGATGGGGCAAGTGTTTGAGTTCTTGGCCCAACTCCTGATGCACTGATCGTGAACAACATGGTTACAGCCAACGAGAGTGGCAATGAAGTTGGACTCTGACTCCTCAAGGATTTCGATGTCTGAGTCGATGGTACGGTAGACTGCCTGTTTTGTTGCGGTTGCTGCTGGTCCCGCCCCGTTTGCACTGTCTGGCTGCGACGAGGGGTGCTGCAGCGACTCCAGGCATATGATGCACTGATCCGGTTCAGTCATTGTGGCAACAGTGGTAATATCGCTTCCGGAGTGATGAATTCATAAAAAATGGTCGTGGAGGATAGCCAAAGGATGGCCCTTGGAGTGCACAAGGGTTCACAATCGTCTTCTCGTGATTGCCGTGCTTTTGTTTACAGCGTCTGCTGCCTTGTTGTTGGTCGTGGGCGGTAGTAAAAAAAAGGGTGTCAAGTCGAGGGCCCTTCTGTGGTGGTGCTAAGGCGGCAAGAGAGTTGGGTGCACGAACGCACTACAACTGGGCAGTTGCTGAAGAGTAGGAAGGGGGAGAAAAGTGGAAGGTGGGTAGGCGAGTCCAGTATGGTCTGCGTTTCTGGCGGGAAACGGATGTCAGCCGGGGCGATTCGGGGATATCTCGCCGCTTGCTGAGCAGAGAAGCCAAACGGAGGCAAGACGAGCAGAAAATCAAATGGAAAATCAGACAAAACAAACGGCCAGTGTGGAGAGAGGTTTGAAGGAAATTCGCACTTCCGCTCGTGGTGCTTGTGTGAGGCGAGAGAAGGAGGGAGAGAGGCGAGAGAGAGAGAGAGAGCCTGAGGGGAAAAGCGCTTCGTCGGTGCTGCTGGGTGCTGGGTGCTGGGTGCAGGCTGCTAGGTGCTGCTGCCAGGTGCTAGAGTGCTAGAGTGCAGAGAGTGCTAAGGGCTGTCAGGGAACTCGACGGGACTGGAATTGTAAGAGGGAAGGTTTGGAGGAACCCAAGCCCCGAAGCGGGTTTTTGCGAGCTTGACGCACGCCTGCAGCTGGTCTCAACTGGGGCCAATCAACGGCCAGCTGATGCAGCGGTGCGCCACGCTCCTTGCACCTCGCAGACCGTGGCCCACTGGGCTGGGCAGGGTGACAGGGGACCTGCTGGCCCATGGACATTCAACACCTGCACCACACCTCCAGTCTCAGAGTCCAACCAGCAAACACCAAAGTGCCTGGCACATATTTGTGATCGGAGGAGGCAAGTCGAGGCACCGAGACGGACCAGACTAGCCCACTAGGGCCGCTGCAGGAGCACAAACCCTTAAGGATCGATGCAGGTCAACCCCCCCAGCAGGAGCATCTCAGCGCCCCCCTCCTCAAGTAGACAGAGCCAAGGTTCTTTGGGGACAATACACTCGTTAAAGGATGTTGCTGTTGATGCTGGTCCTCCTCGGCGGCTCCTCGTTCGGACAAGGTAGGTGGTAGGGAAATCGAAGGGATACGTACCTGACTTGGCGATAGAGCCCAGACCTCGACTGGGTAGCTTGCGTGGTTGCGTTGCGTCGAGTTTGCGTTTGCCGGCCTTCTCCTCACGGTTCCTAGCTGTTTTGCGCCCCTCTTGTCCCTCGGCCACCCTCTAACAAGGTAGGTAGGTACGGAGCGACTGAGATGGGCGAGCCGTGTCGCGGGGAGAGGGTGGGAAGGGGGAAGGTGGTAAGTGGGCGAGTCAAACACTCAATCAATGTGTTGGCTCGTGCGACGTCAGTCAGTCAGGTACCTTTAGGCCAGGTGAGCGAGCGTAAGATGTCGTTGCCGTGTGAGATTTGGTAGCGCGTCTTGTGTCGAATCGTCTTTTGACTGAGAGCCAAGTGGGAAGAAGCTGTTTACGTCGGACACTCTTGTCAGGTGCTAGAACCCACAACTGCTTTGAGGCGAGGTGGTGTTCCGGGTCGACACGCAAAGGCGGTAACGTCAACCCGGTGGACGATAAGGGGCGATGGGAATGTAGGAGGACGAGAACGAGAATGCACAACGGCGGGAAACCCCATTCGAGGGCGGAATCCGATGGCTGAAGAGGGGAAGCCGGGGCGCAGAGTGCGAAGATTCGGCCGCTGGAATGGGGTCAGGTCGGCGGTGTAATCAGTGCCGTCTCCGATTCCAAAAATGGAGTTGCTCGCATCACGGGAGTCTGGCCGAGCAGCCAGTGCCAGGGAAAGGAAAGGGCAAAAGGGACTAAGGCTGCTGTATCGGTAAAGCAAGGTACACGTGAGACCTTCACGCCCCTCGTTTCTCCGAGGCCGACAAGATTGGTTGGCGGGCTGGTTGACGGGCCTGGCCTGCGTCAGGTTGCGACCCAAGCTAGGTAGAGTCCGTCTCTTCCTTGGTGTGCCCGAGCGAGTTGATGTGGTCGACGGCCGCTCGTCCCGGCTGCAATTACTTTCCCCGTTAATTAACTAGGGGAGGATAGGGTGCAAAAATGGCTGGTAATTTCGGCGGATGCAGCGTCTTATACCCATGTGAAGTCGGTATTCTTCAATTCGTTTTGTGGCGGCGAAATCCCGCAGGCAGAGCAAGGTCCCCAACCAGATGTGCTTACTAGGGGATTTCAGCTGTTCGTCGTTTTGTGTCTCAACGCGCCGTGCTCTCTATTAAGAACAGGGACGAGGTGAAATACAAAACTCACCGACTTACATGGTACGAATCCGTCATCCTTTTCACCGTGACGGCCGGGACCCCTCATTGGCCGCCTGACCCCAGCAGCATCCGCGTCTTGCAAGCCTAGAGTACCTGGATGACTCAAGTTCTGAACCAACGTGGCATCCCATCGCCTGCCGCGCACACATTCGCTTGTTTCGACGAACACTCTATAGGTACGGTGGTTTCAACCAGCCCTCGAGGAGATAGGTCATAGGAAGCCTCGCGTGAGAACCTTGTTGGGACATCCGCCATTGAAGGCAAGTCAACTCAGGCACCCGGTGGGTCTTCCCCTGGCCTGGTCTGACTGGAGATGACTCGGCATCGATTTCGTAATTCACGGGTGTAGCCTTGTGGATGCCTCTTGTGACAAGTAGTGCAATTCTCTGTTAGGTGGGCTGCTTCGAGCTTCGGCCACGCGGTTACATAACGGGACCGGTGACTCTTGTCCCTGCTAGCCAACTCCACAGTCCCTCCAAATGACCTCAATAAGCTGTTCGGTTCACCACTTCACGGAGTGACTTGTCTGGGCATGTAGGTGGCACATCTCAGAACGAAGCGATCGGGAGGGGACGTTGTTGTACGTCAAGTTCTTTTCATTGCTGACCAAATGGTCCCTCTGGCAGCTGACCGAAGACCCGTTCCGTTGTGGCCGTCGTCAGGATGTAGGCATGATATCCGGTTTTCCCATACACCCGCCCGAAATGCAAATCAGAAGTCGTCCACCAATCCGTAACCCATCCTTTAAACCTCAGCAATCTCCCTCAGGCGACGGAGAGTAGAGCGCATGGCAGCGGCAGCGGGGGTGCTGTGTTCTGGTTAGCCTTGTTGTTCGTGCTCCTTCAAGTCATGATCGGGTGTGCACGTACGAAACAGTGTAGGCACCGCCAGCAACGGTCTTCTTGCAGCCCTTGCAGTTCCAGATACCGGTGGAGTGGCGCTTGACGGTAGGCTTTCCGCAGAACGTGCAGGTGTAGGTGGCGTGCTGGGAGATTTCCATCTTCTTGACCTGCTTACGCAGGGAAGCACCGTATCTGGTACCGTACTTGCCGGTCACTCCGACCTTCTATAAGGTTGTTAGTCATCTGTGGCCTGGACGCGGAAGAGCATAAGTCCTGGCTTCATCAAGAGTCCGGTCAAGCGACCGCCCAGCAGTGGTGAGCCTCCATTGTCTTAACGACGTGTCCGAGAGCGAAGAGAGAAGAGCGTTCGGGTGTTGGCTAGCGGTGTCGAGTTACAAAGAGCACCAGGTTGCCGATGCCGAGTTTGTCTGCAGAGGAACTCAACAATCCTAATGCATTACATGGCTTGAGGAAGGTATGGTAGCATGGCCGTGGTGCCCTGAAATCGTATGTGGTCGTTGAACTCGGCGCCAGAACTCGTTCGCTCGTCTCTCTTGTTCTCAGCTCGTTGGAAGGTCGACTCTACTGCGTGGGCGACCTATCTCATTGCCTCACCGCTCAACCCCAACGCAAGTCACACTTCGCCTGCCATTGTCGCCAACGAGAGGGAAGTCGTGACGAGGAGTCGATCGCGGGGTAGGGGAGTTTCGAACCATGACGGGCAAGTTGATGAAGCCAGTCCTCCGTGGAACAGGTGCAGAGTATTACGAACCTTCGTGCGCTTGGCCATTTTGTCGATGTGTTGGGGGAACGGGTTCGTTGACTTGAAGTGCGACGAGTGGTGATGTTTCCTCCCAGGGCGGTTGCTCAATAAAAGTTTTTGTGATGGTGGTGGAATTTCAGGGCCGGCTCTGTGTGCGTGTGGAAAGAAGCACGGACCATTCGCTGAAAAAGCCGCTGTTTGTGGGGTTCGCGCCTGCCCTGAGTCCTGACGCAACTGGAAGGTCTTGGAAAGGAAAGAGCGGTCGCCACGTGACCTTCCACCTGACTGAAAATTGCATTGCCAGCAAAGTCGCATCGGAGCGAGTGCTCAAACAGAGGTAACGCCTCCGAGTCAAGTCAGGCCCGGGAGATCGGCGTCACAGCTGCCCGCTCGGCCCTTCTAGGCCGTAATTGGAAAGCACAGCGACCGGGTGCTCGTCACGAAAGCGCTCTGGCGCCAAACAGCGCGGGCGAGATGCCTTGAAGCGTTGATATCGCCGCTTGTCGCATCACAAAGTTTGCGCTCTCAACGGCCGCATCATGGATTGTGTCACCAATGGACCGCGAAACGTGGACCTTTCCGCGCAAACAATCTGTAGAATGGCCGGACATCGGGTGCCACTTTTCGCGGCGCCTTGGAAGATGTAAAAGGTGGCTGGCCGCGCCTGAGTTTGGCATGCGAAGCAGTTGTCTGAGACTTTTACAACTTGACTACTGCACCTGCGTGTTTCTTCTCCTCATCCTCCAAAAACTGAAAACTGGTCTTAAGTTTTCAAAAAACGACTTTACTTCTGTTTTATTTAATCTGTGAGGAAAAACATGTCTTTCAAACAGCATGGTCGTCAGTACGACTTGGTCGTCTTTGGTGCTACTGGTGCGTATAAGTCGACATGTTTGCAGTCGAACGAGGCAGACCTCAATGCTAACGATACTCTTAGGGTACACGGGGACGTTCGTAGCAGAACACATCACGACACACCTGCCGACCAACCTGAAATGGGCTGCTGCAGGCCGATCAGAGTCGAAACTTCGCCATCTTGTTGCCGAGTGCAAGAAGCTGGGTCCAGACAGATTGCAGCCGGGTGAGTAACAGGAGTTCGCGCATCAAGACCAGACAAGTGTCTGATTCCCACCAGATGTTCCCAGGCCAAATGGCCGCCTCCCGCTTTTCAGCTCCAGCTCCCGCTGTTCATGGGAGCTGCCAGCACGGACCTCGAAAGAAGGTCGAGAGCCTGCGTGTACAGATCGTGAAGTGGTGACGGATGGATGAGGGGTCGGATCCTTCATGCGGGCTTGGCGGCCGACTAGTTCAACGTCGAGAATGCTGACCACTACTTGCAGCAATCGAAATATGCAGCGTCAACGACAAGGACCTTGAGGCACTCGCCAAGAAAACGTACATCCTCATCACCACCGTCGGCCCTTATGCGCAGTATGGCGAACATGCATTCAGAGCTTGCGCCGAGAATGGCACGCATTACCTGGATGTCACCGGCGAGACCCCCTGGACCGGCACGATGATCAACAAATACGAGGGTGTCGCGCAGGAGACGGGTGCGATGATGTTTCCGCAGATTGGAATCGAGTCGGCACCGCCTGACCTTGTCACTTGGGCGCTGGCAAAGCAGGTCCGCGAAAAGCTTTCGGCCAAGACGGGCGCCGTGACGGTCTCCATCCATCAACTGGAGTAGGTTATCACATTCGCCGTTCACCTGGCTGGTGAAACATTGAGAGAACGACGCTCTAATGCCGAATCTTGCGATAGTTCAGCTCCATCTGGCGGTACCCTGGCGACGGTTCTCGGCCTGTTTGAGTCATTCACCATCTCACAAGTGAGGGCACAGCACAAGCCATACGCTCTCTCGCCCGTTCCGAACCGCAACAAGGTTCAACCGCAGACGTCCCTGCTCACCAAGTTGGTGGGATTGCGAAACGTCCCGAATCTGGGACTAATGACCACATCCATTGCTGGGATGACGGACACGCCTATCGTCCAAAGAACCTGGGGTCTCTTGGCAACGCTGCCTTCGCGGGAGAAGCAGTCCTACGGACCCAACTTCTCGTTCCACGAGTACATGAGAGCCAAGGGGTACCTCCGAGGAATCGCCATTCACTGGGGTCTGGCGTTCTTTGGCTTGTTGCTTGCAACTTTTGCGCCGTTTCGAAAGTTGGTCAAGCAATTTGTCTACCAACCTGGCGAAGGACCAGACAAGGAATCATCCAAGAGGGATGAGATTGAGTATCGTGGCATTGCCATTCCGGACAAGGAGTCCAAGACCGGGTATCCCAAGGCATTCTGCCGTGCGTGGTACAATGGCAGCATGTACTACTGTGAGTTTGTCCTCGTGATGTGTTTTATGACAAACTGCTGACTGGGGGGAAAGTAACGGCCGTTCTGTTGGCCCAAGCTGCTTCGACGCTTTTGGAAGAGGACGTCGACCTGCCTGGCGGCGTCTTCACTCCATCGTGCCTGGGACAACCCTTCATCGACCGGCTGCAGGGAGCCGGCTTCCATTTTGAGTCAAAGATTATTGAGAATTAGCGACGCGGCCTGGACTAATGCATAGTAGTAATGAGAACGTCTTGGGTTTAAACAACGGTATTTAGTTCGTGTTCTGTAGTTTGTCATGAGAGATGGACACCAACTCTACCTGAACGCGGGAGTTGATTTTGGCCATGAACTCCTGTGAGTCGAACAGAGTTAGTTGCCAGGTCGCACAAGCAAAAGCCATAGCTGTCAATGCAACACGCTTAGGGAGCGCAGAATGCAACATGAATATAGCTGGGGGAGCTTGACGATAATCCAGGGGTTTTCGCGTCCTTAATTGCATGGCACTTGCAGCTATAATTCCCAGTTGGTAGGTGAGATGCATCCCAATGTTCCCACAGTGGAGTGTCGCCGGCGCGCTGGACCGACACAACCGAGCAGCGTTTGGCTATAGCCGGGTAATTAGCGCACCGAAAGCAGCTTTCCCCGCAGAATTAGAAGCCCACAGCGAGCCAAGCCCTGGGAGGCTCCCCCAATTCGTGAAAACTGAGGACGTCATCAGACATGGTGCAAATCCAGCACACGTCCCGGACCCAGCAAACATCGGTCGCTCCCACGTCCACACACGCTGCAATGACCCTTCTCCGGACACCGTCAAGCTAAGGGAAAGGACCACCAAAATTCTAATCCGTTGCGATATGCAATAACACGGTCGACGATATTTTCTTCCGTCATCCGAGCCATACGAAGTTTCCGAGCTGCTTTCCTATTTTGTGATACCCCCTGAGCCGAAAGAGAAGAAAAAGAAGAAAGCCTTTCATAATGGATCAGACAACAACAGCCGGCTCGGCCTCGGCCACCGAAAACACGCCACTGCTTCCAACGACGGAAGCCCGCCCGAAATCGTCGCGCACCGTCACTTTCAACCCGAATCCTGTCTCCAAGACGATAGAGCCCGAGCCGGACTTCCAGCGGCCCAAAACGGGCCACGGCAACAGTCTGTCGACCAGTCCTGGACAGAGCTCTGCGCTGGCCTCTATCAACAACAAGCTGCGTAGGAGAAACAGCCATGGAGCAGTGCCCAGCCACATACCGCCCCAGATGGTGCCCAAGATCGGTCCGCAGCGAAGCACGAAGAACGCGCAGAAGCTCAAGCTGTTGCCCAACCCCGAGCTCAACGAGGAGAGCCCCGACGAGGAGAGCGGCAGGGACGTCTACTCGCAGTATACGCGAATCAAGGACCCCACGGCGCGTAGAGATGCCGCACGCCTGGGCAAGGCGGACCGCGACCGGTTGCCGAGGGTGACGGCGTATTGCACCGCGAACAAGTACCAAATGGAGGGGCTGATGCGTTTCCTCAAGGGCCGAGGAAAGTCGAGGGGCGCCAGCCCCAAGCTGATCGACGAGTGCATCTACTCGGCATACGACTACAACAAGACCGTCGAGAACAGGCACGATCGTAGAGTAGGCGCCCAGCCTGACCCGGTGCAGGCATACGAGAGGCGGCACTCGACGGGTGATGTCTCAGACAACGGCTTCGCTCGGGACAACCTCATCGACCTCCAGTCAGAAGGCCGACACGATTCTGGTTTTGTTGACGGCTTTGACGGAGGTAGTGAGGAGCACGCCCTCATCGAGACCAATCCAGACTTTGACACCAAGATCCACACCCCCGAAGTGTTCCTCTTCGACTACGGAGTCGTCGTGATATGGGGCATGACCCTGGCTCAGGAGCAGAGGTTCCTGAAGGAGATTGCCAAGTTCGAGACGGAAAAGTTGTCGGCGGACGATGTCGAGACAGAGCATTTTAACTTCTACTACACGCGGGAGTACCAAGCGCGTATCTACAACGACTTCATCACGCTGCGAGACAAGCGAAACTACATGACCAAGCTGGCCATCTCTCATGCATTAGCACAGAGTGTCAAGGTAAGAAACAGAGGACGTGGCCCGCCATCGCTACAGTTACTAACAGTGTCAGACGTCTCTATTCGAAGAATTGATTGCTTCAACGGTCGACACATGCAAAGACATCCCTACGCAGATCGCGCTGACAGGCAAGATCGCCCTCAGTCGGACGCAAATTAACATGCAGATCGGCGAGCTCTTCATCCTCCGCATCAATATCCATCTCAACGGTTCGGTTCTTGACACCCCAGAGCTATTCTGGGTCGAGCCTCAGCTGGAGCCGGTGTATCAGGCGGTCCGGAGCTACCTGGAGATGGACCAGCGTGTCGGTCTTCTGAACGAACGTCTGGACGTCATTGCAGACCTGCTGGCCGTACTCAAGGATCAGCTCAGCCACGGACACGGAGAGAAGCTGGAGTGGATTGGTGAGTTATTCCTTCACAAATGGCCGCGAGGCTTGACTAACGAAACGCGCAGTAATTGTACTCATTGCGGCCGAGATTGTCGTCGCAGCCATCAACATTGTGGTGGATTTGTATGCATCGGATTAGTAACATGTACTGTATGCATGGATTAGGGTAGTCTTTTGGCAGCGATTCATCACGGGCGGGAAAAGGCTTAGCGATCGGAGGTAATTCAAAATCAGGGCACACAGAACACCCGGGAGTTCCATCATGTGATGCAATAGAGAACGAGCTTCACGGCGCAGAGTATCCACGCAGAAAAGGGTGTAATCAATCGGCTACAATGCCTCCATTCCCAGGCGTCGATTATGGTGTCTCGTATTGTACAAATAAACAAGGAAGTCTCTAATCGCAAAGCCGCCCCAACGCCTGAACCTGTCCTAACACGCGGCATGCGCCGAGCCGTATCAGTCGTCCGCCTTGTCGTCCTTGTCGTCGGCAGCCGGAGTGTCCTCCGGTTGCTCCTCGGTGTCGTAATTGGCCATTTCTACATCTTCGTCTTGTGATGCCGCAGGCGCCGCCTCTGGTGACTTCTCACGCTCCTCCTCATCCTTGGGCTCGGCGCTCTTGCTCTTGGCTGCGAAGGCATCCTTGTCCTTCTGGTACTTGGCCATCTCCTCCTCGGAGCGCGTCTGGAACTCCGCCTTCTCGCCATCTGGCAGGTCTTTCCAGCCGCGGGCGAGCTCTTCGTCGACGTTGACGTCGGCGTCGTCCTTGCTCTTCTCCTCGAGAGCCGGCCGCGTGTCGGCGCAGTACAGCTCGAACGCGTTGCCGGGGCGCTTGGGCGGTTTCGCGACACCGTTGGTGCGCCCCGACGCCTGAGTGTCGCCGCCCTGGGTATGGGAGAAGGTTTCGGAGCTGGGCGAGATGGTCGCGGCGGTCTGGCTGAGCGGCCTGGAGTTGGCCTTGGCGGCGGAGTCGATCTCGGCGAGGACCGAGGGCTTGCGGTGACCGCGCTTCGTACGCAGAGGCTTTTCTTGCGGCTGAGATGGTGTCAGCAACCTGCTTTGTCGTCGAGGTGGGCTTGGCGGAGGGCCTACAGTCGGTGGCGGGCTCGGGCTGCCGTCTGAATCCTCCACGTTGGTGCTTGTTCTCTTGGCCAGCTGCTCCAGCAAAAAGGCTCTCTCCATCCGCAGCTTCTCAATCTGTCGTCGGATCCGGGCGAGACGGATGCGAGTCGCGTCGTTTTCCTCCTCGACCTCGCCGGTGCGCTGCTTGAGCTGGACGCATTTTCTCCGGTAGGCCTCTTCGACAGAGGGAGGTAGGGAGGGCGGGATCGCTGAGAGGTCGATCGCGGGGGGATTAGCTCGAATGATCTTCTTGGGAGGCATTGTGCGGGTGATCTGGGGTAGTTCGTGTGGGAGAGGGAACAAGAATTGGCTTTTTTCGGAAAAGGTAGGGGAACGAGTTGCGACGAGATGGGGTTCGCGGCGGATGTCAAGCGGAGCTCTGGGAGGGTGGTAGGTGGTTTGATTTCAAGGGAGTCACAAACGTACCGGATTGCGGAGCCATTACGTATCTATCGCGAGGAGTCTGATGATGCAGGGCGCGCCCGAGGAAGGCAGATTAAGTTGAGGTTTGATTGCGACGTGGATCTGGTAATTGGAGGAAGGAATTGGGTGGTGAGAGCCTGCCGAGAACGAGAGAGACGGGCGATTGTCGTCAGGAAACCAACAAGCAACCTGGACCGCGCCAGCTGGGAAATGCGAGGCTGGCAGCTGCTGTCTCTCACACACTCCGGGACAGCAAGGAACCTGGAATCGCAGGGGGTCCAGTGTTCCGTCTGGGAGACAGGCGCTGGAACCACCCCCAAATTTTTAGAATGCACCAGATGCGCCGGATCGGAACAATGGCACGCCTGCGGCGTCGTGATTGGTCATCTTTGATGCCAACCCACCAAGGCTGCAGCAGTACGCTCCCGCACCTGCACCCAGACTTTTTTTTGAGGCCTAGATGAAGAGGAGCTCTTGCAACCACATCATCAACACACAGGGTACTTCTACGCTGTTGTTTTTGAGCCTCACGACTGAAATCGCCCTGATATCCAAAGCATACCAGGTCGTCGGTTCATCATGTCTCTCAACATCCCCAACGCGCCGAACGCAAACCTGTTCAAGCAGGGGTACAACAAGTGAGTCCCCCCCCCTCCTATCTGAAGCTCCCCCCCCCCCCCCGCCTTGCTGTCGGTCACCGACTGACCCCTCGCACCAGCTACGATTCCGAAGATGGAGCCGTTCTGCGCAACATCGACGCCTGCAGGGCCATCTCCTCGACCGTTCAGACGTCGCTGGGTCCCTACGGCCGCAACAAGATTGTCATCAACCACCTGCAGAAGATGATTCTTACCTCAGACGCTGCTACCATCCTCAGAGAACTCGATGTCGTCCACCCGGCTGCCAAGCTCCTAGTTATGGCCAGTCAACAGCAAGAGGCGGAGATGGGCGACGCCACCAACCTGGTCATCGTTCTTGCCGGTGAGCTGCTGAAGAAGGCTGAGGACCTGCTGCGTATGGGCTTGAAGACGTCAGATATCGTTACTGGTTACGAGCGGGCACAGAAGTTCGCTCTTGAGACTCTCGACGAGCTCTCCGTCGACAAGGTGGAGGATATTCGTTCTCAGGAGGAGCTCAGCAAGGCCATCCGCACTGTTGTCGCCAGCAAGCAAAACGGCAGCGAGGACTTCCTGGCTGACCTCGTCGCCGAGGCTGTCCTGGCGGTGCTGCCCAAGAACCCTGCCGGTTTCAACGTCGATAACATCAGAGTAGTCAAGATCATGGGTGGTGCTCTGGAGCAAAGCCGCGTGGTCAAGGGTATGGTCTTCCCCAAGGAGCCCGATGGTTCGATCAAGAAGGCGCAGCGCGCCAAGGTGGGAGTCTTCTCCTGCCCCATCGACACCAGCCAGACCGAGACCAAGGGCACCGTCCTCCTGCACAACGCCAAGGAGATGATGGACTTCACCAAGGGCGAGGAGTCGCACCTCGAGGCTGCCATCAAGGAGCTCTACGATGTCGGTATCAGAGTGGTTGTTGCTGGCTCCACGGTGGGCGAGCTGGCTCTCCACTACCTCAACAGATTCGGCATCCTTGTCATCAAGATTCTCAGCAAGTTCGAGCTGCGCAGAATCTGCAGAGTTGTCGGAGCTACTCCCCTTGCTCGGTTAGGTGCACCCATGCCGGACGAGATGGGATCCATCGATGTCGTCGAGACCCTCGAGATCGGCGGAGACCGTGTTACCGTATTCAGACAAGAGAACGAGGCCACAAGAACAGCGACTCTGGTGCTGAGAGGAGCCACCCAGAACCACCTGGACGACGTCGAGCGCGCCGTCGACGACGGTGTTAACGTCGTCAAGGCCATCACCAGAGACCCTCGCCTTGTGCCCGGTGCGGGTGCCACTGAGATCCAGCTCGTCGAGAGGCTGAACGCCCTCGGCGAGAAGACCCCCGGCCTGTCGCAATATGCCATCCGAAAGTACGGCGAGGCCTTTGAGGTCATCCCCAGAACCATTGCCGAGAGTGCCGGCCTCGACGCCACAGAGGTTCTGAGCAGATTGTACATGGCCCACCACAAGAAAGACGACTGGGCCACCGGTGTTGATATCGAGGTAAGGGTTGCGCATCCGTATTTTCAAGGCTACGACGCTGACAATGTTAGAACGACGATGGCTCTGGTACCCTGGACGCCCGCGAGGAGGGCATTCTGGACCTGCTGGTCTCCAAGTCCTGGGCCATCAAGCTCGCTACCGAGGCGGCCCGAACTGTATTGTCAGTCGATCAGATTATTGTGGCTCGCCGGGCCGGTGGCCCCAAGCCTCCTGGTCCCAACCCCAACTGGGATGAGGACTAAATGGGAAAATAAGGCGGCTGGTAATGGAGTTCGTGTCGGTTTTTATGATCATAGACCACCCCAAAAGTCACGTCGAGATATCCCGAATAGAGCCCTGAAGACAAACGCAAAGTGCGCAAGCACGTCCGAAGTGATACCCTGCTAAGTTTTGGCCGGCCCGAAGATAGGAGTCTGGAAGCTGTGGGGTTCCTAGCTTATCCATACAACGGATGTCACTCTTTTGATTTACAGCCTCGAGACCGTCAATTCACCTCTGAGGCTCACTCGACTCTAGCTGTCACTGAACTAACCAGCATTTGTATATAAAGGGCTTCTCTGCGCCAACAGCATCAACAGAAATCAGAACACGCAAACACGCCACGATACAAGCTACACTTTTACTTCACTCGCCTAGCACTACTACTTCCACGAAACCTCAAGTTCTACAATGGCTCCTAACTCTACTAATGGCTGCACCGGCGGCAGCAAGGGCGGCAAGGGTGGTAAGGGCAACAGCAAGTAGCACTCTGGGCACCAGTGTCCGCAAGTGGGCTTGCACCGTCTCCATTCCTAAAGAGAGGACGTTTTGGCCTGTGAGCTTCTTCGCGGCTACATAGGCCTAGCATAGCAATGCCCATCCTCTAGTTTTCCATTCTCTCTTGGGCCCCTGTTGCAGGATCGAGTGACTTCCAATGACCGTGTTGACGGCGTGTTTCCCCAACCCGATTTGAATCTGTATTAACAATCAAACGTCCCCGAGGCAACTAAGGCTCAAAGGAGTTGTCAGCAGCCCTTCCTCGGCTGAGACGTTTTCGGTTCCTTGGGCAGGCAGCAACCAGAACAACGCACACCTAGGCTGAGCAGTCAGTATGGACTTTCCGGCTTCACCGAGTGGGCTATCGCGTTTATGCGGTACGGCGAATTGATGAGGATGGAGGATGGCTACAGTATATCTCCCAGCCACACAACGGCCTCCTAGGATTGCGGCATCAGGGCCCTGGCAACACACCACCTGCGTATAAGCAAGCGATCTTTGGGTCTGAGTAAGGGGTCGTACTACGTGATACTCTCCCGCATCAATGCCTCCTCGTTGTCATTAAGTGGCTGAAGACCAACATGGGCGAGCCGATTCTGCATGTTCGAGTAAGTATGTCTGTATACATGATGGAGACATCGGGTTGGAAACAGCGTCGAAAAAAGCGCGACACCGGCCGGTCCTTTGAACCAGCACCGCAAAAGGCGAATTTGCGGTACTTGAAAGCTGCCTCAGCTTTTCCCACTACCGGTATAATAGACTGGCTGCGGCATGTGACAATAACCCCAATTCTATATACCTCTTCAGCCTGGCAGGTGTATGAGATACATCCCATTGGCCGGAAAGTGTCCATGAGAAGGGTAACACCCAACGCAAGGGGCCCAATCTCTCTCACCTGTACGCCGTGCTGCGTGGCAGAAACCCTTGATTTGTCAAGATACTCTCGGAAGTGTCTGGCCTCGCCGCAAGTCCTGGTCAGGAGAACATGGCTCATTCTGCTGTTGTAGAAGCCACTGCGAACGGAAGCCTGTTCTTAGTGTGTGGGCTCCTTGATCGCAGCGCCCGCACTGGGGGGGATGAATCTGGAACTCTTACAAAACGCGACACTTTTTTGAACACATGTCCAAGCCGAACCTCTTTCTGGAGAGAGACGGCGGCAACTGAGGCACAGAGAGCCAAGCTATGAAAACGCCTAGTGTACTATGAGGGCATGGAGTCGATGGTGGAGACTACGTGCGGTTAGGTCTATGGGGCTACGGGGACGGAACTAAAAGAAAGAACACGGCAATGGAAAGAAAACGAAAAGAGGAAGAGATGAGTATTAGTGCTCTGGCCTGACGTTTTCGGTTTTATATCAGCGGCGTCGATGTAGTCGAGCTTCGCGTACATAACGCCTGAACAAAACTCTTCGCCATCATCACTAAAACTTTAAAAAAAAACATACAACACCAGGTATTCGCTGGTCGTCACCGACCCAACTACTAATCCGGCCCTCATTGGCTTATCTATGGGAGAGCGGACGGGATCCCGAGTTTTCCAATGGGTATGGTCGTATGTGATAGAAAGAGGTGGCAATGATGCCTATATTCTGAAGATTGCCGCCCAAAGTGTGGTGTCCTTGCAACCAGCCACGTCGTTACAGAGATCCCCTCCCAGAATAACGCTTTCTCCATACGAGCACTGCTAAAAATCTTCTACAGAGTAGTTTTGAGTCGAACAGTGAGTCGGTTTCGGTGTTGTTGTGGTTGCAAATGCATCACGGGGAGGGAGCTAGGTTCAGCCCAACCAAACCATTTCGAACCTCACATGTAAACTGAATTACATAGGTTGGGAGAACTATTAGTTATTCTGCTTTACTATACTCCAGGTGGAGTAAGAAGTCTTCGCATTCTTCCAGGGGGATACTGGTAGTTGATGTGCCTTGGAGCAAGTAGAACCCTGCCACGCTTCCCTATATGACCCCGACGGAAGTTGTCATAATGTCTGATCATTATTAGTCTAACTTCAACATGTTTGCTGCAAAAAACAGAACCACCTGACATTCGACACCAAAGAATCGATGCCCAGCAATGTTGAGTGGATGGTAGCAGCTAATTCCCGTCAACAGCACCGCCGTTTCTCCTTCTTGCACAGGCCACGGAGCACCCTACCCGACTACGGTCCAAACTACATCTACGAAAAGAACAGTCTCAAGTTTTCGACCTCCTTTTACCACGATATCACACGTGTCGGTGAGGTCCACCACAAGAGACCCCTTCCTTGATCACTGGCCCATCACCAGGACAGCAAGCGGCAATGCTACTGCAGTATAACCAGTGGCGGCCTCTGTCTCCCTTTCCTCGTCCGGGTTCCCAAATATATTCGCCTGTCAACACATCGTAACCCGCCGACAAAGGTGGTGCGCGACACGTCGGCGTGCCGCGAGCTGGGCCTGGGCCCGACCCCAAGGCCGCCTTGGGCCTGTAGAAACCATCCCGAGCAATGGGGCATCGTTGGTTTGGAGACGTACAAGATGGCCGTAGGTCCCTTGGGAGCTCAAGGACCTTGCTGAGCGCAGACTCAGCGCGGGCCTAGGCCAGGCAGGCAGGCCGTTCGCCCAACCTCCTGCTGTCTATGCGAGCTGAGCGATCATTCATCCCCGACCAAGGTTGCCATCAGCACAAGAATACCATCGAACGAAGGTGCATGTGGGGGACCCGCCCTCTCACCCGGTAAAACAAGGGGGCAGGAGAATAGGCTGTCAAGGCCGGTTCCTAATGATGCAGGACGCCCGTCGTATCCGAGTTCATAGCCGAAAGACCAACCGGGTTGGCGAATGTCTATCCGAGAGGGAAGAGTAGAGAAAGCAGATCATTGCGAGTAAGGCAAAAACTCGCATACAGCCCGGTCTCTTACAACTGTGACCGGATGTCGGCGAGACGGCTAAATCTTTCTCGGATAATCGCATCAACTGCAAAACGTAACATGACATGTCAACGGCAAATAGTATTGCGCTAATACTCTGCTCCATCGTTCACCCCGAAACATGTACAAGGATGCTTTTTCACAACCTATTTCCCCTCCCTTCGTCATCCAATATATGACTTTGACCCCTTCCCTTTCTCCGGACATCAGTGGCATGAGAAGCAAAATTACATGGTGTGTAAAAGCCCCCGGTGGCATCGCGCCTCGGGACAGCTTTGTGACATATGACAATATAGCAAGCGTCTCGTGAGACCAGAACTCTTGGTCAGCCATATGGGCAAGAAAGTAATCAAAAAGCAAAACAGATGTGGTATCTTCCCGGCAAAGCATCCTGCGGTGCGGTAAAGACATGAGCAAAAGCAGCTATGTGGGTAACAAAAAACAAAACAGCTGTGGACTGAGGGTATGAGGTTTGGCAATGTCGAGCCGTGCTGAGTAGCGACAGTAAGAATGTGTTTTTCCCAAGGAACCGATACGCCGCCGCTTGGTTGTCCAGGCGTTCTAAGTGTTGAGTAAAGCCAGCCGTGATATGACGGACATGGCGTGGTGGAGGAGCTTGTCTAAGCCTCCTCCATGATGCCGCCCTCCCCGCCGCCCTCGTCGCGCCACTCGCGGCTCTTGCTGGTAAGCTTCTTCACGCCCGCGACACGACCCGCCCAAAGAGACTCGATGGGTGTGCGGAAGGTGAAGGCGCGCTGGGAGCTGATGACTCCGATAGCTTGCAGAACAGCCTTGCGACTGTCGCGGCCAAAAACAGCAGGATGGCTGATCCACTCGAGACTGCTCTCGAGCTCGGCGTCAAGAGCAGCAACGGTGTTGGCGTCGATGCCGGCGCCCAAGCCAAGGCCATCGTTGGACCGGCTGCGCCCGATTGCGGCCACCGGGTATCCATTAACAGCCGATGAGTTGGCGGACTGGGTAGGGGATGGTGTCTGCTTCCTGTCGGGTGTGATGGACGGGGAACCCTCGTTCCCTAGGTGCGGGGTAGATGGGAGAGACCTGTTTGGCGGCGCCGACGGCGGAGGAATAGGAGGGAGGCCACCCTTGCCAAGCCCCTTCAAGATAGATCGAGTCTCGTTGAGTAGGGTGTGCGCTCGGTCGTGCTGCCCGCGCGACACGAGGGTCAGGGCGCGGGTTAGCATGTCGGATGTCAACAGCTCCATGCGCCGCTGAACAATGTGTGGGTGAGGCGGGATCGGGGGCGAGTTGGCCCACGAGTTCTTCTGCTTCGCCGCGGGGGGAAGCATGGTAATGGCGAGCAGAGAAGGGCGGGGGAGATGCGACAGCGTGCCGTCACGCAGTATGTCTCCCCACGTGAGGTCCGCCTGGATCAGAGGGACCTCCTCTACAGACGTAATTCGCTGGTCGTCGCCATCCACGGCGCCGCCCAGCGCCTCCAGACCGGAGACGATGTTGTCCCAGGGATCCTGCGGCAGCTGTTCCTGCGATGTGTTGTCCGGCACGATGACAAGCTGCACCAAAACGTCGCGCTTATCGCCGAATCTAAGATCGCCGAGCGAGGCCTCAGCATCGCGACCGGTCGCCCGCTTGGTGATCTGCAAGGCACCGCTAATCTTGTGGAACTTGGCCGGCGATCCTTCGGGCAGCTTTAGCTTGAGCTTGACGTTCTGGTGAGACAGCGTCTGCATGGCGCCGAGACAACCAGCGAGACATTCGCGGAGCATCATCCAGTCCTTGACGTATGTATAGGATGCCTTGGTGCGGGTGAACAGCTCAATCATCGTGTCTGGCTTGTGAGTCATGCCGAGACCGAACGAGTGGATGGTGATTTTGGCTGCTTCGGCTCGAGACACCACAAAGTCGACGCTGTCGGCATCGGAGGTCGAGGCGTCGCTGATGAGCATAATAGTAGCGATTGGGTTGTTGTACTTGCGCTGCATGAGCAAGTCCATGGCGACATTCGCGCCCTCGACGACATCGGCGCGGTGGCTCTTCTGACCGACCGGCTTGATGGAGGATAGGACGTTGCTCCAGCCGGGCCAGGCTTTGGTGGTCATGCCTACAATAGGCACGCCGCCGCCGCCAGACCCGAAGGTGACGAGACCCATCCTGTCCCTCTCGCCGAGGGTGTTGACCATGAACTTGAGAGCGTCGCGGACAAGGTTGATCTTAACGCCCTGCATTGAGGACGATATGGGCACCACGACAACAACATCGATCGGTACATGGACCGAAGCGGGCATGGTCGGGCTTCTCTGGAAGTTGGTGTACTCTGTGGGCGCCGTGGTGACGGACTTGGGCCCGCCCCATGATGAGGCAACCGACGACACTCTCTGTTGTCGCGATCCCCGCTGCCAGTCCTCCTCGTCCGTCTCCGAAAACTCGCCCCGGTCGTACTCCGGGCTGCGCAAAGGAGACGTTTCAACGGCGTTCAAGTCAAGCAGGGCCTGATGCCAAAGCTTGAGTTGATTACGATTCTCAAATCGCAGGTGGAACTGGGGCAGCTCCGCCACAGAAAGGTTCAGTGTCAGGACGTTCTCATCGACTGTTTATTGGTTAGCGTCGAACTAATATTTCATTTTTCCGCGAAACGAGAGGAAGAAAACTCACTGCTGCCCGTTTCCGAGACCTCGTTGAGGTGTTTCTTGATGAGAATCGATCCTTTCAGCGTGCAACGTGTGGCTTTCTTGGGCATGCCATTCTCATCCCACTGTCCTGCGAGGGGCACCTTCTTCTCCTTCACGCAGATCAACATTTCGGCGAACAGGAAGCACTCCAGCTCCTGCCACGATTGCTTGTCCTTGCCGACGCGGAGCGTGCCGTACAGCCGCAATTTGCCAAACCTGAGGATTGTCAGCGTTGCCATTGGCCAGCAGCATGCAAGTCATCAAATCTCACCTGCTGAAGTCGAGCCCGTGCCAGTTGTCCACCCGGTTTCGGAGGTTCTCCGTCATTTCCTCCAACACCTCCCGAGACTCGTACGGATAGAACCGCGGCGCGCTCCGGGCCGGTGATGGCGGCCTCGCAAACGCATCGTCGATTCTGGCATTCACGGCGGACGGGCCAGGCGGGGCTGACCCGAGATCTTCGGGGTCGGGCCGCCATTTATTATCGGGCACTTCCACAGTGATAAGACAGGTTAGGGTCTGCTGCTGGCGAGACCTGTTGATGGTGGGGAACTCGGATCGAACAGTCACAGTCGGCGCCGGGATCGGATTTCTGGTAATGCCGCGCGGGCTCCCCGGCGTTGTTTCCATCGCCTGGACGTCGTAGTCGTGCCTGCGCGGGGGTCCGCTCTGTGTCGTCTCGGGGTAGCCTCCAGACGATGCGACGCCCGTGGCCTCGCTGTCGCTGCGAGCATGCCTTGAAGGGCCGTATCGATCCGACGTTGGCGGTTGACTGCTTTCCCTATCGCGCCCAGTGCTCCGAGGCGCGCTTTCGCGCGTGTGGGTACTGGGCATGTTCCTCTGGTTCGACTCGATGCTTGTCGGTCGCGGCGTCGGGTTTTCCCATGGCGTGGCGGTAGGCGTAGGAGTGTGATTTGATCTATTGTCAGTAGAGTGGCTAGACTTGACGAGGCTGCTGATCTTCTCTGTGGGCTGGATTAGCAGTGTCTCAGTTAAGAAAGACATGAGATGGCGCTTACCGATGTCCAAGACATTGCCGCCTCGGCTAGTGTCGAGATGTAGCGGCGCATCGCATGATGGGCAGTACTGCGCTTCGAATTCGCGGATGAACTCGTAGAAACAAGCCTCGTGCGAGACGTGCGAGCAGGAGAATTGCAGAATGCGCTCTCCCTGCAACGTATGCTCCAAAGGCTCCTCGCAGACGGCGCATTCACTTCCTACAAAAGTGCGCTCCCTCCGGTTGCGGCCGGTGCCGGACGCCATGTTGTTGGATGAGTAGCTGTCGCCCCTTCGATGTGTGCTGCCTCCGGATCGTACCGACGAGTTGGAGCGCTGGCCTGTACCGCGAGCTATTGAGACGTCTGCGAGAAGAAGAAAAAAGCAATAGTCAGCAACTTGCGCATTCAACCAATATCCGTCGACCGCCCAAGCTTGTTATTTTGGGACGGCGGCTCGCGCCTACGACAAACGCACGTCAGTCAAGGGCCCACACATACTCTTTTCGGGGAAAGACGGCGCATCCGTCCAAGTGTTGTTCGACCTGGTAGTGGCGGAAGTAGCGGGACGGTAGGGGTCCTGCACAGCCTTGGGGCTTACAAGACCAAGATCGAGAAGGTGGTTAACCTGGCTGTCTTTGGTGCTTGAAGATCCAAAGCCGAACCCTTTCGAGCTCTTCCTAGACCGACCAAACATTAGAAAGTTGCCGAGTCGGAAACTGCGCGATCAGGCAACGGTCGGCGGTTGAGGCAGGGCTATTTGCCGTGGAGAGGGCGGGTGGTTGGCGGTCCGTTCGAGTCGGAACGCGCGAATCGTCGAATCGCGGAGCACCTCTTGGTTGTGTGAGAGGACTGGGCGGGAAGTATGTTTTGGGAATGGGAAGATGATATCAGAGGGGCGACGGTATAAGCGATGAGGATCTAGGATCCACCCGTACCAATGGTAATGCTAACCGCAAAGCGAGCAATAAGAGAGGACGGTCCCGGGTATGTGGCTGTGGAAGGTTGTCACACAAGGACCTGGGAAGCCTGGCAGGACGTTTCAAATGGTTGTATCAACAATGCTGGGTCGGATGGAAGGCAAGCTGATCAACATGCATGATTGCAGGGTGTTGTCGAAGGTGGTGGTGGTAGTGGCGGTTCTCTGTAACCGAGGTGGTCGTGACGATAATGGCCGTCGAGGAAAGAGCGAAAAACAAAGTTCCAAGGAGTTCAGCAGGAATTGAGTTGCTGCGCTGGTGCGGGTGTGCAAGTCAGAGCAGATGCGGGTGTGTTTTGCAGAGGGTTCGCGCGTCGTCGCAAGTTCAAGGTTCGACAGGTCCCGGTATAGTTTTGGGGGGTGATGGCGGGAGAAATGGGTTGTCGTCTCTCCTATTCTTATTTTTCCTCGCCTGATGGCGTCGTGTGCGGATGGGATGATGCAGCTTCTTGTCTCGGTGGTAGCGAGGTATTAGTCGATTGGTGTAGGAGAACTGGAACACCCTTAGGTAAGACGAGAGCGAAGTAGCTTTAATTTCCTCGTCGGTGTCGATCTGGCCTGCGCCGTTTGAATCCAAGGCCTCAATCGGTGGGCTTCGGTCCTCAAGTGTTATAGTCGACAAAAAGACGGCAGACTGGGTATTGCGTTTTTGTTCTTGTCGGGAGCGCCCGCCTGCACGGTAGACTGCGAAGGGCAGGAAGGGGCGGAAAACGGGGAATGGGCAAAGTATATACGCAGACGCAGCAGTCGTCGTCGTCGTCGTTGCCGCAGTCGAGAGAGTGTGAGACGTGGACGGGGTGACGGGGAGGAAGGGAGGGACGGACGTAGAAAGGAAAGAAGGAGCAGCGCAGAGGCGTGCTGTGGGTGGGGACCTCTGCACGTTTTCCCTTTTCTTTGTTTGGCTAAAACCTGGACCTGGACGAGGACCAGGACCTAGGCCTGGACTAGGTAAGTACCTGCCTCTGGGCCGGAGGGAGGTGGGAGCTGGTGTGATCGCTGATGGGAGGGGAGAGGTGCCCTGAGTTGCAGCTCACAAGCACAGGTACAGCGCAGCGACGTGCACTGAACCATGCAATGTAGCAACGGTACCTAGGATGCGTGGGTGGACTGGCAGATGCATGCCCTGGTGGTGCACTGGTGCTTCTTGGTGGATTGCTAAGTAGGCACCACGGAAGGGAGGCGGCCAGGTACAAGGTCCGTCATGTACAATAGTGTACGTACTCCTCGTAGTAAGGCCAGGGCTATAGTTTGCGCCTTAAGGAGTGAGAGCTGGGGTCCCTGAACTAGATAGCTAGTCGGCCTAGGTTGCTTCGGCCAGGCCCCCCTGCCCTTTCTTCTCTCTTAGGTTCTGACTCCTTATCCCCGACGTGAAAGTGAGGGACTGGTATAGAGAGATGGGGGGATGCGGGAAGGGTTTTGGTGCGGCTTGGTACGTGCTCTTCCAGAACGGCCAAGCCCACGTTTTTGTTTGTTCAACGCAGCCCCGGCAGACGGCGTGGGAGATGTGGTGTGGGGAGGTATACCGCCGTTGCCTAGAAGAAGGAGACGAGAGCGATGCCAGCTGAGACCGTGTGAAGGCGCTGTCTGGCTGGTTTTCTTGTGCTGTGCTGTGCTGCGCTGCGTGGGATGGTTGTGCGCGGCCTCTCGAGAGGAGAGTCTGGGTGGTTTTGCGCGGAACAGACTCGCAGGACCGAGATGTCGTGGAGCCGTTGCCAGAGTTTGGAGATGAACCTCAGACGGACCTCGAGTTGCAACGAGACCCTCTGCGCGCCCGTACGAATCCCTCGAGCCACGAATCAGACACGGAAGCCCAGAGATCCGCCGAGACGGCCTTTGTGGTCCCAGGGGGAGATGATCGATCCAGTCGAACCCGCACAACACACTATCCAGTAGGTGGTGTTCCGCACGGAGAATAAGACGGAAGCGTTGGCCGAGCGTAGGGAGCGTCGAGAGGCTAGCGAATGCAGATGGGACGGCGCAAGTCTGAAGGGTCGAACTTGGATGAATTGGACGACAAACGGGCGAGGCACGCTAGCATCTTATTTCGTTAGCATCTGCTAGCCCGGCCGTGTCCCTCTTTTCTGGTGCCAATCAAACAAATGTGCCTGCAAGGTGAATAGGAGGAACAATGACAGACTCGATGAAGACAGACGCAATTGAAGCGAAAACCGGGCCTCGCCCATGCCTCTTTTTTTTATTACGTCTTCCCCTGGGCGGATCGCCAACCTCGTCTTGCTCGACTCTCCTGCACCATCATCATCTTGGTGACCTGGTCCGGGTGGCCTGTGTGTCTTGCTGCTCGTGCTCGTGCATTGCAGAGTTAATTGACAACCTCAAGACAGCGCAGATCGACTTTGCCATGTGATATGTCAAGAAAAGTTCACTTTTACATGGGCATGGGATTGATGTTTTTTCTTTTCTTTTTTCACCTCTTTTTTCTTCTTTTTTTTTATTTCGTTCTATTCGGCTCTTTTCGTTTCGCCTCCCTCGTAGTATTTCTCGCCTTTCAGCCTTTGCCATCGCCTCGCCTCGCTTCGCCTCATGCTGTTCGTTTTTCTTCTACGCTGCCATCCTGTCAAATCGTTCTTGATTGCTTGACCCCTGCCAACCCAGCAGCAGGACCAGAGAGTTCGGCGAGGGGACCGTGCGCTTCACTACCAGACCCCGGTACCGTGGGTGTACATGCAAGTGCCCCGAATGATACGGCATTTCTCACGCAAGCTGCGGTACTGCTCTAGTCCCCTCGACGCCAGACCAAAGTACACGCCCCTTTACGGCTGCCCCGTCCATCAATGTCCATCAGTGCTTGTGCATTGCATCTCTTGATGGATGCTCATCATCACAGCTCACGTAGCCTCAGTCCAAACCCCAGGCTCTTACCCGTCTACCCGTGTGGACAAGCACGCAAAGACCTTGTTTCTAGTTTTCCTTACCATCGATTTGCCCCTCTGTCTTTACAAACGAATCAGGCTATGCCGTAATGACTTGTGGCGTTGGCCGGGAGGGAGGGGGAGGGGACAATCAATGATACTGGATACGGACAGGCAGTGTTTGTGGGTGCGGTTTGCAACAATATCGACCAGACCTTATATCTTGACTGACCCAATGGGAGACGGTGGTCTCCAGAACCTTTATTTTTCCTTTCTTTTCGTCTTGGCTCAACGAGAACTACCCGGCTTGTTCCTCGTGCTCGTACCAAAGTTTACAGCTTTGTGTTTGGACTATCGAATTGACATGTCTGTCTCCCTACTGTATTCTCGCATGTGCCCGCCCCCATGCCTCCCAAGGCTCCTCGTTCCCATGGAACAAACACCACACACGGACTGAATGAGCCGACCCGACCAGCTTTTTGCCTCTTGTTCCTGCAAGAGTCGCTTCGGCCCCCGCTAGGTACCTTCCTCTGCCAGCCTCGCTCTGCGTGTGATTATGTACTATGTACCTGCGACTCATTTGTCTCCACTGGCCGGGGCTGTGGGCCACCGGATGGCAGGTTCGAATTTCCATGGCCTGCGTTTTTCAGCCAGTCACACAGCTCCGGTAGGACCAGGAGTCTCCCCCTCCCCTTCCCGAACTGGTGTCCTTGCACGACCCCTCCCTGACGACTTTGCCCCGCCGTTGATCCCCCCCTGTTCTGGCCTCAATGCGGTCCTCTTTGGCCCCATTCGAAACGACCTTCCTTGAACCTAGCCTGGTGGGTCTCTCAAATGGAAGGAAACGGCCGCCTGGGTTTCCTCCTGGTGCTCTGTCTTTCTCTCTCCCTTTTGGACGCCGGCATATTTCTGGCCTTTACACCCATCACCATCATCTCCCAATCCCAATCCATCCATCTAGCCATCCATCTCCCATGGACCAGTCCTGGATTGGGGTCGATGGGCGTCACGTCGACTCGGGGGGGGGGCAGGGACACCGTTCATAAAGTCTTACTCTCCAGACTCTCCAAAGCCCCTCCCTCCCCCTCAACTCTATGGATCGCCTCCTCTTATTCTGTTGCACGAGACAAGGGTTCCCACTGTAGTGCGACGCTATTCTTGTCCTTCGCGGTCTTGAGCTCAGCAAAGGCTATTGACAAGTTTGCTTCTTCCCGCTGCTCCACGGCAAGTAACCGCCCGTTATGGTTGCCATGAGTCCTATCACTTGCTCTCCACAAGACCACGCGGATATGACATGATTGCATTTACAGCCCTCGACGTGTAGCCCAACATACAGCGTATAGGTACACAATGGATAGTCCGGCAGCCACAAATCGGGAGCCACTTTGTCCGCTGCGGCACTGTGCCTGTGCAAACCAC